ATTGTGTTCTTTTTATGTCAATAACAATCGTTTATTGATATGACAGACCTGTCTTTATCCAACTTTGTTATGATTACTTCAAATGCATTACCAAAAATAATCTGTTGCGAACATTTACAAACATTTTACTGTCATTTGACATCAATCCGATATATCATTTTCAGATTCACTCATATAGGAATCGAAAGTCTGATAAATCATGAAAAAGAAACTCCTTTTGCTATTTCATGAAAGTTTTAAAACTCGGTCAGTCAAATTGTTGGAGCCACATAGGAATAAGAGGAAATAAAAATGTAGATGCTTTTGGTGAAAGAATACTTTAATTTTTAACCAGTATACTTATAATTACAAAATAGTGATTTTAGAATCTTGTTTCATCTGAATGGGAAATCAAATTAGGACAAAGCTGTATTTAACAAACTTCATGATGTCAATATATCATTTCTATCTTTCTGTCTGGGCTGCAGAATTGGAGATACTAGAGTTACATACTCTAACCTTTTTGTATAGCTTTATAGCTTGCAATGAATATTTTACTGTCAAGCATTAGCAATTCCTTCTTGAATGTCATGATCTTGCACATGTTCATGATTGATTTTATCAAGTAAATTCACTTAGAGAAATGTTTGCCTCAGTTCCATCCAAACTCATGATCGATTACTAGAAGGAAGTACACTTGTTTTCACTCACTTGTTCCAACTCATTTTAAGCATACTTATCATAAAATTCGGCACAATATTACCGGTTATATGTCAGTGCCGCCGTTAAACCCAAACAAACAAACAAAAAATCATGCTCATCAATATGTATAGTATCAACTGTTATCAATAAGTTTGTATGAACACAGTGCCATGTCTAAAGTAGCAATTTTCGATTATTTAAAGATTGTGTATTAGAGTACAATTGAAAATGTTTTACGGTTGGTTGTACTTAGCTTGTCTGTTCGTGGACGGTAGAAGTAAGTGCAGTTATACCGTCTGCAACCCCTTACACCATTGCAGCCTCCATTTTATCTATTTCATTGTTATGTTACATCAGCTTTGTTTGTGGCCCATGGACATACCGCCAAAAGTTGGCACGGCACGTTCATTCAATAAAGAATGTAACATTTTTAATTATTAATGTTGTTTTTTTTGTCACGATATTTATTTCTTTCGAAACAATAAGTACCATATCCAACAGAAAAAGTAATATTAACGGAGTAGTTACTTCACGCATGTAACAGAAAGTACCATGATTCCAGTATTAAAGACCAAAAACTCCCCTTTTCAAGATTGCAAGGTCTAAACCTTCATGCAAAAGGATGCAAGGGAGACAAATCCAGAATATTCAAATAAATAATTGCATACCTACTTATACTTCTTGCTGTTGACTGTTAATGTTCAATTAACATTAAGTGTTTACATATATATTTTTTGAACTGCATATTTTTATATTTAAACCATTTTTATTTAAGTTAAACTAAAAATCAAAGGCGTTTTAACAAAAAGCAAAGATAATTTACGCCATATAAAATTTGGAGACAAGTGTAAAAAACAATAAAGTTTTAAACGCAAAAGAAAGGCCCTAGTAAAGCGGAAAACTATCGCGCGACCTATTTGACTCTTCTGTACGTTCGATTTATGCGCAATGTACCTAAATATGCATATGGGTTAACTGAAAAAGTTTAGTAGTATCTGTTTAAAATCCCTAATGCTTCGGAAATGCTTCATTTTTATTTTCAAAACATTTTTTACTTTTTTTTGTGTGCAGTCAAATTTTTACAAAGGGTAACTCATAAACACATTACCTCACATTTTACATGGTCTGTCGTCATGTGTCATGTTTGTCGTCATGTGTGATGTTAAATACATTCAACATAACTATTAATGGTATAACAGACCTTCCATTAATGAGCAATACACTTTTACTGTTATAAAACTGATGTATCCCCTTTCTAAATGAAGTAGCCACGTTTTTTTGTCATTAGTCTGGCTATTGTCCGTCGTCCGTCTGTTTATATGTCCGTCACAGAATTTGTCAATATATTAAACAATGCGATTTTGACCGCCTGGACCACACTCTCTTCCCACGGTAATTGGAAATGTACTTAATTATTTTAATTTGCAAAGCAATCTGTTCACTGCATGGTATCAGAGGAGGTCATCGGAGCTCATTAATAAAGTTATGGTAATTATATGTAAAGAAAGATTTGAAAGTACAGATAGGTACTTCTTTTTGTGTGTTAAAAATCTGGACACCCCAGAGTATCAGATTTAGCTAAACAGCAAAATGTCCCTTTCTTCTACGTATATTTACATGTATACGTATCTACGTATACATGTATATATTGCCGAATTTCATCTCCCATGGGTATTATCAGATCACACGGTCAAGGTCGATTTTTCCTTTATTTCAAATTATCTTTTTATTCAGAAAATGTGAAGTTTAATATCCAGGACTGAGGAAAGTGAAGCGCTATCTTAAGATAGTTCCAGACCTTGTTATAATAACAGTGAACATATACCATTTCATCTGTGTTTCACTTCAACGATTAGTGCTTCAAATGTTTAAACATCTTTGAAATCGCGACAATCATGTAATGTTATTATTATTAGACTGAAATGTTGTTTCTTTCTTTGCATCTAAGCAAAGGGTGACATAAATCTTAAAAATGTACAGATTCCTATAGACTATTACACTGCTGCATTGTGTATTTACACATGTGTACTTCCCTACTTTGATCAAGTCTAGTCGCAGCTCTTACGCCAAAATCAAACTAAAATTGATAATAAATGCGTCCATTTTCCCCTCATATATCTTAAAAAATGACAGCCTGTATCATAATGATGAAACTTTCAGTCAATTGTTGTAAAATAATAAACAAATTACCAGAAAATATTGCTTCTTTCGATATGTTTTTTAACGTTTCATCTGAAAATTAGTTTACCCTAGGGATGGTCATAAAACGCAGTTTTTTCATAAGTAAGGGGAACAACTCATTTATTTTAATGGGTTTTCTTCAGCCGAGTAATCTTATCTTGCGTGAAAAAAAAAAACAAAAAAAAGCACAAAAACAAAAACTGACAGGTTTTTATTCTAGAGATATGAGGTGTAAACTTCCGTTAAAATATACGTTTAGTAATTAACAGTATTATTCCTATACCTACGGTCTATACACTTAATACGTTTAAGGTAATCAGGTTAGATTAAAGGGAATTGGTCTATATTGGTCACATTTTCCGTAAGTATTTCAAATATTGATAAAAGAAAAGAAAAAAAAAAACAATAGAAATATATCATTTGGATAATCTAATAAAATATTGCATGGAAAAAACATGTTGATAAAGTTCAAATGATTTTGTATGAGGATTTATATGATAATTTAAAATATTTTGTTCTAGAACAATTTATTATCTGCTATATAAATATATGTAATATCGCATCATGTTTCTCACACTTACCATCAATATCCAAGTATACCTATTTCGTGGTTTTTTGTTATGTCTGATACTAAATGTGTGTGTTGTGTTGTTGGTAGTTTACAATCCGGATCACGGCAGTAAGCCACATTGAATTTTCCAGAGCACAGTTCAGCCACCGCATCATTCCTGGGCAGGCTGTCATGCAGTTTACCAGTACTAGTTGCCTTCACTTTCGCAAGGGACTGAAACTATTGTACATACAACATAAAAAGTACAGTGCGAATGACGATAGAAAACAATCATGATCAATCACCACGGAAGTGACCAGCGCCGTCCAGAAATCGAATCAGGGTCGCCTAATTCACAGTCCAACGCTCCAGCTATTGAGCTAACCGGACGGCTCTCTAATACTCAATACCTTCAACGTAATTATTTATAGTATGACAGACCTTCCATTGTAGATCAATTCACTTTAAACGTACCCGTAAACCGTAAAATCACCGAATATCAATGCATTTTCTTCAAGGTTTTTTTTTTATTTAATTCATTATATAATTATAGCGGTTCGTAAAGTAGTATTGGGTCATTTTCAGTATAAATCGGATTACTTTTGTAATTACCAGCAGAAAAGTATAGCTTACATTTTAATATATCTCATGCAAAAGTATATAGTTCAGTTTTGTTGGATTGTTTTTTAAAATACATCCTAGAATACAGATATTACACAGGAAAATTAAAGTAAGAATTTAAAAAAAAATTTACAGCATATTACAGGAACATTGATGAGAAATGTCAAGTGTTGCGACAAATTCATCTCGTGGGATAAGAACTGAAATGCGCAATCAATATTGATGGAGCATGCATACAAAAGTGGCTAAAATGCTTTAAAGTTAAGCTTAGACCGTTATAATCATCTTGCGAAATCGGATAGTACCATTGAAGGAGAAGTGTCCGATCCCTATCACAAACAACACAAGACTTTCTTGGGATAAGTGGGTGTTGGTTAGGTAATACAGCCTCTTATCAACATGCACATGCAAACTGAATATGCCACGCTTTACAACAGACATTCTTCATTGTGAAAAAATAACCGCCTTAAATAAAATAGTCTCAATTTTTTTTTCTACTGCTCTTCCTTTTTTTCTGGTACATTAAGCCTGAAATTTGAACACGTTGCACTGTTATAAATCAAATTAAAGAACAATGGCTTTGCGTTGTTTTATTTCAAATAAGATAAATAATAAAATATTGTTTAATGGCTATATAACAAATTTACAAAACACTGGCACCATTTTTTTTGCCAATATTTCAAAAATGATATACATGCATATGCAACTTATTTATTTAGATTTTTTTAAAAACTTATTCAAAAGATTTTAATTGTTAAAACACAGTTTTAATTGATTTAAAACCCGTTTGTTTATTTGTTTGTTTTTCCTCACTGAATAAGTTCATTGAATTTACAAATGATTTAGTCATTCATACAAGAAATCTTTTAACACTTAATACGATATAAGAATATATACAGTATATTTGTAACATAAAGAATAAATTAGGTAGATTTTGTTAATACACTTGGGCAGATTAGCGGCTATTGTTCTTTATACCTTTAACTGGGTACAGGGGGGTTTAAAGAGTCACCTTGCACGATCAATAGTGCTATAGACTATCAATGTAAACGTTTGTGTTTTGAAAGGCTAATAAATATCATGTATGTATACATTGTTTCATTATTAACAGCAATATTTTTTAATTAGAAATTTTCTTAAATCAAATTTGCATAATTGTTTCCCTACATAAGAATTTTAATATTTCTTTCACTAGCTTCAATTTGCGCTTATACATGTATACAACATTTGCTTATAAAGTGAGGTGGGGTTTTGTTCTGTTTATTGTTTTTATGTTTTGTTTTTTGTTGTGACAAAACACATTATGTGCAAAAATGTCTAGACAAGTCACTTCATTTCTTGATTTGAACTTCGATAATGTTGCACCGAGTATGGCACTTAGATTATTGTTCTCTAATTCAATCCTTTTGTGTCTATTAATATATTATTATAATATATGGAGATTTCTATGATAAAAAAAATGTTTATTCAAAATGGAAATATCGTATTTAAAACGATACTCTTCTATGTAAGCAAAAACCATTAAAGCAAACCCGAAAAGTTTGATTAAACATACATTTTGCCAAGGGCCGATAACTCTTTTGGTATAAGTGAACTGAAACTACTATCGCAATTGACTTTACATTGATTTAATGCGGCTATCTAAATATCAAATGAGCCGCGTCACGACAAAACCAACATAACGGATATGCGACCAGAATGGATCCAGACCAGCCTGCACATCCGCGCAGTCTGATCAGGATCCATGATGTTCGCTTACCAACTCTATTACAAGTAGAGAAACTGATAGCGAACAGCATGGATCCTGATCAGTCTGCGCGGATGGTCTGGATCCATGCTGGTCGCAAACGCACTATGTTGGTTTTGTCATGACGCGGCTCAAATTAAATTCTAGTCTATTTAGATTCATTTTTAAAAATGCATGCAAAAACACTTTCATTTCAATTCATTTATATATTTCACGAAAATCAAACTTGACGAAACGTAACAAGATTTTAAGAAAAGTAAAAAGATTCAAGATTCAAATAATAATGTACGTGTTATATGCTACTATAGTATGACTGATTTGCAGTATTTATCACCATATCTCTACTGCGTGACTAAAACAGTAAGGGGTATTTTGCATATCTGATCGCTTTTGTACTTTCATTGTTCACTTTACAACAGTTTACTTTTAAATGCATTTTTAAAATTTGCATGAAAATTAGCTTATATCTGGAGACATGCTGTTTTAAATATCACATAAGTTTATAATAAGTCAATATATTATTACCCAATTTAAACCATACCCCACTATTGATACTATACACTTGTGTAATTCATGTATATTTTAATAAGAATAGATAGCCTTTTTTAATTTATATATACTTTTTTCATAATTTATAGTGCAGAAACCTTGAATTCGGGTATAGGTTGCTTATAAATGGTCTCTCTAATTCGTATATTTCAAACACACAAATTATATTACTGATTTCAATGGAAGTGTATGATTATATATCTTATTGAATGAAGTTACGTGTTCTATGATCTAAAATACATTTTTACGTATAGCATTGCAATTAAACAGGTTATTCGTACTGTACACTTCTCGTGTTAGATAACCAAACAAGCAGAAACTTTCAAAGTTTACACTTTATGACATAATTTTAGTAGGGCTCATTTGTTCGCTTTGCATGTACTAAATCACATTAAAATTGAGGAAGAAATAAGCAATGATACAAATGTTGCACGCGACAGATTTAAAGATCCTGTAACTCAAATTTATTTATGGTTTTACATCATAAATATGCTCAAATCAAGATTTATCAATATTGTAAGTTCCAGAAAGCATTATTTGTAAAGATTATACCGAATTCACATTTCATGTAAATAAAGGGAGGCCATTAGGTATTTATTTTCGAACCAAATTTTTCAATAAGAAATGAATGCATATATTTTAAAGATTACTTTTAATGCGTATAATTATTTGCAGTACATATTTAACATATTCTTAAATGTTTGGAAATTGTTTTAGAAGAATAATTATATAAAATTTCATTAAGTGTTGTTAAATCCTTAATTACAACATACAACTTCACATACTTTGCGGTAAAGCTGTATAATATGCACTTTGATAAAATTGTTCTTTATAACTATATATCTAATTTTTTCGATATAAGATATATTATATACGCAAGCAATTTACACATTATCAATAACACTAGTTACCCACTTAAATTACCAAAACGAGGTCAAAATATGTCGTTACTGCGTTACTAACACAGTAGAAATGTACTGAAGGAAAAATAAAACTGTCATTAATCGAACATAAGATGTAAATTATAACTTAAATATTTCTAACTTGTTCTCAAATATTTCACACGTTCAGATTTTATTGAAATATTTTACAGGCATGTTGCTTTAAAGGTTCAGTGAATATGTACCGAGATTGGAGTAAATTGTTCTTTTTTCAAAGAGCGTCTCGTAAGCTAAATATCGCACAGACGATATCCTTATGCAACTTATCATAAGAATTCATTTATTTATTTCCTACTCCGCATATTTCCAATACTGTAACACCTGTTGAATGTGCTAAAAATAACCAACTGATAATACCAATAACGTGATATAGCATTTGTTTCCAGATTTTTCTAAAAAGGAATATTCCGGAACAGTCCTCACACAATTTGATCAATTATCGGAAAAGGCAGTTACAGGACAGAGTTTATCCTCTCTATAACCATTAGACATTCCAACTAATTTTCACTCTGAAGCTAAGCCATCGAATTTCGGGCGGTAATTTGTTTTTAATTAGATTAACAGGTTTAAACTCTTGTATTCTAGGAAAATTTAAAACTGGATGTGAACATTTGAAATGTCCGAAGTTAGAGACAGATTTACGGTAGTAAAGGCAGAGGATGACGATGTATTTGAAAACAAAGCAACACCTGATGGAAGCGATGTAAAGAAAGGGATACTTCAAGGTATTATTTTGATTGCTTTATTATTGTCTTTCTATTGCCTTTTTTTCTTTATCTAGTGTATGTAGAACTTGTTGCAAAATACACAAAAAGTATTTCAGTCGTAGCAAAAATATGTAACGTTAATGTAATCATATTTTTATTCTTCTTGTTTTCCTGGTTTTTAATTAGAAATTTCCTTTTTTTATTCTTTTTTTTTCTGTAGAATAGGAATCCTTTTCAAAAGCAATGCTAGTGCTGACTATAATCTTAGTGCAATGACTAAAAGTAATCAGTTTAGCTCAGAATAAATTATAATTTACATCTACGTTTTTTTCCTTTGTTTTGTTGTTGTTCTTGTTTTTATTTATTTATTTGTTTATTTATTTATTTGTTTATTTATTACCATTATCATTATTATTATTCTTGTTGTTGTTGTTGTTGTTATTCTTCTTCTTATTATTATTATTATTATTATTACACATTGAAACTTTCGTGGTTAATGTACAATTTCTTTTTACAGATAAAGAGCAACGTATACCTAGATCTCAGAGCACCGTAACTTTTCATCTCGAGGGTAGTGCTTGGTTGATATAACAATAATCTTAAAATGTGTGCCGTTTATATCTTTGATAATAACTCTAATTAATCTTTAGAATATCTCAATATCTAGAACAATTTATCATTTAAGTAGGTATCTGACGATCGCTTCTCAGTAATTAAGAAAAATTTCGAAATTCTTAACATTATCGAATAATATATAAATAATGCTTAAGGCAAGCAATATTTTCCTACTAAAAAATGAATTTAATTTAGTTAATTTGTTTCTGATAAAAGAGAACTTAAAGACTGATTGACGTATATCATTTACTAGATGGTTTTGGTTTTTATTTTCACAATAATGATTTAACCATATGAAAATCATACATTTATTAATAAAAATTGCTTATATAATTTTCTTTTGATCTTTAATAAAATACACAATTAGAAACTTACAAATGGAAGAGTCGAAGTTATCAGAGTTGAAAAGATAACCGAGATCATCCTAAATTATAAATATATTAAATATATATTAAATGATATTAAATAAATTCACAATTCAGATATTCACTTTTTGATTTAAAACATATATACTTCGTCCTTACATAAAATGTTGAAGTTTATTAGTTTGTCAACAGTACATTTCTCGGTTACCTATTTTATTGTTTTTTACGTATAAAAACTCATACTTTAATGTTTGAAACATGCTAGCTAACAAAATATCATTAGTACACTTCAGTCATTTCTTCATTGTAACCAGCCATTCTTTGAATATTTCGTAAATAAAATGTATTGCACATTAAGTTCTCTTTGCTGTGATAGATGATCTTCAAAGCGCGTTCATATTTTAGCTATCTTATATTTTCTCTGGCGGTAACTAAATAAAACTTAAAATGAAATTTTCTTCGGCAAACATTATACATTTACCAATCATTTTATATTACATAACACATGCAGGAATTAAAAACAATTAAGTAATAACTCGCTAGTTTTAACAGGTACGATGCAATATTTGAAGAAAAGCATATAAAATACGGTGCTTTGCACATTTTCAAACATTTGTGTTCTACAGATACACCTATAACATTTGTTAAAATGTTGGTTAAGAAATTTTTATCTTTATTGTTTAGAAAATGATGACAACGATGCACCCGGAAAAGAAACGACCCCCTTGACAGATGGAATGGTGCTGTATGAGGTATATAAACCATTCAATTATTTTAAAAAGCAATGCCGATATGTTCTTGATATACCTTAAAAGTCAGCATGTGTATTAGAATGCGTAAATTTTATTCAGTTAATTAAGAACATGTAAAAGAAGTATTCACGTAAAAAATACATGATCGCTTCATATTATTCTTTTAATATCTTTTAACTTAACTTTCATTCATTCATTCATTCATTCATTCATTCATTCATTCATTCATTCATTCATTCATTCATTCATTCATTCATTCATTCATTCATTCATCCATCCATCCATCCATCCATCCATTCATTCATTCATTCATTCATTCATAGTGCATGTCTTGTAAGTCACATTGTATTGTAGGATCTTGTCTCTTAAAGGGATTTACTTAAAAGACTACTGTTTGTATTGCTTACGAACAACTTAAACTGAAGGTTTTTGTTTTTTTACGGATATAGGAAGATATTGTAACAAAAGGAACGATGTCAACATTGTTGAAAAGGAGCCCGACAAAGGTGTCGTTCTGCGAACAGGTAGATGAAGTTGAAGATACATCAAAGGTATACCTACTGCATGTTATATTCATGTGTTATTCATATTTGATTAATTTAATTCATGTGTTATTCATATTTGATTAATTTAATTCATGTGTTATTCATATTTGATTAATTTAATTCATGTGTTATTCATATTTGATTAATTTAATTCATGTGTTATTCATATTGATTAATGTTAATTCATGTGTTATTCATATTTGAATAATGTTAATTCATGTGTTATTCATATTGATTAATGTTAATTCATGTGTTATTCATATTTGATTAATGATAATTCATTTGTTATTCATGCAAGTCGTTGCTTGGAAGATAATCGTGAAGGTGATGTTTGCATGTTAAAGTATTCAACTTAGATGTTTTAACTGTATTGTCTTTTATATGACATACACGTTCGCTTTATTCTGCATTATAAAAAGTCGTTATTATAAAAAGACGTTCACAATGCAGCAAACAAATGTTATAACTAACAAATGATATATCCTTTTTTTACATTATAGAAAAAGAAATTAGGTACACTATTTGGGGTATACCTACCAACAATCCAGAATATATTCGGGGTTCTTATATTTATTCGGGTCACGTGGATCGTAGGTATGGCGGGGACTATTGAAGGGTTTCTGATCATTTTTCTTTGCTGTTGCACGGTCAGTATTTTTTTCTCTTTTTTTCGTGTTCATTATTTCTAAATCACGTGCAATATCAGCTTTGACACGTCATTCCTTTTTATTTAGAACAATTTTCAAATTTATTTCAGAATATTTTTTACCACTAGGATATATACAAAGTGACATTTTTCTTTCTTTTGTTGGGTTTAACGTTGCATTAACTCGGTAAATTTTCCAGCTTGATATACTAGTAGAGGAAGACCTATGATACCCCTCGGCACAAACGGACGCCTGAAAAGAACCAGCAACGTTCCGGTTGATAGCTTCCTGACACGAACGAATCCAGTCCCTGGCGGGATTCAAACCCACATACGTATATTGTAACTTACGTGATTTTCATTAATACATTTGAGCTTGATCAATAGAAAACAAAAAATCAGCTTCAAATGAATTTGTTTTATTAACAGTATAAAACTGATATTAAAGGCATTGTATAATTATCTTTATTCTACAGAAATAAATTGTTTCTTTACCTGAACATGAGTATTATAATGTTTAAACAATGGTTTTAGAGCATGGTGTTAAATCTTATTATATATGCTAATCACCTGAAGAAAGTAGCGCTGAATGAGAAATAATTTGTCATAATAGTAGCATAATGTTTACAAAGTAGTGTTTTAACTTCCACAAAATACTGAATCACTATAGATACAGACCCTAGGTGCTTGAGGTCAATGAGAATCATTCTGAAAACTATGAAAGGCACAAAAGTAAAAATGTTTTTCAGAATTAAAATAAAAGCGGTTCTGGGGCATAATCGGCCATCTCCTAGATCAGACCCCTATTTATATTTCAGAAGTAAAACTAGTATATAATACACTTAAGAAAAAGGAATGAACATTATATAAGCTCCTGGTTTAAAACCTGTGGTCTTTAAATAATTAATAATGTACTTTACTGAAATAAGCATTCCTGAACATAAAAATAGTTTATAAAAACATTGCTATCATTTACATTTAGACAACATTGACGTCAATTTCTATGAGTGCCATAGCAACCAATGGTATAGTGCCGGCGGGAGGTTCGTACTTTATGATATCGCGAGCTCTTGGTCCAGAGTTTGGCGGGGCTGTAGGAATACTCTTCTATCTAGGTTTTACAGTAGCAGGTTCTATGTATGTCATAGGTGCCATTGAGATCTTAGTTGTAAGTAATCATCTTCCTTAACATATGCATCGACATGTATATTAAAATCGTTTTCGGGAGTTTTCTTATATAAAACATATAGACAGAATTAAAACTGTTCAACATATTTTCATATTTTGGCATGACGACTGGAATATTTTCAGCGAAAAAAGCTGGGTGCCGCCGATCTCATTTTGAGTTTTAGCTTAAAATGTTTTAAATTCTATTGAACAGTTTTAATTTTGCCTAAGTATATGTATATATGAACACTCTTGAAAACGTCTTTAATTTGAATAAGGCTCCTTCTTTTTATTCGGTCTGTAATGTTTTGTTAAGAAATTATAAAGATAGTATTATATAAGTTCTTAAGATAAAGTTTTCTTTCATACAATTTGAAGGTATCCACTTTAGGCGTGTATACGCCATAATGCAACCATAGATTTGTTTTATCAGATATAAACAGAGGCATACTTACAAAACTAAACTAATACTAATTAATAATGTTGTTAATCAACATACCAATAAAATGCACAAAAAACAACGGATGTGTAAAAATCTTAACGTGTACTCTTTTCAGACATTCATAGCGCCGCAGATTTCTTTATTTGGTGACGTCACCGAACTTTCCAACGCTCTCAACAACTATCGTTTGTTTGGCACGATTTTACTTCTCTTGCTGTTTTTGATTTGTTTCATCGGAGTAGAGTTTGTCGCTAAATTTGGACCATTCTCCTTGTTTTGCGTCGTGTTCTCTATTATCTGTATCTATATAGGGATATTTGTAGCCTCTCCAGAAACCAGTGTACAGTAAGAGAATTGCTTTTGATGATTTCAATTCAATTAATAAACGATTAACAATTGACATCACTACTGTCCCTCCACGGAGCACTGTTTTATCCCAGAAGTAATGATAAAAACGTTTTATGCGTGCACCATCATGAGACAATTCTTCAGGCGATAAAAGCTTTTTAAAAGCTCTTTTTTTTGTTAACATTTCATTGGATCTAAATATAGTATTTCAATTGTCCTTTAAGAATATTTTTGATAATGGAATAAGGCTATAAATATAATTCATTTTCCTGTTCTATAATTGACAAATTGTCAATTAAGAAGAACCGTGAATATACATTATTTAAGTGCTCAAAGTAAACGTTGAGTTATATATTAGAACACATTTTAGATTACGAGTTATTGTAAGCATATATATATTATAATGCAAAAGCATTGAATTATGCAGTTTATTTTATTTTTAATACGAAGAAACATTGATATTGTTTGTATTACGTAATTGTATTACGTCATAACATTATGCGTACATTTTTTTAAAAAAATTGTTAAGAATGGTACACTACACAATTTTGTAATATTGTACTTGTTAGAATATGCTTCCTCGGTGACCGGTTGCTCACACTGTCATCAGTGTCTGTGGACGGTGTTATGATGTGTACGAAGAATGAGACGGGACCAATCTTCAACAACTACTGTAGTTTAAACGCCCTCAACGAGACAGTATGTGATCCTTATTTCCTCGAGAATAATGTCACTCTTAGAGCCGGCATGCCGGGTCTTGCGAGCGGAAACTTCTTTAGTTAGTGCCAATTTATGTCATCATAATTAAATGAAGTAAATAGGAATGTAATCCAATAACATTAATTAAAATGTGATTGTGTATTACAATACACATATCTTCCAGGAACCGTATTATATTAGATTATACACTTTATTACAATTAATAATAATTTTTATTTTACCTTTAATGTTATTAGCTTTCTTTTAAAATCCTTATATTGTTATTTGTGTTAGATTTTTTAAGATAATCATAGTTTTTGCTATAATATGATACATTCTAATACACGTACTAGTATTGCTATAGAATCTACAGATTGGAAAAAAGTTTGCTAATCTAAATATGTCATTTTATCTTACACACTCAGTTCATCTTTGTCAACATTGATTCATTTAACTGCCCGATATTTTCCAGAAAACATTCCCCATAGATATACCGAGAAAGGAAATTTGATAGGCTTGTCAGAGCCTGGGAATAGAGAACGTGGTGAAATTATAGCTGATCTCACTTCAACGTTTACTGTTTTGTTAGCAATTTACTTCCCTTCTGTGACAGGTACGAAACCATCTGATGGTGTTAGTTTGCAAACAACTGTGGTCATTAGAAATCGGTTAATCGGTTTGTTTTCTTTAGAAACTCATTTGTCTGTATATCATTGACTTAATCAGTCTGATGTCTAAGCGTGTCGAGATGCAGAGATAATATTCTATTAAATGTCAAAGTTTTGTTTTAGATTAGGTATGTACCAATTACATGACGGACATATTCCGTTTTAGTTTCTATATATGATAATCTTTCATTAAAACTTTACTTCTTCATCAACGCAAAATTTGAATATAATATTAATGAGCAAAGGTAAACGGCTGTTGAGAAAGATCTATGTCGTACGAGTATATATTGAAAAGACTTCTGGCTATTTATTTTCTATAATAACTCTATATGTATGTGTTTACAGGTATTATGACAGGGTCCAACATGTCTGGTGATCTAGAAGATGCTCAGAAGTCTATACCTGGTGGTACCTTAGCCGCCGTATTGTCTACATCTGCTGTCTGTATCCTTGGCAACGTTACCAGTCGTGCTTCATCAAATACCTAGTTTATACATGTATAAGTAGTATTAGGGCCGGCCCCAATTCTACTTATACATACGGAAAATTATGTTGAAGTAGCTTCCTGAAGGGTTGCGTTCATTGAAGGCCGACTTTCCTTGATGACCTTGTTTATCATATTTTTGGTTGGTGGCTGTATTGTGTCAGGGCGGCGTTTTGCTTTGGTCTTTGTTCTCTATTTTTTGTATTTTGTTACGAGCAGCGTCGTAAAATGGATATCGGCGAGCGGGATATGCATTTTTCGCACGCTGCGAGTAGCAAAATTCAACGCCTCAGAAAGCTACTAAAATAATTTTCCTTTTATTAAATACATATAAATATAAGACACATAGAGATTCAATTTACTGAACTTCTATTAGTTATTTTCTGTTATTTTTTCAAACAAAAATATAACTTTCAAGAAATAATATTCATGAGTAAGATATGAACAAGTTTTTGTTATAAAAATCGTTGCATCTTTTCCCGTTTCTTAATTCTAAGTAATGCACAGTTAAGATTGGAACCAATGTGAAAAATTATCCTGTACTTACATATATGGAACCGTATTTGCCACTAACATAATACGGATTTTCTATCCGTTGACGCTTCAAGATTTGCGTGTATTTTAGTAAAATCATTCATTTCTCAATTCCTCCAGGAATAGCTTAAAAACTGAATACATGTAGCTGTAATTTAATGACACTAATTTCGTTTTCAATTAATTTTGATCAAAGCACTGTTTGACTGGTTTCATTCCTCGAAAAAGTATTAATCTTTATTGTTCGACCTAACGATATATTTAGTTGTATTTCTTTAACATTTTCTATATTTGTCATGCGTGCTGTTCTTCGCTGCGGGGATAGAAGGAGATTTATTGAGAGACAAGTTAGTTTTATGTCAATTTTATTATGCCCCCACAATGTGGGAGCATATAGCGTTGCACTTGTCCGTCCGTCCGTCAGTCAGTCCGTCCGTCTGTCAGTCCGTCCGTCCGTCCGTACGTACGTCCGTCCGTACGTCCGGAAATCTTGTGAACGCAACTCCTCTTAAACCGGATGGCAGATTTTGCTTAAACTTACAGGGATGAACAACCTTAATGTGAAGATGGTAGTAAAGGAAGGAATTTTTGCTGCGACCAAATTTTACAGAATTATGGCCCTTTGTTGATTTTTTCACTATATACTATGTAGAAATTTTTTGAATGCAACTCCTCTTAAACCGGATGGCAGATTTTGCTTTAACTTCCAGGGATGAACAACCTTAATGTGTAGATGGTAGTAAAGAAAGGAATTTTTGCTGCAACCAAATTTAACAGAATTATGGCCCTTTTTTTGATTTTTTCATTATATACTATGTAGAAATTTTGTGAACGCAACTCCTCTTAAACCGGATGGCAGATTTTGCTTAAACTTCCAGGGATTAACAACCTTAATGTGTAGATGGTAGTAAAGGAAGGAATTTTTGCTGCAACCAAATTTAACAGAATTATGGCCCTTTGTTGATTTTTTCATTATATACTATGTAGAAATTTTGTGAACGCAACTCCTCTTAAACCGGATGGCAGATTTTGCTTAAACTTACAGGGATGAACAACCTTAATGTGTAGATGGTAGTAAAGGAAGGAATTTTTGCTGCGACCAAATTTTACAGAATTATGGCCCTTTGTTGATTTTTTCACTATATACTATGTAGAAATTTTGTGAATGCAACTCCTCTTAAACCGGATGGCAGATTTTGCTTTAACTTCCAGGGATGAACAACCTTAATGTGTAGATGGTAGTAAAGAAAGGAATTTTTGCTGCAACCAAATTTAACAGAATTATGGCCCTTTTTTGATTTTTTCATTATATACTATGTAGAAATTTTGTGAACGCAACTCCTCTTAAACCGGATGGCAGATTTTGCTTAAACTTCCAGGGATGAACAACCTTAATGTGTAGATGGTAGTAAAGAAAGGAATTTTTGCTGCAACCAAATTTAACAGAATTATGGCCCTTTGTTGATTTTAGTTTTCAACTTGTGGCACATGTAGTCCAAAAAATATTTGACCTAGAGTCATAAGATTGACAGAACAGTGGCGTGTGGGGGCATCCGTGTCCTATGGACACATTTCTAGTTTTTAATGTCATGTATTCCTTTTTATGTCTCGATTGCAATAATTCGATATTTGTTGAACACAAAAGAATGAAATACCTGTACATAATTTATTTGTTTATTTGTCAGATAGAAAACTGTTTATAGTTTTATTATTTCTGTTATTACATTCATTTTACCATTTTATCTAGAATTGTGTAAATGAAGTCGTCAACTCTGTGGTCTTTCTTATATATATTTTCTAGTCTTTCGGGATCTCTGATTCCAATACTTTTAGTGATAATGATTGAAATTCGCTTCAGCCGGTGCTAGGGGGCGTATGAGATGTTTCACTATACTGTATATATATATATATAGTCTCTGATATACAGACTCAATCAAATTGCGTCTACGATCTTTAAACCTTTGTTTTCGTTTTCCTTCCCTTCAATTTTCCATTATACAGAATACTTAAAATATTAATCGTAAATGGTATACATTTATTCACTGTTATGCAGATTAGGCGAGAGTATAACATTTATTCACTGTTATGCAGATTAGGCGAGAGTATAGGAGGGGGACTTGTCATTGCATATACAGCCTGGCCGACTAAATGGATGGTGTTAATCGGTTCTTTCCTGTCCACTATTGGTGCTGGATTACAGTCTATTAATGGTATGATGTTTATTGCTGTCGTTTTTGTTTTTGTTGTTGTTATTGTTATTTTCAAAAGTAGAATAAAGTATTAAACTAAATATCTTAAATTCTTATATTATCACGTTTTCTTGGTTGAACTTTGTTCTTGTCTTTTGCAGGTGCTCCAAGATTATTATATGCCATAGCAAATGACAATATTATTCCGTTCTTAAGAGTGTTTGGCAGGACGAGGCGTGGTGAACCTTTTCTGGCACTTGTGTTAACTGTGGCTATAGCCCAAGCAGGAGTTCTTGTCGGAAACTTAGATTATGTGACCCCTATCATTACAATGTGAGTAAATTTAATTATATAGTTACTTGGGGAATAATGCATATTTTCTGATTGATTGATTGATTGATTGATTGATTGATTGATTATGTATAACCTAATATTTAATTTGTTTATCAAAATATGTTTAAAAATGGAACCTGAAATGTCGGCTTCCTGTCAAAGTTGAATATTTTGCAGGCTTTAAGTGATTTAGTAGGTGCATGGGCGGTATAAGCTTCTGTCAAGGCCAGATAGCTCTATCTTAATCAGACTTCAATATTTACATATGACAAATGGTTAATGTCAGCACCAGAAAATGTATCAATACCGTGTTATTATTCAATGACGAACGTCAAATTCCAAAGGAGAAATTACGCGTGCACTTAACGAAGCAACAATGGATGATACTCATATGACATACCGAGTTTAATAATGGATGACGCATGATACAAATATAACACCTGCTCAGACATAATATTTGGTGATGAAACTGATTAATTTATCGCATGATGTACAATTAACTCAGCAATTAACAATGATTGAATTTGTAGGTTTTTCCTCATGTGCTACCTGTTTGTCAACCTTGCGTGTGCCTTACAAACATTGCTCCGATCCCCTAGCTGGAGACCAAGATACAGATTTTATCACTGGTAAAAAAACGTTTGTTTTTTCTTGATTTCATTAGTTTAATTGCAATATATTTCCCAGTGGTTCTATTCAAAATAACTGTTATTACAAGCTTTTACCGTGTTTTCCCTGGACTAAACTGGATGCTCGTGTCGATGTGAAAGTTGTTCCTTTTGATCCTCCATAATTTCCGGTTTTTATCTTATCGACGTTAATCAAATAGCCACCATTTATTTGTATTTTCCAATATCATTTTGTTTAGATACATTTGATGCATGCCAACAGGTCAGGGTATTATATGATAAATGTGAAAGACGTTGGCAAAATACGAATATCAAAGTTCATGTCCCAAGTATAAGCATTAACTTAATATATTCTATGTCCCTAATGATAACGTTTGACAGATGATGAATGTCTAGAGTCAAGATGTAAATGAAAGATGTGAAAGTAAACGAAATTATCTTGTTCGTATTACCGAAAGCGCTTTGATTAATATGCGTTTCTACATGGTTGAAAATATGTTTTTTCCTAGCACTGAATATAAAGTTCTTAACAATTGCATTTTGTTTTACTCTTTTGTTTTTGAACATGCACCGTCATGCAATGTTAAATCAAAAAAAGTGTTCATTAAATAGAGTTTCAACAATTTCATTTATTTAACTCCAGACGACATTTAAATAATTAAAAGCATACTTTGACAAGATGATCCGTCCGTCTCACACTTTTGTTCCCATTGTCACGTCATTGACATAAAAAGGTATAAACTTTGAGCATTGATCAAGACAAGTTGAAGGACTATATTGATTTTGAGGCCATTGAATCAAAGGTCAAGGTCACATTTACACTTTATGTAAAACTCATGTCTGATCAATAACTCAACACATTGAGAAATGGGGAGCTTTTTTACAAACTTGGTTAGGGCATTGCCCAATGCCAGTTGATGAGCCCTTTGATTATTAGGTCACTGGGTAAAGTTATCATTGACTCTTAAATGACACTTGTTCAATCGATAATAAGAAGTAATAAGTCTGAATTTGTAAAACGTCGTAGAGATATGACCCTCGGTGAGTTTATGACCTCTCTAGATTTGGACGTCATCTGATCAAAGATTAAGGAAACAACGACACTTTATGTGTTGTATCAGATGGAGAAGAAATAAGCCTAAATTTGTTAAACTTAGTTAGAATACTTTAATTAGGAATATATATTATTTATAAAAACAACACTTGGTTTTAAAGAATATGTATAAGTATGTTAATATGCAACTGTCACAGGGGGAATGAAGTTGGAACATAAGTGTCTTTACTCTCCTTCGAAGTTGAAACATAAGTATCTTTACCCTCTTTCGCATCGGTACAATATCCAACTACCATTCAATTTCTTACGAAGTAACGGTAGTGTGTTCAATATGCTGCTAAGAGAGCGTAGTGCCAAATGGAAACATCTCTAGTTATTTGCAATTTTACGTCTGCTGTCTTTTAATCTTTATCTCATTTTGTTGCTCATGACATATCATTGAATCTTTTAGGACACTATCGCTACTAGGAGTTGGATTGTGTGCAACACTGATGGTAATATCTAGTTGGTATTATGCTTTGGTGGCCTTTGCTATGGCAGGAGGAATATACAAATATATTGAATATAAAGGGTAATACTTATACCATTGTTGTTATTCTTTATTCTCCGCCCAATAAACAATCAGCATCTTTCTTATTCAGTATCTGCGATAAAGTTTCCATTTTGTTTTGAGGAAAAGTATAGGATCTAAAATTAGATGTCTATAAAGTTCATTATAACATGCAATAAACTTTAAAAGTTTTTATTTCTTGTGATTTGTATTAAAGCAGCATGCCTCCAGATTCATGCTAATGTTCATGAAAAATTTAAAGATATCTTTACATTTAAAATACTGTAAAGTGAAAAAAGTAATTTACACATTGAAATCTACGTAAATTACCAAAATGAGGTCAAAATATGCAATAACATTTCTTACTGCGTAAGTCATGAAGTGGAAATATGGTGATAAATGCTGCAAAATCAGTCATTAATTGCATAAAAATATAGATTTACTCAAAACTTGAATCCTTTTACTTTAAAATCTTAGAATATTCTTTTCAAGTTCGATGTTTTAAGACAAAATATGTTGGCTCATCTGGAGGCATAAAGCTTTAAAAGACAAAGATAAAATATCATAATTATTTCTGGTTTTAAGTGCGGAGAAGGAATGGGGAGATGGGATTCGAGGAATGGCTATGTCTTTAGCTAGATATTCTTTGTTGAAAGTTCAGCAGACACCACCACACGCCAAAAATTGGAGGTGAGCTAATATTACTGTTTACATTTCATAAATTATTCTCAAATACACTTACACTGTATAAAGTTTATGACTGATGTATAACATTTTTTTTCAATAAGTGAGTAAAAGTTCATGCATGCAGTTGCAGTTCTGTAAGAGATAATTTGTACATTATTTCAACTATTATTTCAATAAATTTTGCAATTTGTATAATTATCAAACCGAAAAACTTTTTGTTTATTATTATTATTATTTATAGGCCGCAAATAATTTTGCTGTGTAAACTGGACGAAAACCTAAATCCAAAGTACGAAAGAATGATCCATTTTGCAAGTCAGCTTAAAGCAGGTAAATACGTACTTTTGTACTAAAAACAAGGCTCAAAACATTATTTTCTCAGCTGCACTATTATTTCTAGACATTTTGCTTTCAGATAATGTTTATATATGAATTTCCCATAGGCCAATTACAGTTATTCTTACTATTAATTTAAGTGTACCATGTGACTAAAATTTGTGTACTGATACATAGGTAGCAGTATTTGTTCGGGGTCATAAAATAACCAACACGCTAACGCCTTGGGTAAAAATATTTTACTTGGAATGATATTTTTACTGTTACCCACAAACCTATATATGTGTTAGCTATATACTGACGTCCACTTCATTTTATATCAATTATAAACTGTTGAAGTTGATAAATTATTATGTTGTTGCTCAATCCATTTCCTGTTGAAGACATCACATAATGTATTGGATATGTAGAGTGTTTTGGAATGTGTCTATATGATGGAAGAATAGCATTTGACAAGTTGAAATTTCTGAATGTTATGTAAGAGAGCGATCATCAAAGCACGAGGCTGATTTATACGAAGGGGCGTTGACGTCACAATACAAAACCCCAGAAAAAGTAACCAATGTAAAACATGTGAATACGACTTTTCTCCCTGTCTCTGCAAAAGGTAAGCCTCTGAAAAAATGAGCTTATCAATGAGCATACTCTATTGTTATCTCAGACAGACAGGGTGGTAAATAGAGTGCGGGTAACCTATTATAATAATGTATGGGTATTTAACTCTGACACATTTTCCATAGAAAGGTCTCCAAACTATGATTTAATTATTCGTTGTTTTAGGTAAAGGACTCACTCTAATATCTTGTGTATTAGAAGGTGTATTTGAGGAGAGAAAGGATGATGTTAGACAGGTGAAACAGGTAAATTACATACAAAAATCATTTTGTAGATTTTTTGCAGACTAGGATAATTACTTTATAACATTCTCAAATAAGAATGTTACTTTTATGTTGCATTGTTTCTTTAGATATTCTTTTATAACGTTACAAATACTAGCGTTGTTTGAATGGTCCTGACTGTATGATACAAAATGTCATTAACTTTCAAACGAATGCAATGTTAGGAAGTTAAGCAAAATTCGTTTTAATTTCTGATTAAAACATAGGTAAAATACATGCTATATTATCATATATGATGTTTGAAGTTTTCAATTATAATATCAAATTGGACTAAATAGTCCATTAGGACAAACATATACATGATAAATGACAGGAAAGTGTATAGCATGTGCATACAAATAAAATTTCATAATAAAATGAGTAAGCGGAGAAGATATACAAAATTGTTTGTTATTATTATATTGAATATAACCTATAATTTAAAACAAAAGACATTCAACTGCAAACACATATAATGCGGAAATATATTGCATTGGATAAAAGTGACAAAAGATGTATATTATTTGTAATATAAATTTATATTCATACTTGTTCGTGTATGTATATTTTGTATACACATTCTTCAAGGATAATTAATGTATGTTTACATAATCTTGTTTTAACAATTATAGTGTTCGGCGCGGTATGGCCACTTATGTATCTAGTGCCATGAAAGATATATTAATATGCTCAAATTTAATATTAAAAAACTTATTAATACTATACAGTCTCTTATGAAATGAAAAAAAACCATCTTTTGAACACACAAAGAGAAAATCTGTTACGTTTAAAACTCTACACACAGTAAAATTACATATTACAAAAACTGGCAGTTTTTGTAAGAATAGACCAAATTAATTTGACGAGAAATGGGGATTGCAGCTTCCCAAATAAAGTTCATGTTATTTTTTTCAAATTAAACGTATTCAAGATGAATGTACTAGATTTCAGTACATTTCTGCAATAAAAGTATTTTACTTTTGATGAGAAGTATATCTCTAAACCCAGACAAACATATGTATGTTTTGTTTCAGAATTTGCAGCAGACGATTGATAGGATTGGAGTTAAAGGTTTTAAAGATGTCGTCGTTGCCAAGGACAGATCCATCGGATGCTCGCATTTGTAAATATCTAAATGGTGTCCATAAATTTCTCAAAACAAAAAACAAACAAGAGAATGGATAACATAACTTTCAGTTTTATATACCATTTTTACAGAAAAAAATCGTATTTATTTGAGTAACATTACGTACAAACGTTCTAATGTGTTTGCCTTTTATCTGAAAGCACGCTTACCTTTTGCACCAAGATAAAACAGTATATTCGGAAGAAAAAAGCAGGACATTTTTATGGCGTTTATTTAAATCTGTGTTGTAAATCTTGCAGCTTTTATATTAAACTGACTCTCGAGTCCGCTAAATTGAACTTATCTATACTTGGGTCATTTGAGGAAACATTGTCTTGTCCCAAGTATGGCTCGAGTTTATTCAAACAAAATGTAAACATATGACGTATAGTTTTGCAGTAAAATAATGCACAATTATTACATTTAAGCAAATTAATATGCAGTTTAATAGATACAACAAAATTAATGTAAATTGTTTAATACTAAACTTTGATATAATTTGTCACAAAGACAACACCATAGAAAAACTACATGTTCTGTCATTATCACCTTGATAACAATCTTTATCAAAAGTGAAAGTGGCGAAACAATACCAGCGAGATCTAAGCAACCTTAGATCATTATTTTGGATAGTTTTTGTATATCATTTGATAGTACCGTTTACGTCAGCATGATGTTTTTTCATTAAAGTAGTTATAAAACTTTGGTGTTCGTAAAAGAATAATTACTTTCTATAGAACATAGTCTTAGCAGCTTAACAGTGGAATTGCGTGTTGTCTCCATGACACAGTATATTTTTTTTATATTTTGAATTAAACATTGCATACCATTTTTAGGAAACACACTTTTTATTTGATTTCTTGCTTTAAACCTTTTATGTGTTTCAAAGTAGGTGAAATGTAAACAATAACGTGCCTAAGTTACATGTACATCCGTTACTTAGAAGCGTTGTATTTTGTTTCATGAGCCCTATCCTGCACCAGGTGAAAATGTAGAGTTTCCATATCCATATCAGTCAAACAAGACTTTTTCCAAATATCTTTCGTTATTATGGCTTCCTTAAATGAGATTATATGGTACCTACAAAACAATAATACGGCATTTTTGGCACTATTTATAGTTTCATCCACCTGACTAACACGTGCATTTATATTACTTTTATTTGTTTGATTGGGTTTTACGTCGTAAAATGACACAGTATATGTCATATGGCGACGTTCCAGCTTTACTGGTGGTAGAAGACCTCAAGTACCCTTCCGTGCATTACTAAGTAGTCCAGGCACGAACGGGCACTTGAGTCGAACCCCCGATGTTTCACCATATGAAAGAATCCAAAGTCCCTGTCGGGATTCGAACCCACAGCGGTGAGGGGCATCTGGTTCGAAGTTTACGAACTAAACCACTTGGCCACGGACGCAGGCTTATTATTTTTTACATTACTATCTTATTTATAGGGTGCAGACAGCGGGACTTGGAGGTCTCAAGCCTAACACTGTACTGTTGGGATGGCCTTACAGCTGGAAACATGGTACCAATGATAAACGATTCAAACCGTTTATAGGTATGACGACTTATATAATCTTGTCTGTAAAGATGCACCTTTAGCCAGGCAATAACTATTTGAGATTTGTATGTGTTTACACTTCAAAGAAATAAATGATATTGATATTGATTGGGTATTTTACTTTACTTTCATGTTTAATTCGTTTTTTATCTTCTCACGTTTTTCTTTGGTATCTCGCCGCATTCATCATAAAATGATATTTCTGGTAATTGAAATGTCATCGGAAGGAAAACAAACTGTATGTCGATATAATTATTACTTTCAATTAAACATAAAACAATAGTCTATTAGATCTTTAAAGAATTCTGAGGTTATTTCTGGAAGTAGATCAGAAGTAGCATAAATGTTACGTCATAATAGGTGGCATTTATACTGATATTAACATGGACATTATAGATACGATTCAGTGTGTAGTGGCGGCGGACATGGCTTTACTGGTATTTAAAGGTGCGAAAGGTTTCCCAACAAGTTCCGAGAAAGTGAAGGGCACAATTGATGTCTGGTGGATTGTCCATATCCTTTTTATAACTATTGTTTTTAATTGATCACATCAAATTAAACACCTTGTTTATTTATTTATTGTTTATGTTTACTAAACCTTTATCATTACAAATGGTAAATCTTATTTTCGCAGTTACCGATTGTAAATCTTTACAAAAATAAATGTGACTGGCCAATAAAATTTCTTATAAATAGCATTATTCATTTTATGCAGCATTTATTGCAATTTGATTGTTTAGTACTCTATAAGCTTAAGGACACACGGTCCTCGAACCAACCGGCACTGAGCTATAAGTGTTAAGGAAACAACGATTCACCGAACAAACGCAGCTAGCGATTGTTAGATTATTAGCTCGACGCGTGAATCACTCGGCCAAGCTGTCACGTCTTTAACAAATAGCATTAACTGAATGCCGATCGTCAAGTTTGCTATTCTTTTAATATTTTAGATTTATTTTTCTGTGAAATATGAACACATGAAATCATTAAATAGCCTTAACAGTTTAAACAAGATGGAGGTCTTTTGGTGCTATTACCTTACCTTTTACGACAACACAAGACGTGGAAAAATTGTAAACTCCGAATATTCAGCGTGGCTCGTATCCTTTGTCACATACAATGTGTTGCTTTGTTATTTTTTAATCTCTTAATAAAACATTTTTTTATGATTCGGGGTCATATTTATTTAATTGGTAAATAATTAGTTTATGACTACATGTTATTGTTCGGACACACTTTTCTTCCAAACTTTTTAACATTCAGTGTGTCATTTAGTAAAGTTTTTCTTCTTTGAAACAAAAAGCATATTGCATTACGTTTCAATAAACTTGATGTTGATAGGTAGTACTCTAATTGCTTTGTAAATTTATTTAATTATTCATAAAATAGGTTTTTCGAGTTTTGCAAACACATGATACTTCAATTGACCTTGACATCTATAAAGAAATGTCCGATAATAACATTCAGATGAAAAAAGATTTGAAAGCATTCATGTACAAACTGAGAATTGAGGCTGATATTGACGTTGTTGACATGGTAATAGTTAGTTTAAACATATTATATTGCAACACATGCATGTAAAATATTATACACATGATACGTATATGACAAAAAGCAAATAGTTCGGGCAAAAAGTTCTAGCCACATTAAATTAATCATTCATTTGGGAATAAAAGTGCCTTATCTTGACTTAACAGTATAACGTCTTGAAATGAAAAGAGCTTGTGATCTCATTAAGTAGAAACTTTGATTTATTCGTATTGTCCTTTATACGAACGGAGCGTTTGATTAACACAGAAGATTGATTTTCAGATTTACGATAAGGCTGTGGTCGATGATTTCAAATAGAAATGGGAATTATTGTTTTTGTCATTTTTATATAATCTATTCTTGTTTTGTTTTTGTTTTATTTTCCTCCAGCAACACAGTGATATATCACCTGATACGTATGAAAGAACGCTACAAATGGAACAAAGGATTGAAATGATGAAGAAAATGAAAGAAGCATCTGGAGCAGACGATACAGTTGTACCTGATGTCACACGTAAACAGAGCAAAGAAGAGACTAAAATAGATTTAGACATCCAGACCAATGGTGATGTTTTAGATACGGAGGAAATATCTCAATTTAATCAATATACATTTACTCCTACAACTCGAGGAAAGGCGCACACGGTTGAAGAGATTGCGGAGAATGTGAACAAGAATATATCCGAGATACTTGTATACGGGAAAGAGCCTCCTAAATCTGGCAATACGGAGCCGTAAGAAATTATAAATTTGACGTTAACATTCTTTCAGCTATCATCTTTACTTCTTTTACTCATAATTGTCTGTATTTTTATACCACCAATACATGCTTTTTGTTATATTTTAACAATGTAATCTGTTTTAGACTTCCATATTTAAGAATGTCAACGAAATTCAAATACTTATATTATTGTAGTTATAAATGGTACAGTCATCTTGGTTAATTTCTTTGATGCAGGAAAGATTTATTTTTAACACAGTATGGTAAGTATACGTCGTGAAGTAAATACCACATTGCATAAAACATTATTTTCTTATTGTGAGAACAGAGATGAGAAGAATGTAAAGAGGATGCACACGGCTGTAAAGTTGAACGAGCTGATACAAATGAACTCGAAAGGGTCTCAACTCGTCATAGTTAATCTACCACCGCCACCAAAAGCTTCTGATGGAGAAATAAGGAGTCTACAATGTATCCTTGATTTAATTCAACATGTGAACCATACAAAATGGCTTAATGAAGCCCATTTATATTTACAGTTTTCCTAATAAAAAATGATACTTACATGTTTTAAACGCATTAAATGTATTTTTATTCATATAGTCTTCACCAACACTAAGAACTATACTCTGGTAATTGAAATAATCCAGTAGTAACAATAAATAGAAAGGGTAGATCTATTATCTAAAACTTAAATACTCAACATAAAATTGATACAAAAATAACAAGGAAATAATGACACACTGAGCGTGGGACAGGCTTATAGTCGAGTTTGCACATGCACTGTATAAGGTTTCCATTTTGACTATTACGAACTTATAATTGCAACAAATAAACTATAAATAAAAAAATCAACCTTCTTGCATGGAATAATGCACAAATATAGCACCGAAAATGCCTATTCGTTGCCAAACAAATTGTAAAATGAAATGTCCATTCATGACGATATGAAGACATGATTTGTCTCGCACTATATTCATTAAACGTTTAGTGTTTCATTTTTTTTTAATTTTGTTTTGTTTTGTTTTGTTTATTTTTTGCTTTTTTTATTAAATTTCTAAGATCTGGCATGAGAAACGTAATTTTTTTATCCTTAACGTAACTCTTAGACATGGAGTTCCTAGAGGTACTAACAGAGGGCATAGATCGTGTTCTGATGGTGAGGGGTAGTGGTAGTGAAGTCATCACGATTTATTCATAAACTTAATTCTTACCAGTAGAGGATCAGCAATTTTATCACATGAAAATGGCAAAGCCTCCATACACGTGACACATTCCCTTTTTATATAATTATTTCCGGACAAGTAGCATAGTGATATTTAATTCGTTGTTTCGTATATTTGAAGAAAAAACATATTTTTTTGAGATAAATGTCTTGACAATATTTGAGCTTAAAACATATTTTTGAGATAAAGGTCTTGAAGATATTTAAAGACAAAACCTATTTTTGAGATACAAGTCTTGAAGATATTTAAAGACAAAACTTATTTTTGAGATAAAGGTCTTGACAATATTTAAAGGCAAAACATATTTTTTGAGATAAAGATCTTGAATGTGTTTGGAGACAAAACATATTTTTGAGATTAAGGTATTGAAGATATTTAAAGACAAGACATATTTTTGAGATACAAGTCTTGAAGATATTTAAAGACAAAACATATGTTTGCGAAAACAAGTCTTGAAGATATTTAAAGACAAAACGTGTTTTTGAGAAAAAAGCCTTAAAGATATTTAAGGACAAAACATATTTTTGAGATAAAAGTCTTGAATAAATCTAAAGACAAAAACTATTTTTGAGATAAAGGTCTTGAATATATTTAAGGACAAAACATATCTTTGAGATAAAAGTCTTGAATATATTTAAAGACAAAACATATTTTTGAGATAAAGGTCTTGAAGATATTTAAGGACAAAACATATTTTTGAGATTAAGGTCTTGAAGATATTTAAGGACAAAACATATTTTTGAGATAAAAGTCTTGATGATATATAAAAACAATACATATTTTTGAGATAAAAGTTTTGACGATATTTAAAGATAAAACATATTTTTTAGATAAAGGTCTTGAAGACATTAAAAGCCAAAAAAATATTTTTGAAATAAAGGTCTTGAAGACCTGCACATTTAATAGCTTTTTTTCATATATTTTTTAATCATTGCCAAGTCATTTGATACAACGGCTGTTTTAAGTCGCTCAAATACGATCACTTAGTTTTAACTTACCATATAAAACATAAGTGCTTTGAAAGGGCACGGTTTATTTTTGTGACAATTTGTTTTATACCTTAAAATGTCAAAACAATGCCATGAAGTTTGTTTATTCCAAATCATATTTTTTGTGTGTATATCAAAATATAAAATGAAATCATGTATTTCATGAAGAACATAGACACCAAAATATAAAACATGTCATTACAGATGCTATCGTAAACGTCATAATTGTCAGAATAAATAAGCATAGTGCAATTTTAAATAATAGAGAAGATGTCTAAATACGCCTGTTAATATTTGTTAAAGCAAAAACGTTTCTCTAATAAAAAAAAACATTTTGTCACGCGTTGAATGAATCATATTTCCCTTAAAGCTGTAATATTTTAAAAGCCCCTGAGGTTTTAGCTTCTTCGTGCAAGTTCTGAGTCAAACGTCGTTAAATGTATAGAAATGTATACATTACAATATTCTATATTATTTTCCTTAAACCTTAACACTGTTTTGATTATGTTTTACTATTACTTACAACTGTACGTTGTACATAGGATTCAAAGGTGGTCAATGTATTCTTTTTATAAATTAAACTGTACGACGACGGTGACTTGTTGGATTAATTTAAAGTTGTTTTTGTGTTATATGATTAAAGTATGAATTATTGTAAATTTGTGCCTGTGTAATGTTGATAATAAAAACAAATTATTTAAATCTTTTAATCATGTTTTATGTTTTATATTTATTTTCCCTGACTACGTGTACAGTATAATTGTACCCAACACTTATTTGAATATTAAATGTATATAATCAATTAAGTCTTATTCTTATCACTTATTTGAATATTAAATTTATATATTTAATTAAGTCTGATTGTATATTCAAATAGTTTTTAAATTTGTTATCGGTGGCAGGGCAATAATGTGTTCACAAAAAGTGATAAAAACGAAAAAAAAAGACAGAAAAGGACTTATTAAACAATTAAATGTTGAATTCTGCTTAAGCCGGTGCTAGTGGGCGTGGACGGTAACTTGCACTTTCCAGTATCGTCCATGAACAGGCTCAATCAAACCGAGCCTGCAACATTTTCAATTTTGTTGTGTTGGACTTTCTTTAGGGATTCTGTTTTTCTCTATTTTAGGAGAGGTACTTTTACGCAACAAATCCATTAACAACATCCTGTCGCTCAAGGCCCGGTCACATAGTCTTTCGCGTCTGTATCGCGGGTAAAATTTCACGATTTTTTTGCCTGTTCCTCGTCCTTATCGCGGGTGAAGCGCGGCGGTACCGCGGCCTACCACGGGTATAATAAAGCAGCCGCACCGGGCTGTAGAAATCATAACCGCTCAAGACACAGTCCCGTGAAGATCAAGCTATGGCACCGAAGAAGAAGCCAACGTCGAGTTCCCCGGCCAAGAAGAAGAAGCAGCGTGCGAGCAAGAAGCCGAGGGCGAAGGCAGCAGATGAAGGCAGCCCAGTGCCAGTGGAGGCCGCCAAGAAGCCCAAGGCAGGAGTCACAGTGGAGGTGCAAGCTGTCGTCCAATCTGCTGCCGAAGTTCCAAGTGCTCATGGCGAGGTCGAGACCAGTCCTGCTGTCAGTCCAAGAGCTGCCAGTCTAGTTGAAGAGGAGGAAGAATCTCTTGATGGTGAGTACAATTTATGTTATAATTTTTTTTATTTTTAAATCATCGTCAAGGAATGGTGGACCACTGTTCATCGAACATGGCAGGTGGCATTCTCGTGAAGTTCTGGAAGGCCCTTGGATCTTCATTACGGAGCTCCACCATGAGACGATCGTACAGCCCCAGCTCAGGTCTCCTGCCAATCCAGTCGCTCACCCAGATGTTCCGGACCACCCTCCTCCTTCGTCTTCTTCTGTCAATGAGGACCTGATGGACCTGTACCACTTGGTTCTGATGCTGCTGGAGCAGCAAGACGAGGTCATTACGGTGACGGGGATCCACGTTCATCCCTTGACGTCTGGAGCACAACTGACGAATGCTCGGCAAATCGCGCTTTTTATATACCTAAAATCCGACGTTGTACGGACGCGATTAGGCCGTGGACAATCGTATTTGGGACGTGTACAAGACGCAATTGAACGTTATGAGGCCGGTATTGGGGCGCGCTGTTTACGCGGAGAAAGGCGTTTGTCCGTGCTTACACGCGGTACACACGCTAATGCACGTGATAACAACACGGTACAGTTGCGGAACAAACGTGCTATGACCGTGCTTCACCCGCGATTACCCGCTAAAATTTCGCGTCCCACCGCGTGTAACCACGTCTTAACCACGTACTAGCACGTTCGTTCCGCGTCTGTACCGCGTCTTTACCGCGTGTGTACCACGTGTACCGCCCGCGATTACCCACGGTCTAAATTTTTGGGAAGCCCAAAACTTTTTCGCGCGGCCAACCGCGTGTGAATTTCTTACCGCGTGTAACGACGAGTAAAGTACGGCTGTATCGCGTCTTTATCGCGACCTCAAAGCGTCCAACAGCGTCTGCTTCACGGGCAGAAATTTTTGGCCGTTATTCGGCCGCGAGACGCCCGTGGAGGGCTGTGTGACCGGGCCTTCAGGATCACCGAAACTGCAACAAGTTGGGCCCCAAAACAACTGTACAAAACACTGAAGAGGGCATAAAGAACGCTACAATTAGAAACAGAAACATATCAGTCTATTTAATTCACTTGCTCAGATTTGAAAGAAAAAACAGTTCATTCATTAGTAAAAGCTGGGTTTTCATCATGTTAGTACGTAAGAAATCACACTTTCCAATTAAAGTTCTATTAAAATATTAATTTTTACGCTTCACAAAAAAAGAGAACTTTTATTTTTGTTTTCCTGTTGCAGTCTATAAAAGCTACTCTTCGACCATACAGATGAACTATCTTTTGCTCTTTGACATTGCGTACAATTATAGTGACGTAGTATTTTGTATGGAAATGAAAATACCACTTTTTACATTTGCTGCCTTCATAACACATTATTGAACATTCAATGCTACTTTCCTAAGGTGATGAACACTTGATCATTACTTCAACTTCAACTTTATAAAAAAAAGTGCTTGCTTTTCTAAATAAGTGAAAAATACTCATTTATGAAGGTTAATATGCCGAAACAATTGTAGCCAGTTAAACGATTTTCAGATATCTAAACTTAGGAAATTTTTTGGGGAAATTTATTTTGATGATAAGAATAGTTAATGTTTCAAGTTCCTTTCTCTAAAAAACAATTATATATTGTTTAATGCAATAAACGGTGCATCATTAATTAAACTGTAATAATGACAGTACTACATGTAAAACGCGCATATTAAAATTTATACCAGGATACAGAATGATTAATTATCTTTATTATGTGAAAACAGGATTTAGAAAAAAAACATAATTATACAAAAACACATTACGTTTTTTTTTACATTAATCATGGAAACATTATTAAAAAGATGGGAAATGTGTCTGTATTTTTTCTCATGAACTCTGAAAAATACATCTAACAGGATAAACGGAACCGATTACTTGACATATATCCATAATGTGTCTAATCACACTGACAACTGATCAGATAAAAATATCGTTAAAGCATTCGTTTCAAAAAGCTATGTTTTAAAAATTACGATGGTTTGTCAAAAATAACAGTTTAAAATGAACACAACGCATAAGCCAAGCTTATCCGATGTAAATGACATTATATATCTGGTTATTTCCCATTTGTTATTGATAGCTAATACTTCTATAACTAGTTATTTCTAACTTGTTATTAATTAATAACTGCTTATGTCTAACTTGTAACTGATAAATGGTAATCTATAACTGGTTTCTTACTTGACATTTTATAATTTAAAGGATTTTCGAAAACTAGTTATTTTTACTTGTAATTTAAACTAATAAATGTTAATTTCTTAATTATACCCGGTTATTTCTTACTTACAATTCATAACTCTTTATAGATAACTTATTATTTATAACGGATTATTTGTAACTACGATTTCAGCAAATTCACCATATTCCTGAATTTGGTATAACAATCTTAATTCTTGTTAGGGTGCCTTAAATTTAAGTGCATTATAATTGGACCAGATGTGTTGTTGTACTTTTGTTGAAAATTTACTTACAATAATTTCTTCTCCCCTTACGTTCATCAACTCAATGAACTTTTTGCTTATTTGTGACATGAGTAATCGGTATTTTATTGTTACAAAACCTTTACTGCTAAACTTCAGCGTATTGTTCATCATCACTTTTTCTTGAAAACCAAACCACAACAATTTAATGGCTCGAAAAGTGCGTTCGTGAGAATATATAAAGCGAAGAAACTGGTGTATTACAATTTCACTTTAAAAGGTAAGTTGAATTTATTATAATTGTATATACATGTTTTTTCGGATAAGAATTTTCTTAAATTTCGTGAAAAGTCTTTCGTGCTTATAATAATTTGCAAGTGTTTAAACATTGAAAGAGTGTGAATAAATAGAAATGGAGTTTTGATTTTTTTCTAGAAAGTGCAAAATGAAGGGTATTTTTTTATCTTATCTTATTATTTTGATTCATTGTCAAACATTTTATGGTAAATCATACAAGGATCATACACCGACGGCATATCTAGGTCGAAGAAGACTGTTTACGGTGTTTACGAGGCTCTGCCGAGTTCCTGCTAAACAGTGACCCGAGAGCTAAATATTATCGTCTTTAAACGACAGTCGGCGTATGATTCATGTCATTTTCTTGCACATTACAGGAAAGAAATTAAGAAAACTGATAATTTCAATTAGCACTTTTTTATATATAGTAGTGTATAGAATAACAACTTCGGTCATACCGGCAAAATGACGTCTTCCTTAAAGCCTGCGTCACATTACACTCCGATTAGGTTTACGATGAGATAATGATGTCTGAACAGGTTGTAATTGCCAAATTCTTAAAGGTCTCCGGCCGATGACCCTCCGTTGTCAAGTGACCGGTAGGGCACCGTACAGGTTATCGGAGAATTTTAGTGCAGAGCTATTTTCTTCCGGCATCCGGTACATCGCCAGCGCACCATAGCAGACACGGCAAAAAATACCCGATATCCGATACCCAGCCGGACACCTTTTGTTATCGGTTATATACCGGTTAAACTTTTCACTTCATGAGCGCCAAATATTCCTCCAGTTTCCGAGCGGTAAATGAGCGGTCACCGAAGGCGTCTCGGCAGTTTATTGACCAGGGCCCGGATGGACGCAGGTCCTGAGGTGTCCGTAAGGATAGCGTTAGCGTTATTTCACAGACCTTACGGCACTGTGAATTAGGCGACCTGTGTTCAATTCTTTGACAACGGTGAAGATAACTTTTTTTGTAGAAAAGTTATCAGTGCCATGCGAAAGTAAAAGAGATTATTACTGTTTAACTGATTGACAGACTGTCCAGGAACGATACGGTGGCTAAACTGTGCTCTGGTTGTATATTCAAGTTGGCTAACTGCCATAGTCATCCGGGTAAATCATAACTACCACCATCATTCTCTTGTTTGTAAGCGAGCAGAGCTGAATCGGTTAAATCGCTAGACTTGTATCTGGACATTGTGGGTTATACTTCCGGTGTGACCAACTGAAATTACTAGGAATCTTTCGGACGAGACTTTAAAGCAAAGTCCCGTGTATGAGTGCTAAAACACTTGGATAGGTAAAGAAGAAGGAGAAGATTGTTTGGTTTACTGCTTGGCTCCTTGACGGTGGTCATCCTGTGTTGCTGGATAGTGTCTCGGTTGCGTTCATTGAACGCCGCCTTCCTTATTGATCTTGTTTTCATATTTTTCTGAAATTGTGGCATTTTGCTATCTGTATCTTGCGCTGTCCTCCAAAATCTAAAACGACAAATACTCTTCTTGAGGACTCGCCTATGGGGGCAACCAATGACGAGTATTAAGGAACTCAATTACACACACACATTCTATCAGTGTTCATACACGTCAGAGGTTTCTTAAAGTTTTCAAGTTTCATTTACAACCTGTTATGGAAAACTTTGATTTCAGAGTGTTATATTCTATCCAAAACAGAAAGCAAAGAAGGGGTGGAGTGACATCAGAGGGGAAGAAGGCAAGAAAAAATGCCAACAAAAGAGGAGGTGTAAATAACGGCCGGAAAATGGGATATCATGCCGTCCAACAGCCGGCCAGATATCCCACGTATACTTTACCGTCACCGTACGATTGTTGCAGGTCAGATAACGGAAGGCAATTGGACATTTATCGTACGGTAGTCTGCCGGTTACTTTTAGAATATCGACCGGTGTCCAGAGAGAAGATGCCAAAGGTTTTCACCGCCGAGCTGGCGAGTACCCTTAGGAAACCGTCCGAATACCTAAAGGGCCACAGAGGGAGAATGACCACCCGCTTCTTCCCGGACAAGCTTAAAATGTTTCTTTACGATCTCAAATTATCAACGGTGTCCCATCGATCCCTCTTAATCGGCCGGTCCCCGCTTGTACTGTGACGCAGGCAGAACACCGTTATAAATAAAGTTGTAACTTCAAGCGCAACCCTCAGAAAAAAATGCTAAATGAAAATATCAGCTAAGTGACTTCTTTTCGAGATACCGTTAATATGTAATATGCAAAAAAAGTATCAAACACTGGCTTTCGCCACAGATAGGGATATCTAGCTCCCGATTAACTGTTCCGCTGATAATCGGCAGAGCTTCGTTACCGATTTGCCTTCGCGCTAGATAGTCTGGTCTATACAGTAAGCCGGTGTACAATTCTTCTAATTGAGTAGACCGATGCTTTACAAACTTATTTAAACTTTTTTAACAAAAAAGGAAGAGGTACTTTTACTACAAACACCAAAAAATGAAGACTTGGTTACATTTCGGTGTATTATGGCTGGGTATAGTGTCACTTTCCTGTAACATTGTATCATCAAAAGAGGTGAAATTGTCGGATTATCTTTGGCAACAGACTATATCCCTGCACCAGGATGCTCTTCAATCGTCTTTCATCCAAGGTCTCAAGAATGTGTCATTGGATCCAACTAATTTCGGTACATTTCTAATTATAAATAATCGCGTTAACATTGTTCTTTACTCTGAAAGCTATAGATATTAATCATATGCCTATATCACTTGTATAGAGCTAGGACAGCCTGCACATCATAGAAATCTGTCCTAGCTACCTTACTTTAAAATCTTGATGTTTTAATTTAAAAGAAAACTCGCACTGACATTTTTCAAAGAAGTGAATAGTAAACATGTTCAATGTTTTAGGACAGATTTAAACTACTTGTGTTTTTCAACACATGTTAAATTTGAGACGTTTATAGTTAATACCTATGAGAACAATATTTTAAGGAAATTAAAAAAAAATAATATTCTAACACTATTTAATTAAAGTATCTTTATCTCTTAACTATCTTTCATTTCGAACACTTTTCATTGTTATAGTTTAATTTAAAGAAAAGTGTCATATCTAACCTTGTTGAACATGGTTTGAAGATTTGTTTGTTATTGGTTTTTAGGAGCATTTATGGTACAGGATTCCGTGTATTGCTACAAAGTTAAAGGATTCCTTGATATTGCTGCCGCCAACGAAACGAGTGATCCAAGCCTTAAGTCATTCCTTGAGGCTAGATCATCCAGCTACGAAAGGTAACATATATACATTGTATCCTCTCATTGTCAGAATATTTTAAACTGATAAATATACTGTAATTGCCAAGGGAATTTAAAAAAATACCGGATTAAAAGAATTAGTGTTTATTTGTTCAAGAGAATGATCAAATAATGAGTTAAAGATATAAGATAAAATAGTAATTTTTTACCAACCTCAAGCTAAATACTTGATACGCGAAAAGCCATTAACAATTTATGAATGAAATAAATCATTTCATATCCACATATAATTGGTTTACCTATCTCATTTGTCAAAGATAATGCTAAGTTATATAATAGTTATAACTCGAATTTTAGTATAAAAAGTGCTTAAGCAGCATTTATTTCGATTCGTTAACAATTTAAGTTGTTTTAGTAATGTCTCACAGTCAACAGTTATTATACATACTGACTTTAATTTCGATTTCTTTGTAGATACTATAAGGGTCTCTTTGAAGCATGGCATATCGCAAATGCAAATGGAATTCATCTAGGCAATGCAAGTTCTGGTTACATCTCACATCTTCAGAACGTAACATTGCAAATGGATCCATTATATCTCGTCACAGCCCTTATACCGTGTGCAAGACTATGGCCTTGGCTTGGGGGTGAAATCAATGTTAAAAAGGTTTGTATGTCTATAGTTTGAAAGGATCATTCCTGGAAAAAAAATTGATTTAAAATAATCGAGAGCAATTATCTTCGATACGCTTGTTTAACATACAGCAGCTTTCAGATAAATATACATATGACATGAGAACGTTCCTCCTGTAAAATGTTTGCAAAAAAGATTTTTCTACAATATTTAAATTTCCTAAACATGTCCGCACAGTGTTTTATTCGCATTGTATTTTATTTAATAATGTATGAGTGTGTTAACTATTTACAATACTGCTCTATTTATACATCATAAATTATTGTTCCATTTATCATTTGAGCAATATAAATTTCATTTCTATGAATAGTTCACGAAAATGCCATAAAAGATAACACCCTGATGACGCTTTAGCGAAGTTATTTTAAATTTGTGACCAGCTTAAATTGCTTAATTTCATTGAGGCGTATTTTTGCAGGGTAACTTTGGTGTCTACAAAAAATGGGTCATGGAGAATTTGGATCCAGATTACCATGGTTACAGCAAGTATGAGAAGGTGATCAATGCTGCCTTTGTAGAAGGTCGTATCAACCTGAACGTCGCACTGGATGTGTACACCCGCAGCATGCAAGGAGAGGTGGCTTTCTTCTCATCAGTGTAATTTCAATGACAGTTTCATGTTTCTAGGATACCGACAACAAAATTGCTGTTTTCTCAACCATCTATCTCTTTCCCCCCTACCTTTTTTATTCAATAAAAATGGGCCATCAATTAGGGTATGACCATAATTCATGCTAAAGAAATCATGAATTGTTGTTAATTTATATGTGCTGTATATGTATATGCAAAAGTGATTTTGTAAGGTCAGTTTGTGATGGTTTCTCGATCCTGACTGATCATTCGGACCCTTCTTGTTGTGGCCCGAAACAAAATTGACTGTATTCTTCGATTACACTTAATAAACGCTAATTATAATGTCTGACGGGTACTCTGCACTGACCTTATTTAGATTGTCGAAACTTTGTAATTGTTCGTCTTTGTTAAAATTTATTGGTAAAAATTAAAATTATTGCATTATCTTCATTTACTTTTTCACTTTGTTAACCTAACCTTATATTTTAATGTCTTAGACATACGCCTCATACGTGTGATAAGCTTACATGCGTGTGCGTTCTGCCCTGGAAATTCAAATGCTACAAAACAACTTGGACTTAATAACTTGATTTGACCCTTTTAAAGACAGTTATTTTTCATATTACACTGGTGATTTCCGGGAAGTCAGCCCAAAAATGATTAATATCAATTCAAATCGAACTTCATTAAATACGTCGGTGACTATTTATAAGGTAGACAATTCAATGTCTTATCGGTTATAAGAAGGAAAATGGAATTGAATTACTTCCCTTTCTTATTTCAAAACAAATCATTCATATAAGCTGCTCAAAACAAATCATTTATATCTGCTGCTCTGTGTGTTGTATCTGTGTGCGTGCGCGTGGGTGTGTGTGTGTGCGTGTACGTGCACGTGCTATACAAAATGATTATGGTGACCTTGGCCGGGTACTTCCGGTCGTGGACTTCAAATAATTCCTTACACCGCTCAACAGTTCGAAGTTATAAGTTCAAAAATTTCTTCAAGAAATCCTATTCATTCTTAAGATTTTTAAACGTTGTGCTTGCTTCCGACGGCTATAGAATCAATCAATGCCATCTGTACACACTAAGACCAGACTGAACATTCGTGTCATCACGGTCGGCACTATTCGCTTTTTAGTCAGTACAAATTTTGAAATTTTCCATTAAAAGTCAAGGTTGAAAGATGGACCAGTCAATTTGAAATGTTTAGCAGGACAAGGGATAAAATGGAATATTAATATAAGACACAAAGTTATTTTACACCTTCAGTTGCGAAAGAAATAACATAAAGCTGTTCTTAGATTTAATTATATGTCACAAAATTACGTATGTTACTTCCTATGAAACACGTGTGTATAATCACAAATCATGCTTGAAAACAAGTTCATTATTTATTATTATTTGAAAAGAAAACTTTATACAAATATTACATTTATTATAGACGGATGTACTTACCCCAAAATTTTTGCAATAATAAATACAATACTTCTAAGAATGTTACTTCTCTGTTACCATTTCCACAATGCTTGACTGGACCAAGGTTAACCAAAGTCTGAACCATTTGTTGTCATCCTTCAATGAGACCTTGCATGAAAGACTTCCGTAGGAGTACTTTTCGTCCAGCTTTTTTTTCTGTACCTGACAGAGTGATTGATTTCATCGCCTCCCCCCCCCTCTCCCCGCCCAACTGATGGAGAATAACTAAATAAAGTTGTTTTTTTGCGTTGTTGTTGTTATTTTGTTTTGTTGTTATTGTGTTTTGTTGTTATTGTGTTTTGTTGTTTTTGTTTTTTGTTGTTGTTTTTTGTATCTGACAGATGGATTGGTTCCCCCAAACAAATTGGAAATAACTAAATTAAGTTGTTGTTTTTGTTGTTGTTGTTTTTTTGTGTTGTTGTTGTTTTGTTGCTTTTTGTTGTTGTTGTTGTTGCTGCTGCTGCTGCAGTTTTTCATCTATTGCTCTATAACACTTCATTTTTACATTTAACCAACTTTGTATTTTTTTCTTCACAGTTTACGAAGGCATTAAAATATATGATTCATAATTTATAAGCTTCCAACTTAAACTCGTTATAAGTCACAAATCAAATTTGTGGTCTCCTTTGTAGTGTAAATGCCTCAGTGTTTACATAATTTGGCATGCAATTTAAGTGAGTCAAATTATATTTGACTCATAAATAAAGCCTTTAGATAAAAATACTTAACATTGTTATATGGTAGTTTTCATTGGAACTCGACGTCGCCTGTTATAGTGCAACAAAACGGCATGTAAGTCATTCATTGTTATAAATTCCACACTAAACAAAGTTTAAGCCGTGGCAATAGAATTAAAAAAAAAAGAAACGATTTAAACTTTGAAAGTATTTCACCAGAGACGCATAAGTATGACGCAAAAATACGCATTTTCTATATTCTTTATAAATTATACGGTAGCAAGTGAGTGCACGTTCGTATAAAGTTGCACGCAACTTATCCGTCTTTCTGCACATTTTTGAGAGGACGTGGAGACAGTGTGTGCGGAAAATCATCTTATTTCAATATCGACATCAAACAATGGCAATTCCATGTTGACAATAATTGGATCATTTTTATGAATATAAACTTTCGTCTCCATCCAAACGCCTGCAGAATCAGCACCGCAATTATCGTTTGCTTATTGATTTATCTGAAACCTAATCAATGTTAATGGACCGAATCTTGAGATATCAGTGTAAAAAACGAAAAGGATGCGCCTTGTCGCGATATACACGTTCAATCAATTTCAATTACGAACAGCGTCAACAATCTAGATGGAAATAATGATGATAATTTTTTCTATTGACTGGTCCTGTATATCTGTTACGCAAATTTATACAAGCAGTTTTATTCATTAGTTTGAAGTCCCAATCTTTTTAAAGAACTCTCTCATTCCATTCTCTTTCTCAGACAAAACGGTAGATGTATTTAAAAGATTCATAGAAATAATATTTAGACGAAATGTGAAATGTAAAAGACTCGTTTATGGATATTATTTTTTACTTTTAGGATAAGTTTATGTATTTATATTACTTGTAAATATAACTTAAATATACGTTCTACACAAATGTAGCAATTACTTTTGCACGATTTACCACGAACAAATCACTTGTCTTGAATTCGCGTTGTCGTTTTAGTGCTGTATTTTCGATAGCGGCAGCACGACTCGTGACATCACGCCGCGCGACATCACGCCGCGCGACAATACGCCGCGCGACAAGACAACAACAAGTGATAGGATTATTGTTGTCAAGACGACAAGAAAGCTGTCATAACAAAAAGAATCAATTTTTTGTTCAATTTAAACAATGTTGCTGTTAATCGCAAGTGATACTTTATAATTATGACTATGAAGCATAAAAACGAACTTGATAACAAAATGTTTTTCTCTGTATGTATTTTTTGCGAAAGGGAATTTTTTTTTCTCTTGCTTCTCCAACGCTGTTTTTATGTATCAATAAAGTAGAATCAAACAGTAGAAGTACACTAGAAATTGCCTATTGAAATTTCTCCATTTAAGCACGAGCTCTCTGCAAGGTTTGTTGGTATTTGTTCTAGCTACTTATAGGGGAAATTAATAGTTCATTATCATTCAAAGTTTATTTGCATATTTTATTATCGTAGTTATGGGGTTTTGAAAATCTTCAACGCTGCGTGTATTTTAAGACATTTTGATTGTTTTATTCCGCCAATAACAAAACGTATAATATAGAATTGTACCTTACACTAGATGATTTCTAGCGATAACAGAACGAAAGAATGTACAGATTGAGATCAAAGGGCTAAAAATTAACTTTTTTTTCATAATCCATTTATTACATCTGCAAGAGGATTATGACTGCTAACAAAAATATTTAGTGGGCATTACTTAATGGTTTTTGCTTGTTTAACATCGGCCGCCGAGGTCAAGATATATACGAGAGAAGACCTTTTGATCATTTAAATACAATTCTCTTTATTTGTGTCGGTTTTATCTTCATCACAATAAGGAATGGTATTTAAATATTCAATCTGGGGCCGATAAACTGTCGAATGATTTAGACAAATTAATACTTAAGATGTAATTCACTACATTATTATGCGATGAAAATTTTCCGCTATGTTTTGGATATTTAGACACACTCAGACAATGTAAGTAATTTTTTTTCAACTTTTATTGCATATGTATCAATAAGCTGGGTAAAATGTACCTGGAAATAATTATAGTTATTTTGGTAAAATACATTACTGATTTTTAATCATTTAAATTGAGCAGCAGAGTAAAAACATAAGTGATAGAATATTGTAAAGTTCTGTAAAGCAGTTTTGTTGTTGTTGTTGTTCATAATGTCTTTATATGCTTAAGAATATTTCATAAATTGGAAAAAAAAACATGACTAATGTTCACAAAACATTCATGGATTTCGGTTTTATATATAAATATCGTCGGTTCACATTTTTTTTTACATTTTTATTTTAAAGTGGACAAAAGCATTTAAAAGTTTTTGATAAACATCGTTTAAATTAGTTTTGTAGTTTTTTGGTCTAATATTCTAATATTTAAAGTCATTTGTTTGTCTGTCACGTATTGTAAAATACGGTATTTTAATTGCCTTCGTATTACAGTAATTGCTTTAAATGTACCAATTCACTTATATGAGCCGTGTCATGACAAAACCAACATAATGGGTTTGCGACCAGCATGGATCCAGACCAGCCTGCGCATCCGCGCAGTCTGATCAGGACCCATGCTGTTCGCTTACAAACCCTATTACAAGTAGTGAAACTGATAGCGAACAGCATGGATCCTGATCAGACTGCACGAATGAGCAGGCTGGTCTGGATCCATGCTGGTCGCAAACCCATTATGTTGGTTTTGTCGTGACGCGGCTCAAATAACTGCTTCCTACCATATACTGACGTATCTTTATAAATTGCTGTTGATTTAACGCAATAATTTCATTAGAGATTTTACTACACAAAAGTTTCCAAACTGTTCAAGTATACATGAGAAGGCACTTCACTTTTGTTTTTATTTGCAGATCAAACTTAAGTACCAACGAACGATTGACCGCGAAGTGTATCCACCATATAAAACTTGTGTTTGTTCAGTACCAGTGTATTTAATTACAATGAGAGGAAAAGAAAAAGTATATATTTGTATAAAAGATACAACTTTTAATTAATAAGTTTTGTGACCTTGGCTTTAACAGAATTAATATTGACCACTTCTGATTAATATAATACATTATGGACTAAAATGGGTTCAATGTATATGAGCGAGGGTTTGTTATCGCAGGATCTGATGTCGACAGCGTACAAGAAATTCTGGTCCGTCAATGGCGACATGAAAAGAAATAAGGAAACACCAAACAACGGGCTGTATCGCAGAGAAAGGTAAGATTTTACTAATATAGGGGTGGAGGGGGGCAGGTGTGGAAGAATGCTTTAGTTTTGCCGGAAAAAGAAATAAGTTTGATTGTATCAGGGAAAAGAAAACCGAATGTATGCATATAGATAACGAGCAAAATAAACAAGAGCTTGCTATAAAGGCTTCGTTCTGGAATTTTTCTCTTTAATTGACTATACATAGAATAAAAACAGGCCTTTGAGAACATGTAAATAAAAAAAGAGCATGATTTTGTCAAAATCCACGGAATCGATATGTTCTTTATCCTACAAATGTAGGTGATTCTTGTGTGTGTATGTATATTTCAGATTTCAAAGTAATACAAAACTTCCGATGCATATTTATTATAATATTGAGGTGCTTACCGAAATTTCTTCAATTCTTTTGTAAAGAATTGGACCTAGATTGTTGAAAAATCAGACAGATTTAAGGTAATTTACTTAAAGTAATGCTACGTTTTTCTGAACTAAGCTAGAAGTATCTGTAGTTTTTGATGATATTTTGTGTACGATATTTGTATTATCAATTTGATCACTTTTCGGACCAGTTTTGTCACACTGACACAATTGCAGGATTACTATCCTAGTACTGGCGGCTTTAGGCGTGCTGTAATTTAATTTAATACACTTGTTACTATATATAGTAACAAAATCGCCTAAGATTTCAACTGATTATGAGTGTCACGTGACCTATTATGAGTTTGCGGCCCGGGGCCGAGAACTAGTTATCAGCCCGCTGAACATGTGCACGTGCACAAACTGAAACAATAACGTCATATTTTACGTCATCAAACAGTTAACTGTAAAAGTGAAAGTAGGTTTTAAGCACGAATCGCTTGATTTTAATAATGAGTGCTTAAGCATATTTCGTACAAACACAGTTTTATTAATATTGAAATTTAAAGAAATAATACGACAATTTCATTCCGAAATAAATAAAAATAAAACTTGCTTCTAGATCCTACAGTAGTTTACTTTTAACACACAAAAGTAAACAACTAAGATGTAGAAGTTGCTGAACTGTACAGTACAGTAGAAAATTAATGCAGACAGGAATTTCAACGAAAGAAATTTTAAAAGTATCTTTTTAGAATAAATTGCTACTATCAGCTCTACCAAGTGTATTAAAGACATTAATACACGCCATAGTTGTGCCAAGAGGTGATAATCGGCCCTGAAATGAATAATGCCCTCGGGCTGAAGCCCTCGGGGCCATTATTCATTTTGCGGGCCGAGTATCACCTTCCGGCCCTACTCTGCCGTGTATTAATCTCTTAATACTCGTAGAAACTGCCGGAACTGTTAACTTACAGCACTTTTCCAAAATGGATTCAAAGCAGCATAAATTCTTGACTTAAGCATTTGGTTATACAAGATTATAACAAGACTGGTCAGCTTAAAGGTAAGACCATTCTAATGCATTACCTCCGCTTTGAAAGAGTATTTAAATACGCTACGAATATTGTCAACTGCATTGAAACTGAGGGTCGTTTGTTCAAACCCCAGTAGGTCAACCTTTTTTCCTTTCTTTTGTTTCTTTAAGCATTATTTATGGCAAAAGGGTGTTTAAAATGGCGGGTAGGGTAACAGTTTTATACATATTGTACATATTTTGAAAAGAAACAATCACTTTGCTCTAGTCATTTAGTAGCTGAATGTAATTACTCGTTTCCTAATTAGTATCAATAGGAAAAAAGATGATGTCATAAGTTATTTAGTTTTTACTTGTTTCTTAAAAAGAGAATATTTAAGCTTTTATTTAGAAAAATGTTCAAAACTAGTAAACGGTACAGTAAATTTTGTTAAAAATCTGCATGCAGGTGTCCTTCAAGGAATATAACTGACCTATGTTGTCAATTTTCCAGTTCTATATAGTGCCCATTAGAGTGGTCCTACCTTAAAACATGGATTTGACTTGTGAGGTGATTAGAAATAAACGTTATAATAAACGAAAATTATTGTTGTATTATACTTGCATCTTTACCTTTTTTTAAATTAAAGTATGCGCTTACAAGTAGTATATTAAATTCTTACTCAAATTTATCTTTGATACGTCCATGGTAATTTATTATCGGCGGTTTTTGTCCTCCTGACATATTTAGAAATTTCTTTTTTTTCTTTTATTGCATAATCTAATCTATGTCGGTTATTGACATATCACAACCGTCACTTGAAAGCTGATAATGCTTGACAACTGATACATATATTATGTCTTGATGGGGACCACGCAAAGAAGATGGGTTTTTTGTCGTCTTTGCCCTTGCCAAAAGAAGGTTCAAACCTTACACCTCCTGTTTCAATTTAAAGTATAAAAAACAAGATCATCAAGGTAGGTTATGTATTTTTCTTTAACACTATGCAGAGATGAAACTTAAAGCGTTACTATGGCAACACAACATAACTTTAGATCAAGATCTACCTTGTCTACATTATAATAGACCATGTCGCGCCTTCTTTTTCGCAATTATAAAACAATACTCTCATATAAAAATCGAATATAAGCATTAGTTTTGTTTTCCAAAGACTTGAGAATATAAACTATACTTTTAGTTTTTATTGAAAGCGAGTACTACATTAAGAGGAACATAAAAGCGTAACAATCTTTTAAATGTTTTTAATGTCAAATGTAAATTTATTGCACGGGTTTGGCAGTTTTTGTAATTATTAAACAAACATTTTGAAAGCAAACCATAATTTCTTTATTTCCGTTGAGTGGGGGCTTAATGTTTTAAATTTTGATCAATTATTGATTTAATGGAATACAAATAAGAACTGTGAGATCCATTTGATACGAACATTAAATACTATTTTTCATTTCGTATTGACAATAACGCGGACAGTGAAATATATATTTTGAAGTATTGATAAATTTAATTGTACAAATTCCAAATAAACATGCTCATTAAGAAGAAATCATAGGATCATTCTAGTATTAAATCTCTAATATGTTATGTTTATTCATGGAAATACAACTAAAATGTTTAAGCTGATTTAGATACTTAAGAAATAGGAATGTGTTTGTAATCATGGCATATCTAGTTATATTTCAAGGTTATCTAGAAAAAAAGATAATTTCAAATTTCGCGTGTATCAATTGTGTACAAAATCATTTCTTCAAACTTAAATTGGATATTAGACTTCAATAATAAGCGTAACATTTCTAAATGGAATTAAGATTTTATTTAATATCAATCCAATTTGAAATCCAATAATAGTAAAGCGGACACTAACAATAAAGCATTTTAAAACTTCGGCAGGTATTATTAAATTTCGAATAATCGAAACCAAATTTAGGTTATTCGGTAATTGAAAACCTTTGATGTGAACATTTTATTTATAAAGAATATAGAGCCTAGTTTGGCTTCGTTAATGAACATAACTGTTCTTTGATATGAAAATAAACTTAGATTTGATTTCAAAACTTTAAGAATATTGCATTTTCTTCTAAATTACAACCTTTGAAATAAAGTGTAAAGAAATGGCTTAAGTGATCTAAAGTCACAAACTTATTAATATTTACAAACCTTCGTGTTAATGATTTTTTTTCATAAATAAATCAAAGGAGACACTTGTTCGAATTGGATGACTCTATTCACTAAGAAAAAACGCGAGTAAAATTTTAATGTTGCTAATTAATTCTTAACGATGAAAAGATTTGAAGAATTTCGTGATTTTTTCCATACGTGTTTGAGACGTTCTTAATGGACAAGCAAAGAATAGAAGTGTTCGGGGGAACAAGTATAGCTTTTGTAAAAGGAATGAAATTATGGCAACGAGGGAGAGAACTGTTAGGAATATATTGACGGTTTTAAATAAGTTAAGGAGAAACTAATGTGTGTATGTTAGAGATAATGCTGTAATGTCAACTTTTCTATATCGTGGATTATTAAAAATGTTGAATTATTAATCAATATTGAACAAGGAAACCCTGCGTATAGCACTAACCTTTGATCCTTTGGTTTAGATAAGGGGATTAATGACGGTATATATATCATGTCTTTGATTTCACCTAGTCCAAGATCCCCGAAACTTTCGGGTCCAACAGATCCTAGATTGTTAATGTACCGTTTGTCTAAAACTAGATCAAGATCATGTGGTGCAGCGTTCCGGACTCATGTGATGGCACAGGATTTAGTGAGGAGGCCGGCAAGAAAAGTGGATTTTAGTGATAGCGAGGTGATCGTTGTACAAACAGTTGTGGACAAATTACGTGATTTTGACGTTAACGATGTTAGTAAAACTAACGGAGGAATTATAGAACATATAGACGGTAAACAAAGAGATTATTGGAACAACATGAGAAACGAACCTGGAAAAAATGGCTTTTCTAGACTTGACATGGTAGGTGGTTTATCAATTAGTTACTTTTTATTTTTATTACCTTAAACTTTAATAGGTATGTTACAAAATATTATTGTTTCTGGAGATTTAGAGATTAAATTTAACAAACCAGCAGACATTTTCACAAAAAATCTTACGACAATTTTTTATCGTAAGAGAAATCTTACGATAAATCTCCTTTTCAGAAAATCTTAAGTGCAAAATCTGTCGTAACTCCCCGTTCGTAAGTGTAATTTTTACTCTCTTAAGGGTAAAATATCATGTATCTCTTACCTAAACTGAATAAAAACAAACAAAAAATTGGAGGACAAATATATATTAAGCAAACAGTATGTTATAAATAACACAAATTAAGGTATAATTATTTTTGGATTTAGCTCAATACAGGTTTGGAGCAGTACCTCTAGACGCTTGCAGAAATCATGATCACAAAATAGACAAATATCGTTTTTTTTCGCCGAATTTTACATTTTTCCTTGATTATCGTACTTGATTCGGTGTGAAAAGATGAATTAGACCTGTTAAAGTTCATTCCGTTGGGTAAAAAGACAAGATTTTAGCATTTTATCATTCAAGCGCCTTGTCCGGTATATACCGGAATACGGTATTTAGTGTGGTGCTCCAATCCTTTTTTTAGTCACAGCCATTATTTTTCAACATAAACATTTGTGACGTCATGCTTTGATGACGTCACGATGGAGAGGGTTATGAATAGTTTAAATGTGAACTATACTGTAGTATTATTGAAAACAAATAATTTGTACAATTTTGTGAGTTCGATTCTATTACCATCATGTACTAGTGGCACCTTTTTATGTATTAATACCTTAGCAATAACGTAGCTGAATCACTTAGGTACATAAAATTATGTTCAATCAAGATAGAAAATATATTGGTTTTAATCATTTTTTTTTGTTTTTATTGAAATTTGATTGTGTTCAATACATATTTTAAGCTCTTTATTACTTGATTTTAAAAAGGGAATCAAATAAAGAGCACGCACATCAATATCAAATGAACGTTGCTAGGGATGTTTTTATCATAAGTGAATTTTTTATCTTAAGATAAAATTTTAACTTACTGTACGAGTGGTTTTGTGAAAATGACTTAAAATTTAACTTTATCATGCAACTGCTATGGTAACTGCCCGATAACACTTGCCTGATAATTATTTTTGATATCAGGTCAGTAACCTGATATCAAAAATAAGCCCCGCCCATTTTAACGGACTTTTTTCAATTGCTTATATTCTCATTTTCATCAGCATGTGAATTCTACAATGTAATCTAATATCCTTACAAGTCTTGAATCAAGATGTGATATTTATTTATTTATTATTTCGATTTCAATTACGAATAAATTAGATAGCGAATAGTTTTAGTACCAACTAAATGAAGTGACGTCATAATTTATATTGCAAATGACATCATCAATGTTCACGTTACTAGAAACATAACAAACAGGCTTGACGATTTTCTTTGAGAACTTGTAAATGTTTACTTTATTTTACCGGATTATTATTTAATAAGTGAACAAATTGTTTCGTTTAAAAAAAATAAGACGCATGTTTGTGAAGCTTGTGTTTGATTGCCGATTGGACTTTTGTTTGACTGAAATTAATTATCGTGAACTTTTGAATTTGACAATTCAAGACAAAAAGAAAAAGTGCAGTAAAGTTTATGTGATTCTACTAAGGGATTTTTTGGATCAATGTTTAAATTAAAGGTAAGGATTTTATCGTGTTAGGCCTACATTCTGTTGTATCTTTTATCGGAGTCGAAAGAAAAAATGGCCGCCATTTACAAATTCTAAGTTTCAGGGGCGGAGGAATTTGTTTTCAAGAATTATTTCTTTGAACAAAACTCCCCCCTTTTTACGAAATTCGCTATTCAAAAGTAGATTATTTAGTTATTTTTACAGTTTTTATGTGTTTCATGATAAATAGAAAAACATGCTACTGTCTTTTGATATCAATTTTATCAGGCTCGGCTGATAGAGGCAGAAAGGGCTCGGCAAGCCTCGCCCTTTCTAGTCCATATCAGCCTCGCCTGATAAAATTGATATCAAAAGACAGTAGCATGTTATTCTCTATTAATACGATTATCGTAAGTCAAAAACTTAATATAAATCGTAAGATTTTTTGTGAAAATGTCTGCTGCTGTCAGATATAAAGGGTATAAAACCGAAATTCTATGTTGAAATTGAAAAATAAGGAATGCAAATAAATATATTGTCTGTCTTATTTAAAAGATGTTAAGGCGCTGTTATGTATACGAAATTCATCAGAATATCCGCTTAAATGATTTTAATTCTGATTTTTTTGTCCCGTTAGTCAATGAGGGCAAAATTAGTTTCTTTACAAGTTAACTAGTTCTTCTAACCGTAAAGAATTTTATTTGAAATGATTCAAATTCAGACCATTTGTCTTTAATGAAGTACTTTAAGTATTTGCCTGACACAGATTCGTTCAGTCAGTCGTTTTAAATTGTTAAGGTCAGCCATTTCACTGACTTAATCTCCAATCTTATTAACTTTAGCAGTTTACCGTATCCTTTTCTTTTTGACAAGTGTAATCGCAAATTAAATCAGATTAAAATTTCATAATAATATCAATATAAATAATATCCATGATTGATTTATACCCTATATCAAACAATAGGCTGATTATTTTTGGAGTTTATTTCACTCAATTGTTGATGCTGGTGACAGTGTATAGAGCATGCAATTCAAATCATTTAATACCACATGCCGAGTTTGTTTTTATATCGATAAAGATTATTTATAAGCTATAATGAATTTTTCAAGTCCGATAGACGCTTGCTATATTTAAATGAATATAAACAATGCCATAAAGTCAATAAGTATTCTAAAGGGAAAATATATTTACTTAGATCTGCAGCTTGATTATTTAGTGTCTTGAGTGGTGGTAATCACCAAGCGTCCAGTCACTGTTGAGTCAACTGTTGAGAAAACTTTGCATGAGAACTGTTTAGATAAAACAAAATATTAATGTTCTTTAAACACTACAGTTCGTTTGTAATACAGTATATATAATCATCATGTCTAGTGGCAGTATCTACCATGCGTATGTTATATATTGTCACACAGAAAAACAGAAAATGTTTCATTTCTTTATTGAATTTTATCATCGTCATCATCTTCTTCATCGTCTCCGGGCGGCGTTGTTATTGTCGCCATTATCACCATTATCATTATCATTGTCATCATCATCATCGTATCATCGTCGTCGTCGTCTCCGTCGTCGTTATCGTCGTCATCGCCATCATCACCTTCATAATCATCATCGTCATCAATATCATCATCGCCATCATTATTATTATTATCATCATCATCTTCATTATCATCATCATCATCATCATTATTCTTATTCTTATTCTTATTATCATTATCATTATTATTATTATTATTATTTGTGTTAGTGCAAAAACCTCGGTAAATGATCAAAGCCTCTCATTCGGAGTTTAAAGGTTTGTAGGCACAAGAATTAATCAGACATAAGAGCCGATGGTGTCTAAGAAACCAATAGATTGTTAAAATATGTTATCTGTTAGAAAAAGCAAGTGTACCCTTGATCAAACCCGATCTAGTCTAGACATGTGTCAATATATAGACATGTATAATTTACCTTTTTTTTACTTCTTTTTTTCCCTAAAATATCATAGTATTTTAGGATCAATCTCCCGCAGTCCTGGTATTGATTCCTTGTCAAAAAAAGAAAGTTTGATATTATAACCGGATTAATTTATGGCGTAAACTGATAGGCCCTCTTATAATGCCCGATATCCCAAACCCCTGAAATCTTTAGGAAGACTTTAAAAAGGTAGATTACTGTGTACTTGCACCAAGAGAAAGATTAGGCAGTCCTTATAAAGTAATAAATAAGAATTTATTTGTGAGGAATGAAGAAGCATTCACTTTACTTATTTTCTCATTTAGAAGTCGATGATAATCTGTTAGCCGTAAAATATGTACATAAAAGATAGAACAATATATATTGTAGGAAGGCGAACAATCAAGAGGTGCTGTAAATAAAATACAACTCGAAAACTCTTCAAAATTCCGCTTTGTTTGAAAATCGTCAATGAAAATATGTCTGTTTATGTGTCTACCATATTTACACGCATGTTATAAGTTAATATGTATAATGTTATGGTATAAGATGTTGTGGATAAACTTACTTTTTAGTTGAACATTGTTTGTTAATAATTTTGTAAAATGTTTAGAATGGGACATTATAGGAAAGAAAAAATCCGACCTTTGTCGTCTGGAATTCCGCTACATATTGAGGTTCGAACTAAACTAAGATTTGAGATCATTGGACGCTCAGATGTAGCGCAAGAAAAGGTATGGAACTAGTTCTTGGAATCTGTCTATTTCAACAGACAACTTATCAAATACAATGTATGCATTCTAAAGTTTACAGCAATTTATTCGATTATGTTTACTTCTTTTTATTGCAGAAAACATTGCAAAATATAGGATGGGTATCGGGCGCCACTGATGAAAAGAAGCCGGATCCATTGACTAAAAGTAAGTTACTCAATCTATAGTTATGATACTAAGTTATGATACTATATGTATGCGACATCTTGTGAATGTGAACACGGCACTAGTCGTATGTTGCAGAACACCTTTATATCGATACAGTAAAGCTTGCGAAATTTGGCTCCATAATTGTAACTCTTTTAGTGAGTGTGTTCTTTTGGTCTGTGAGTGTGTTCTTTTGGTCTTTGCTCAGAAGGGCATGTTTGGATCGTCGCCAACTAATCAATTTGGATATTCATATCAGATCACTTATAGTCCGACATTATTTCGGGAATTTATGACTTGATACAATATTACACTTTTCACATAAACCGGAATGATACTGGCAGCCCAAAATAAACGATACGTTATTTAGTGACTGTAACATAACCACATCGCTCATACAGAGTTTAAGAATTTGTTGCCCAACCCATTGCATATTGATATATACTCATTATTTGTAAAATGTGTTTGATGCAATAAACATTTTTAAACTAGAGTTTAATGCTTTACTGAGGCATATAATGTAACATTGGGTGGACATTTCTGACATAAAATGAAAGAATAGTGCAATCAGATTTGGTATCGAGACAGCAGCCAATTTGATAACTCTTTCATTTCTACATTAGGGAAAGGTTATGTGTATGTAGTACATATGAACATTGCATTGTAGAATCGTATTTTCAGTTGCCTAACACTTCCTCTTCATAATAGAACAATATTACATTATTATTTATAATCATAATATTATATTGTTTGTATCGCTTTATTTTACAGCAGACGATTTCTACACAATGACAAAGGTAATTAAACCTTGCTCTTTTCTTTTGCTGTGTACATTTCCTTCAGAATTTAAACAACTAGACATATGAAAATAATACTTAACGAAAATTAATATTTCCTTCCCTAGAAACATATTTTCACATGACATTCTATTCTGCGCATTTTAGTAAAATATTCATCTATTCATGCTGTTAATCTAGGCAAATTGCATGTCTGACTTTAAAATGATGCATAAATAACATGTTTACGAGCTATTCATTAATTTACTTTTATACTGAAAAAGGCAATTGTGTATTTATGCATAATAGAACGCGTGACTGTACATTTTGGCATAAGCTAGGGAAATGTGTTCATAAGCAATGGAAAGATTCGTCCTCTTAGTATGCTTAAGAGTGGTATAGTTTCTAGTTTGATAGAAAAAATTTTGACTTTTATTTTGTCGCTAAAGATTACTTTTCTTCCTGAAATCCTCGTTGTGAACAAACTGTTCTTTTCCTCAAACGATACTGTTACCACCATAAGTTTTTGTTATCGTCCTTGGCTATTGTAACCATCTTAAGCTATATTTAGGGCGTAAGAAATTGCAGACCTATGAGCTTTTGTTATCATCGTAAACAATTGTAATCGTCTTGACCTATTGTTATCGTCGTGAGCTAATGTTATCGTCTTGACCTATTGTTATCGTCGTGAGCTGATGTTATCGTCTTGACCTATTGTTATCGTCGTGAGATAATGTTATTGTCTTGACCTATTGTTATCGTCGTGAGATAATGTTATTGTCTTGACCTATTGTTATCGTCGTGAGATAATGTTATTGTCTTGACCTATTGTTATCGTCGTGAGATAATGTTATTGTCTTGACCTATTGTTATCGTCGTGAGATAATGTTATCGTCTTGACCTATTGTTATTGTCGCGTCGAGAACTATTGTTATCGTCGTTACCTATTGTTATCGTTGTAAACAGTTACTATTGTTATTAAATTTAGCTGTCTTGTCACAGCGACATTAAGTATAAATATAGTTTTAAGCAATCTAGTCTTTACGATATTTGGACACATATCTCGGAAAATCTCATAATAACTTGAATGCTCGTTCAAATGATATCACTGATAGGATGATAACCGTGTTACGTCACAGATTCCCCTCATTTTATGGTTGTCTCCTTAAGTGTATTCTGTTTAGCTAGGTCTATGTTGTCTTTAACAAATATCATCAATTATTTTCTTATTTTAATAGAATCTCTATTTCATGCAATTTCTGTGTTTGATTTGTCTGTACTGTCGACTATCTGAGATAGATTGCAAACATGCAGACGTCTGTTTGTCGCAGTATTCGAAGAATGCTTTTTACAAATTATATGTAAATCTGTAATACGGTGACGAAAGCCGGAATTTTAACAATCTTGCCATTCTTTTATATCTGTCAAAGTTGAGAAATTAGGAAATCGCATGTTATGCCCAAATTTACTTTGACTCATACTATATATTGGCAACGCCTTAGTGTTAGAATATGGGTATACAAAAAAACTAGAATTCATATTTTACTTTAAGTAATGTATTAGTTGTCGCCCTTTGTTTTGTCGTCTACAATACTCTAAATTAAAAAAAAATGTAGAGAAGATTTTTGGAAAACTTGTTCGGAAACGTCATCTTGTAGCTTGATACTTAATCAAAAAGGGAAAGGTCTACCTTGTGGTAAAAATGTATACGAAAAAGAAGCAAATAAGGTCAGATGCAAGAAACATTATAAGAATATACACATGAACTATACACATTTCAGTTAAATAAGATAAAACCAAAAATAGCGACATACTTTAACTCTTTTCTTTTTTTTTTACAAAATTTTATATTTACATATCAGATAAGAAAGGTGTTTAAATTATCTCAAATTTATTCTCATAGATTATTTTGAGAGATATCTTTATATTCCGATGTTTTTCCGGTGTTATATCAGAAGGTTGAAGTGCAATGTTTAACTGTCAAGTTAAACTTCTCGTGTATTGATTAAATCTTCAGAAATGATCGATCCTGTTCAAAAGAGACATGGTTTTATAAACACAAACGCTCCTTTCACAATATTATAATATCCCAATATTTTACCACTTGTATACCATACAATTTTGTAGTTTTACTTAATGTATATTGCATTAACAATTAAAAATAGCCAAAGATCGGTTTTGTTTTCTTTAAGAATTCTTTCGCTTCGGTGGTAATGAAGCGTTTGTGATCTCTTGAGTGAAAAAATAGATCTTCGCATATACGTTTTTATATATTATATATAAGTATACATTAACTAAATATCACTTCGACATGCTATTAAATTTCAACAAAAAATGTATACAAGAATATTTAAAAAATCACACTTTAAAGCCCGGCACTAACAGTGTTTAAAGTACAGATAATACGTGTGGATGTATTTTGTTTTTAAATACCTTTATACTTATATGGATTCGATTTGAAGTTTATGCTTAATTTATTCGATGATTTGTTAGGGTTGAATACAATCTTTTTTTCTATTCGTGTGTGCCAACTGGATTTTATCAATCAATTTTATATTGATGTACAAAACTAACGGGGATCTATCTCGACTGAAGGTGTTATTAATATTCCAAAAGTGACGTAAACTCTTCGCATGAGATGTATAAATTGACACTTAAAAATACGGAGATTTTTGAAAAGCTTTAAATGAATTGTGAAACGGGGTTTAAGTGTATTATAGCACGGTGGATATAAATTCTAATTTCAATAGAAAATTCCTGTATTGATGAACAATGGCGGTGATCAATTTCGATACATAATGACTTTTCAATTATACACATTATAATGACAGAAGAACCTGTTCATTACAGAGTTTGATATTATAATGGAATGTCTTTCAACCGAACAGTGACATTTTGGATATTTTGATACTATACTCCAAACAACTTGCTTCTCGCCGATTTTGTTACTATAAATTCTTGCGTTATATTCGCTGTAAATATAATACATATTAAAATATTCAACTCTTAAACAAAGCATTTCTGAACATTCGTGATGACATCTATATATGGGTGACTTTAAAGATTAAAATAACGGAGTTCTTATTAACAGCTTATCCGGAATAACTAAAGTCAAGAAGGAAATCTTTGAAGCATTAAGGTTATATATTCTATCATTGTATTGACATTATAATGGGAAAGTTATGGTATTTTGACCAGGTGGAGTTCCGGCGTCTCCAGGAGCAGGTGAAGGACGTCAGTATGAACCTGAAGAACAGGTTTCGAACATCGGCCTACCAGGTTAGTAGTAACTTTCTTTACTAAAAATGATTAATTCAAACGCGTGGCAAGGACACTTTTTCTCTGAAAAGTTCGCGCCAAAATGTATGTTAAGAATTACAAACCGAATGGTATTTGTTTAAATGATCTTTTATTAATGAACATTTTATTACACTTGTAGTAACAGTAAAGTGAGAGTTATCTTCGATTTTTTTCACAAATTGCAAATAATTTCTGTAGATCGTCAATACTTTTTTGTTTGCTAATCAATTACTTTACTTACTCGGTTGAAAACATTGACATTATTTAGAAAAACTTTCTCACTTTTCACATAAGGCACGAATATGGGGTTTGTTACTTATAGAATAGAATGTATTTGAGCCGCGTCATGACAAAACCAAAATAGCGGGTTTGCGACCAGCATGGATCCAGACCAGCCTGCGCATCCGCGCAGTTTGATCAGGATCCATGCTGTTCGCTATCAGTTTCTGTACTTGTAATAGGGTTTGTAAGCGAACAGCATGGATCCTGATCAGACTGCGCGGATGCGCAGGCTGGTCTGGATCCATGCTGGTCGCAAACGCACTATGTTGATTTTGTCATGACACGGCTCATTTGTTTTATCTCTAACCGTTATACAAAAAACGTATAAGAAATTTAACAATGTCTAATAAAGCAAAAGATAGGTGTTAATCATATCAATTATATAATTATTATATCACGCCATTACATCATATCATTACATCATATCATTATTGTTCAATTATGTAAATTAAAATCAACAAAATAAAGAAAAAATCGCCATTAACTTTAGTTATGACAACAAGACATGTTTTATAATAAACAGTGTTATCCGTTGACAATATTATAATAAAGCGATGATAAAAATGATCAATATTTGACCAGACTCAACTTGTATGATGTTTGATGCTTCTATCCGAGAGCAATAAAATCTGAGATCATTGATCACTGCCAATTACCAATCATTCAGTAGTACATGTATTGATCAAAGCCGGGGTCATGACCTGAACTTACTGTCCATACTCAGGTGACAGAAGTAACCAGGCATTTCACGAGTCCTGGTCTCTCAGAAAGTTCTTTAAATTCTTATTTTAAGTTTTCTCAATGAATTCATAGTTTTTTTCATGATTGTACATATGTTTCCATTGTTTAGTGAAATACATCGTTCTTTTGTTATCTCTGTCATATGGTGGCTGATTTGGTATACTTTGCGCGTTGCGTTTTCGATAGTTGTCAACACAACCTATATCGTTTTCGTCTTTTCGTCTTGTCGCTAGCAAAGCACGCCAAACGGCGCGTTGTCGCACTGTCGTCTTGTCGTCCTGTCTCTAGCGAAGCACGCCAAACGGCGCGTTGTTGTGTGGCGCGTTGTCGCTATGTCGCCCTGTCGCTTGGCTTAAATGCCAGTCCTTCGATTTGAGCCGAGCGAAAATATCACATCGCTACAACAAGCCGCACGACAACGCGTCGTTTGTCGTGCATCGTTAGCGACAGGACGACAAGACGAAAATTCGACTACGCGCCGTTTGGCGCTATGTCGTACTGTCGCTAGCGACAACACGATACACAAAAGCGTTCCAAATAAGCTACCATACTGTCAGTTTATAAATTTATTGAAGTTTTACTATTATATTTAATGACATGATAGATAACTCTGAATCCGTAAATAATAGTTAAGTAGAATTTGTCTCCCTTGTCCTCGGCCGAAACAGATTTCATTTTCTAAACTAATATTTTTATTTTTAACAGTATCAGAACAGCGACATGTATGGAGCGCACGGCGAGGTACGCCTATATATATATTTGATATACTCGGTTATAAGTTTATCTTTATCACTTTCTATTTTATATTTTGCTTGTTTGTAAACCGCACACATACACACACACATGTATACATGTACATGTACATCTATCTATTCCTCGCCTAACACAGTAAAAATATATGTTTGTTTCATAAACATTGCATGCTTTTAATATGTATCAAGTGCTTTTTTATATTTTAAAGGGTGTTTACTTAGTTTTTCACTGTTCTAAAACATAAAAAATGCATGATTTTCTATTAATTTTGCATTATTAGTAGCCGGCTGAAATAAACGATTTAAAAGAATTTTAATTTTGAATTTTGGAAATTTAATTTAAGGCTAGGCACATATCTGTAAGAGATTAAGTTCTCTCTCCCCCCCCCCCCCCCAAAAAAAAAAAATGTAGTATGTTAAAATGAGAAAGGTAACTCACTAACTGCTTAAAAAATTGAAGCACTGTATATTCATCGCATAATGCTGATATTTAAAAATCTCTTAACATTCCAAGACTTATTTATATATATACATATTTTTTAAGAATGGCTTACATCAATAACAAGGCTTGTTTTACGTAGATAGTGGTGTTGTTTATTTGTTTTGGGTTTGTTTGACTTGTGTGTCTCATATTCTTCATTACCAACTCACATATATTACTCAATCTTTACTAATCCATCGGTTGAAGTTGGTTTTTATTTGTTTGTTTCTTGCAAATATCGTCCTTTTAATATCGCCATTTTAACCGTTTGAATTACACATAACAAATATTGCTTACAGCATTAACTGCATACATGCATACCTGTGTTATAGGCCATTTCAAATAAACTCACATAATGAAATATTGTCACTAACGAGCAATGGACATATTATTCTCTATTTGAACAATTTTGCTAAAAAGATATTTGTTTCTAGAGACAACCTGTCGACAAAGACTACGTCTTTCCGGTCTATATAGTCATGAGTGACTGTATATTCTAACGAGTAGTGTTTTATGATTTGTAAATATGAAAAAATGATATGTGGGTATGGCATGCACGTGCCCACGGTGATAAATGAAATGTATAAATACTGAGGAATAGTTTGATGGGGAAAGCGTTAAAATTTTATAGCTGCATGGATTGTGTTTGCACACATTATTTCAAGCAGTTTCATTATTGATCCGTTGGGTTCATTATGGGAGATATTTTGATTAATGACATCTCTTTTTCTCCCAAGCAGAGAAAATGTGGGTATAAACATGTAATGAACTTGCATTATCAAATATCATTTTATTACATACTCCATTATAAAAGAGATAGCCGGTTATACGCAAAACTTTTGTAGACAATCTAAGCTGAACAAATAATACCCACTTGAGAAAAAAAACTTTATTTGTTCAGATTGAATTAAACAAACATTCACTACAGTGAATTGTAACATTTCTTTCAAATCATCTGTATATTACATATAACAAAAAGCTTCGGAAATAACATTGTGAAATGGCATTGTTATATATTGTTACATAGGTTGTAAAAATGTTTGATAACACTGTTCTTAAAATAATGCTGTTTTATTTGGATACATTCAAAGTACATAATAATTATTGACTAGAATACATAGTACTGGTTATATTAAAGTACATATATTGACTAGAATACATAGTACTGGATATATTAAAGAGCCTATTTATTGACGAGGTTACGGTATAGGATATATTAAAGCACATTTGATCAAGTGAATTAAATGGTTTTTTTACGTTTATATAGGATAAAAGTGAAAAAAATTGTTGTAGTAACAAACTATTTGGACATATAACACTAAGGTGCTGCTATGCAAGTCACGTATTTATTGCATGTACACTGGAAACCACCAATAAATGATTCGTTCTTAATATAGTTCGAACACGCACTGTGTTTCGACGTACCGTTTATTTTCAGTATATTTTTGACTGTTCTTGTAATTTGTCACATCGATCTAAGGTGTAAGGTTTCTATCAATATAAAACATTAAAGACGGACATGAAATGAAACTAATATCATAACATATATCATCAATATAACACTGATTATTGACTACATAATCAACAGTTGCAAGATCTCATTTTTATGGTGGATGTCTGTGGTCGGACAATAATTCACGAAATTAAAGGGGTAATTTGATAACACCAAATCTGATTGTAAATTAATTGCATTCAACATTGCCGGTTACTTTACAGCCTTTACCCAATTGTAAACAGTTTGACATGCTTAAAGTTAAACCAATATTATACAGTGATAACACATGTACATACATGTACTTAAAAGAAATAAGGTCTTTAAAATGTAAATACGGATTGTGAGATTAAATGTAATACTCCATTCAACAACTGGATTACTCGATGTAATACTGAATTTATTGCATGGTCACCAATTAGGATTATTGTTACAAGTGTCTCGAAGGAAAGCGGTATAAACGAATGAACTCAAATATCAACTAGAAACCTTGTATACAAGATTGATAACAAAAAGCAATCTTAAGTGAAAATGCAATACACACTAGGAGTAAATAACAAAAACAAAAAATGAATGGAATGCTGTAATTAAGGGAATTATAACAAGAGCTGGTGAACCACATTTACCTCGTTTTAAATTAAAGGGTTCAATTTCGGACGGAAATGTGAAATGTGAATTCAGTACAATAATAATCATGTCATAGGCGGATTAAAGTGGAAATTTATTACACATTGATGTTACCACTTATTGAGAGATAGGGGAAGTCAGTTGCTTTGTTGACACGTTAATCAAACTATGGATTACCCGCACACAATAAACTCGGGTGAGAAAAATTGAAAAAGATGCCGGCGATAAAGCCCGTTCACAGGAAATTAAAGAATGCATTACAACAGTTACTATGGACTATATGTTATGTCGGAAAATTCATTAACATTTCTGGGATAGAGATGAACGTTAATTGATCTGTATATGGAACTGTTCAGTATGGAAATACCGCAGTGTTCTAAAGCTAATGTAGTGTTCATGCATATTTTTTGTGTTCCTCCACGAACAATGTTGTAAAGATGGTATGATTTTTAGGAAGTAACTGTTTACATAGATTATATATTAATATACACGAGGACTAATATAATCAATGTACATTTATTCCGACCTACAACCTCATTTTTATACATCACACATGCATCTGGAACCCCTCCAGCCGACGGCATTTTTTTGCCCGGTACCATGCCCCCCGGTCACACCCAGGAAACGGAGGAAACGACGACGTCGTTCTAGAAAACTTGTAAGTTCTTTTAGGTCAATATTACCGGCTATTATTCATATGTTGTGAGTCTTTGAAGTAATTATCACGACGATTTTATGCCGTTTTTATCAATTAAATTGTTGTTTCAGCAGGAATAATTTCGGTTTACGAAATACACAATAGCACAATGGGTAGTTTTAATTTGATTGGCCGACATTACTTTGATTGTGTAATAGTATATTATTAAAACAGTAACACAAATGCAGTGTTTACCTACCTAATTTTGAAAAAAAAATATTGCACTTTATTAATTTTACAAAGTCATTATGCCCTGTAACAATTTACGGATTTTATCTTTTATTCGACCCGGTCCGACCTTATCATGCCATGTTTGGATAACTTATGTATAAGTTTATTCAGTGTAGCTTATCGTAAACGTCTTAAATCGATCGTTTGTGAACCTAGTAATGTATTAAAACAATGTAGTTCCCACCTAAACACCACACACCCGCTGCTACCATTAAATAATACAATAAAGTATTGTAGCATTATTTTTATTACGCAATTTAATTGACTTTGTTCACTCGAATGACGTAAGCCGTAAGAAAATTTTAAGATTATGACATTCGTATTTAGTTTTGGTTATTGAACTATAAGTGCTGATTTTTTTTAATCTTGTACATTCCTCATTTCTTCATACATCAATCAATGAAAGTTATAATAAATAATCATCAAAATATTTGAAAATACGTGACTAAAAACTTTTTTATCTTTTGCCATCCAGTGCAGGCCTATTTGATTATTATTTCAGTTTAAATTCATACAAGGTTCTTAGTGTGATATCTTTGATAGCCTGTAAGGGGTAACACAGAAAGTAATAGGAATTTTTATGTCCATATATCTATTAGAATAACATAATACTTTCTTAGCTTTGAAACCGTCGTAAATAACTAAAGTTAAGATAAGTTTAAAGTATATTGTAAAATATATCGACATTTTTGCAATAGTTCTTGTGCCTTTTCTTTGATCATCGTCAATGATTTATAGCACCCGTTTCAATGTTTAGACTTTATGGCATGTTTATAAACTGAGGGATAGAAGTTACATACAAGTGTATTCCAAATGTCAATACTAAATTTATTTCAAAACAAATAATAAACATAATTATATAAATGCATGATAATATCCGGAGATATCCGAACACAGCGTTAACTTGCAGCTTTCACTTGCTTCGAGAATTTTCTTACGGTCTTTATGTTCTTTCCGATAGCCTCAAGTGTCTGAAAAAGGAAAAGAAATTAACATGGTACATAGGAAACAATGTGTAAGAATGGAATGCATCAAAACTATATTATGAACATTAATTACCTCATAAATACTTTTAATCAATCTATCAACATCTGAATATTTTGATAATAATAAAGATTCTATCCTAATGATCGTTCACCTTGTGTAAAATTAATAAAAAGACACTAAAGTTTATTTGTTATACCTGAAACCATGGACTACCTTCCCTTTATTTGAATATTTGATAACACTGTATAATACTCAAGAATTTAAAGTACACTTGCACGTTTAAAAGTTCAAATAATGATGTTCTACTTTTTCATACAACATTAATTGATTAAATTATAAATACCCATACAAGTGTACATGTATGACGAAGTATATACAAGTGAATTCTAAACGTAAATACTAATTTTATTTCAAAAGAAATAATAAACATATAGACCTATAAATGCAAGATAATATCCGGAGAAATCCGAAAATATCGTTAACTTTCAGCTTTTACTTGCTTTCACTCTGACTTTTCAGACACCAAGCAATTTTCATGTTCCTGAAACTGTTTTGAAAATTTGATCTGGATCTTGCTACAATCATAATGAGAGTGTTATTTTATTTTTTTACTTTCATATAAAGTTCCCTTTAAAATACGTACTATTGTCATAGTATCGTCATCAATTCTCTCCCTTGTAATAACAGAGTCTGGAATTCCCACGGCTGTAGATTTCTGATAGTGGACTAACTTGTCGTCCTCAACGTTGAATACTGACTGAAATGTCCGATACAATATGTTAATTATGAGGCCAATGCGATATATCTTAACATAGCAAGGTTCAACATGTACCATTTATTACTTAATAGTACTTCAAGATAAACCATACATTCATATAACACAATATTTAAAATCAGATCGTCAGGGGAAGTAATGCGAGATCTTCTTTTGACCATGAGAAAATTAGTCTATACATTGTCTCGTATCATGCCTTTTAAGTTTCGCTCGTATAAAGATAAAAGATAACGAAGAAAAGCTCAACACTCAAAAACGTATAGCAGATTTATCATGAAAACTAAACGAATTTCTCAACACTCAAAAACGTATAGCAGATTTATCATGAAAACTAAACGAATTTCTCAACACTCAAAAACGTATAGCAGATTTATCATGAAAACTAAACGAATTTGTATTCATTCATGTGACGAAGCTGTCGAGCTAACCTAATGAAGGTCAGAGGATTGTTCAACTATGTTGCGCGCCCATGTCTGAACAAAAACATGCAGGGACACCTCAGTCCTTCACCCAGCAATAAAACTGGATCTATAGTCGCCATGACCTTGATAGTGCCGGTTTTACTTAAAACCAAACCAAAAAAGAAAACTATCATGATAGCACGCGATGATTGTTACATGTATCGCCTGTATACGGATAACCTTTATTATCATCCTTATCCTTTTATATTTCTTGACTATTAAGCAAGCCTTATATTAACATATAATACTTAAAAATGTAGTAACTATGTCAATGAAGTGTTGTTTCGCGATGATACAAAAATATGTTTTACCAGACTAACTTGTTTTACTTAGCTAATTATCATTTAATATGAATAAACTCTGACAAAATTAATTGCATACTTTAACATCCCTTCCATCCATCGTCTTCTCATTAAACTCTTCACCCAGTTTGAATTTTAGGTGAGCATTTTTAAAAGTTGATGTAATATCTAGTGTCCACTCGCCGTCGACCTCCTTAATTTCTTCATAGGATGAAACTCGTTTGCCCACTTGTCTTAGTGCGAAATTCACACCTGATTAAAAATGAAAATATGCCAGCCAAGAAGTTACATAAAATTAATCATCGTCGTTTTTTAAAACATACTTATACAAGTAACGTGTCAGTGGAATTATGTGAATGTGGATACTAGTAGTTAAAGATGAACTAACACGAAGGAACTATTAAAAGCCAATTATCAATGTTTAACAAAAGGTTAGTCGTGAAGCGAGTAATAGGTCACAATTTTGCCTTTCTCCAAGTAACAGAAAAATGTTAGTAGTAAACCTTTTTAAGTAATCTGAAGTAAAAGTTATCCAAACTAACTTAATGAATATCGTTTGAAATACTTGAAAATAATTTCTATGATACCTCATTAATGTAGAACTTTAACGCAAAGAAATTGCATAACATTAAATTCCAAAACATATGCCGGGAATAAGTTACGTAATAAATAAAGAACATACCCATCGCCTTCATATATTCGTCCCAATTTTCGTCAGAAGCCTCTAATTTCCAATACCCCAACAACTTTGCCATTGTTCAGTTACTGCCTAGACGATTGATTTATCCAACAAGAAAGTTTCACCTTAAATTACTGCCCCAAGTCACAATTATCTGCGTGGCAATCGACTGAGTAAATGTGTGCCTGATAGGGGTTTGTTGACTAACTGTAGATAGCTCAGTGTATGTTTCAAAGTACAAACTTAATAGGCCGTAAGATAACTTGGCCCCATAACACCGATTATTACTTTAATTTTAATAGCTTTAACATGTGTAGAGGGTAAAGCTTGGTTTAATTATATTGCTGTGTTTCTGTGAAATAGCTTTGAAATTTTGATATGTAATTGCTTGTCATTGTAATATCAGAGGTTGTTTAAGTATCTTCAAAGGTAGACATAAGAAAAACAATATGAAAGAAGCCTTTGTATCATGACAAGTTCTAAGACTATAGATATATTCTAGCGATATGGCATTGCATTGGTCTCTTCAATGAAAAGATATACATTAGCAATACGAAAGAAGCCTTTGTAACATGACAAGTTCTAAGACTATACATATATTCTAGCGATATGGCATTGCATTGGTCTCTTCAATGTAAAGATAGACATTAGCAATACGAAAGAAGCCTTTGTAACATGACAAGTTCTAAGAATCTAAAATTTGATATATTCTACCAATACCACATATCTGTGTTCTCTTCAATGTTAAAGCAGTGTTAGTTCATTTCGAGATTTATTTCCCGTCTTTTACATTGACGACAATATTTAACAAAGTATACCTTAAACTTACTTCTAATGTAATAATTATTTTAAAATGACATTGATTCTTTACTCTATTTGCTAATGGATTTGAGATTTAACTAACATGGACACACGTTTTTATTTTCATATATTTTATTCGGACCTGTTTCAGTGTTTGTATAAATATACATATTTTGCAACGTTTGAAGAGTAATACATGTATATACAGTTTTCGTAATATATTTATATGCATAAGATTGGCATTACTATACTAATGTTATGAAATGGACAGATCAGAACTTAAGTTCACCATTCTGTCATCTTTAACATAATTAAGAATAGTTCTCTGAAATAAGATACAAAAGTAGTTCGATTCTGGCTTCATCAAGATATTCTATTTGGAATAGAAAATTGTCATTAAAGCCGTCTGACCTACGACTGTTCAAAATTAAGAAAAACATCTTAAAAAGCAGATAATGGCAACATTTAGAGAAATCAAAGATAACATTTTTGATCTGTTATTAGTATATTTACAAATGATAGTCTTTTGACTTTCATTGTCATTTAATTTTTTCAAGAAGTTCATTCATTTGACATTAGGCTTCCTGTCGGATGAATTTCCTGACTGACTTAACATTTGTTCCAACGGCCTCATATATCTAAAAAGAAAAAAAAACATGAAGATTGGCTGGGAAAATATTATGTACTACATAATGTATAGCACAAAGTTAGTTTAGTTTTGTTTTGATATAAGTGATGAAATATGATAGATAATGTTCTTTAACATGTATACGAATAAAATGATCTTTTTCTAACAATCTATAAATATCCATAAAGAAATGTAGCATGTGAGGAACCTTGCCCCCACAAATTTAAAGCAGTATTTTATGTTATATAGAGCTGTAAGGTTGTGTTCTGAGACCTTGTTGCTGAAACATCGTTTGAAATATTTACCTGGGTAACGGTTGTTTCATCAACCTTCTTTCGTGTTATTCTTGTGTCGGGTATATTTGCATGCACTGATTTCTGATATTGTATCAAATGACCATCGTCACTTATTGTAAATGTCGTCTGCAAGTAGACGTCCGTCAACAAGTTAACTAAATATAACATATGTATCAAAGTAATCGCTTACAATTAAGAAGATCAAATAATAATAATTATTAACCTTTTATTCATAATTAAAAAAAACCCCATAAAACATACATTTAACGTCTTGATAAGCAATGCTTTGAAAAAGAAACCGATTTTCAATAGCCTTACATTTGCAACAGCGTTTATTTTGACAATGATGTAGGCAACGGTAGCATCTGGGCCTAATTAATAAACAAGTAATTATATTGTTTACTTTATTAACTTCTATAATCAAGATACCTTGCATTTTCTGCCATCCATAGTAGTTTCATGAAATTCTTCACCAAATTTGAACTTGAGAGTGGTGTGTGCAATAGATACAGATATACACAGAGACCAGTTCTCGTCGTCATCTTGTTTAAATTCCTCTACAGGAACAACAGCTTTTCCCATTTTTCGAAAGGCAAAGCTTATTCCTGTTACATACAGAACTTTACAATAAGAATCTAGTTATGCAGTTGTACATAAAAACGGTTGTGACATGTTAAAGGCCCGTAATGCCTATAAAGGTTTTTATTTCTATTTTCAAAAGCTTTTAAATTTTGGTCTAAGATTATAGTGACCAAATCGTTACTATTTGGCCAATTACCTAAACCATCATTTTCTTCTCTTGCTTCTTGGTAGTTCGGATAGTAAAATCCTTAAGATTATAAAGCTAAAATGTCCGTATCGGTCTTTCGTAGATTTGTGTAACCCTGTGTACTGGGTGACCTACAAAATGTTTAAATATCATATGCACTCATCTCTTGATAAGTGTCCTCTTTCAATTAAAGGCATGTTTTCATACAAGTTATAATTATAAGTTTCTGATTTTCATCATTATAATATGCTATAAAATCATTTGATAAAACACGACTTTAAGTATGTAATTATCTATCGATGTACAACAAGGGGAGTAACCAACTCACCTACAGCTTTCAGGTAGTCCTCAAAGTTGTCGGTCTTCTCATGTTGAAGTTTCCATTTTCCAACTAATTCCTTCATGTTTCACAGCGGGATTACGTGCTTCAAAAACACAATAGCAAAATACCTTTAAAGAAAATCGTTCTAACGCCAATGTTATTTGGCAAAACTCCGAGAGATCGTTTGATAGATAGGTCAAAATATCGGGCTATAACTATGTATTATCAAAATTTATCTATATGTCACTATATACGATATTGACAGGGTCGCGATTATTTCTGCTATATAATCTATATGGTGTCATCCTCAGAATTATCACGCAATTAACTGAATTAATGTTTGTTCGTATAATAATACTGTAAGGTAGAAAAGTCATATATAGTTTGATCGATTTCTTTAGTATGTTTACAACTGTATTGTTTTCTAATCTATCATATTTTCATGTTTCATTTTTAAACCATCAATAAATTTATCAATTAGTTTATCAATCAATATTTGTTTTAAAAATTGTTTAAGGTTTTATTTTTGGAAACTTTATTGTAAAAAGTACTTTCATGTCATATGTACAGTATGTAAGGAAGACATACATACGGCGTTATATTGATCACTTGTTTGCATGTTTTTTGCTTTATTTAGGAAATCTTCGTCTTGTCTTAGTGTACTCAATATTGGACCAAACATTTGCTATTACAGAAAACTTAATCGTCTACAAAATATACCGCTTTTATTTTCGATGCTTGTGCATTACAACAAAATTTTAACATAATCTTTTGAATGATTTTTTGTCTGTCTTAACTGTCTTGCATCGTTGAACTATTTAATAAGATAGCCAAATCGTCTGTGACTGAGTCACATATCTTTAATCATTCTAACTTAAGGACAAGTTGTTCAAAGGTTTCGATTTTACCCTCATTTTAACCTATTAACCTTACTGAGTGGTGTCATTTATGAAATGTGTATCATAAAGCGTCAAGTTTAAGTTGTGTGATAATCAACAGAAATCAAAAATAAAGACCTACTTTGACAAACAATTTGGTTTATCAAAACGCTTTTAACGAGTGCCTTTGGTATGTCATGAAGAAACTCGAAATGTTTGACTTAGATATTAAATATGAAAAGTTCAATCTCCGTTAGTTTCCTTTTCAATATTTACAAGTTATAAACCGTCTCATGTCAAACAAATGGTCTTGTTTATGTTTTACTTACATTTTCATTCATCAAATTTAAGGAGTTCTTCAAGGAGGGATAAATAATGAAATGCAAATATGATTTATGTTTGCATAATATGGATCAGTCAGTTGATTGTAAATCATTCATAGTATCATAATCTAAGGTAAAGTCACTCTCTAGTTTCACTTAAGCGTATGGGCATTTTTATATTCTGTTCAATATCTTTTAAGTACACTTGTGAGTTTTCTGTGCATAAGGCTTTTGTGACTTTTATATGGAACTGAACTGGTATCGGTAGATTGATGGATATTATTTTTCTGTTGCATTCTGAATCTTGAATATCTTTCTCAATTGTAGATTAGACTTATATATTTTCTTGTGCTCTATCGATATCTGATGAATCGTCTCTGTTTATCATTTCAAACTTGGAACGGATATATATGGAATTAAATTTTGTGTTGTCATTGCTTTGCATATTGTCACAACATGTTAGTTCAATATTGAGAAGTGGTTCTTCCTTTTTGTAGCGTTATTGTTTGGTAATATTTATCGCGTCATTTATCCCTTATCTGATGATTTTCAAACAAGTTTTCCATGGGTAGGCAAAACATCTCTCCTGGGTGTCTATTATATTAATAAATAGTATCATATAATGCATTTGAGTGCATTTTTTTTAGATAATTCACCTTTTTACTATTTAAAATGTTTGTCGATTTGATGGTTCAATTTCATAAATTGATCCATTTATACAAACAAAATACGAGTTGAAAGTTTTCACTGTATTTTTCCTTAGATTAACAAACGTTTTCAATAGATTCTATTTACGAATAAATTTAATTCAGAGAGATAAATAATATGCATATCTCTTTGTGAAGGGCATATTCATATCGTCTTTTATAATAACTGCACAATCTAAACAAGGAAAGTATACTGAATAATCTATTCAACAGGCGTTTAGTTTATTGTGTATTAAGGGAATGTATATCCTGAATTTTGACGCTTTCTTTATTTTTTGAACACTTAACCGGTCGTAAAAGTTTTATTAATCATTGTTTTGTTCAAGAAAACATATTTATGAAACCACTTAGTAAGAATTCTCAATACAATGCTAGTTTTAAGGTCAAGTTTCTTTGTAAAATATATATATACAAAAAAATGTATTTATAAAGTTACTTCGTCTCATTGTCTTATAACAATCTGTTGTGTCATCAGTTACGTCATTGAAGGCAAGAACGCGGGTTATTGTTTGATTCGGTTTCTTTTCCTGTGCGCCTCTCTCTCGTCCTATTGTATCATTGTGTTTATCTTGTTTCAATTGGTCTGGTCAGTCAAGGATATTTCACGCGAATGTTAAGTATTTCTTCACGTGGAAATAAGGTCGTCGTTTATAACATTAACTCGCCTTTGGTACCATAAAAACTAAATATTGATTTAAATGATATTTGATTATTAAATATTAATCAGGTGGTTGTTAGTTGAAAGTATGTATTTATAAAGGTACAACCGTATTACAGCAATAGATATTATTATATTTCATTAAATTTATCTGTCAAAGGATATTCAAAATCAATGGGAAAAGAATATCTCTCTTTTATTCCTATCGAGGCAATTTTCTGACATATACAAAAAACATAAATAGGCTTCGAAATAAAAGTGCTTTATACAAAACCTCGCAACCAAGATCCTTGAAAACGGATTATTAGTTCAGGAGAGGAATGTTTTAATAAGAACAAAATCACAACAGAAAGGATATTTTTTTTTTTGCATTTTGTGACGCTTTTTATGTTTTAGTTTTTAATCTCTTTTTTTTATACTTATTTACTATACTTTCTCTACATAACAAAACAGCATATTCAATACATTTTTTTAAATAATTGGTGATCGGAATAGCTTTATTACATAGTCATACTTGTTTTATATTCAAAGAAAGTTTTGATTAATCAGATTAACATGTTTATGAGATTATTGGACAGGGATTGACCCTATCGGATCAAACAAGTCTTGGGAAATGTAATGTTGAATTGAATGTAACACTGACCTTTGTGAAGTTGAATGAAGTGTTGAAAATGGCATTTGATTTGAAAATGTTATACTTTTAGTTCTAGTTCTGATTTAAATGCTAAGTTATGTGAATTCTCTAGGTTAGTGATATTTGAATTTGTCGGATTAAAATTTGCAACAGTTTCACTTAAATTATTGATGATATGATCAATAAATTAATACTGGAATGGAACTGAGAGGAATGCTTTCTTTCATTTCAACCATTGGATTATTGCAATAAGTGATTGGTATAGTACGTAGAAAAGCGTGTATAATATTCAGAATGGCAAGATGTGAGACTGGATATCCCGCCGTTGGTCCAGTTCTTGCTGTTACACGGAGCATGACTCAAAGGTCTATTCATTTGAGATATTTGGCGGAGTTTGAAGAGATAATTCATATCAAACGTAAACCACCGACTAAAAGACTAAGTGTTAAATATGTACCAGCACTTGTCCCGGAGGAGGACCCTCCTATCACAGGCTTATCAATGGTAAACCTTTTTCTTTCATTCATTCCAATAACGGTCGTGTACATATTTTTGCAGTTGGCAATATTCTTGACATTCCTTTGTGTTTCTTTCAATATCGTCAAAATTAATGAGTAATGAAGTTAAGTTTTTTTTCTATTCTGTGAAGTATTTTCTATTCTATGTCGATATACTTTGGCTCAGATATTGTCAAACATAGTACCGGATTCATACCGTACTATACTGTTTTGTGTAAAGCTCAGAAAGTACCAAGTACAACTACATCATGTACATCGTTTTATATCATTTGTTTTGTACACATTTGCAGATTTACGTTTATGCATTTTGTAAAACATAATGATTATTATTCTATTTACATTGATTTTTTAATGCAGTAATTGCTTATTTGAATTTTAAAAGAAATCCTTGAATAATTATACACACACAACCTTCGTTTGAGGTTTGATCTTCAAAGCCTTGATCTCTGTTTACCATTTTTTAAAATTTATTTGACTTATGATACATTTGAATTGAAGAGTTGTAAGTGGCACAACCTAGTTCAAATAAGGTACTATAATGTATTAAGACATAAATTGCCGGCGTAAAAACTACTTTTTTTCATATAATGTTACATGTATATATAACTGAGAAACAGAATGTTGTAAATGCCCTTAGTTGAGTATATATAACCTTGCCATAGTTTTATGACTTGTAGTTTTTGAACTTTTATCTCTTTGCATGACTTGAAATCAACCAGATTATTGCATAATCCTATTAAAAAGATTAACGTTATGATCCTTCGTGTTTAAACCAAAATGTAAAAAAAATATGAAGGTTAGACATTTACGTTTAGAAAGATAACATTCTCTCTGTGTATAATAATGGCATTGCAGTAAGAACTCCAAGTACGTTTTTGAAAGATAAAATTATATTGAAGACTAAATTTATATACACACTGGAACTAAAGAAACCTGGTAAAAATATTTTATAATATTCCTTTTCGAGTATAATCCTTTGTTTATACGATAATTCTGTCTACAAGTTATAATTTGATTGTTTGCTTTTTTTTCTTTAAGTGAATTTCTCAGGCAGTTTTGAAGTGCACACGTTGCCATATTTTATAAAATCAACACTTGTTGAGTTATAAATTAAGAGATTATGTCGTTTCTATGCAATATTTGATACTATTTGAAAGGTTTACACAACGGCGTTTGATAATATTATAACGTTATAAATAACACTTCACAGTTAGAAGTTTTTGTCGAAGATTTACTTAAAAATTAAAATTTTGATTTAATGTTGTCGATAAGCTTTCAGATACATGTATACTCTTTTGTTATCTATAACAGGGGTTTACAGGGTCTCTATTTAAAAAAGAAAGATACCATAAAGCTATGGCGAATATATCGTTAATAAACCGGATGCCAATGTGAAAAGGTCTTGAGTTGTTCTGCTTGTTGTGTATAGTGTTTTGTGCAGGTTTAGGTATACAAGCTGAGCGAGAAGAGCTATGTATTTTATTAAAACATTTAGAAATAATAGAAACATATTGAAACAAACAATATTGAATTATTATGAAGCATGCTGAGTTTTCATTTTAGTTAATGCTATTTTTGCCGTATTTTACAATTCTCAATAGAAATGATTACTAACTTCCCATTAGTATGTGGATATTCAAATCCAGTTAAATAAAGCAACTTAGAAACAATACTATGTCTTTCTTAAATAAAATAATCTGTCATTGAAATCTATCTATCTCATTTGTCATTGCACGAAACACACGTGTCAAGACTAGGTATAGGATTCCGTGATATGATTACGTTGTGGCTTTTTTTAACTTTCTTTCAGAGGAACAAATAGGTACTATTATTTCAGGATATGTTTTAATGTGATTAAACTGTTCACGAATTTCATCTCTTTAATCATCACTGTTAAAATATTCATATATCATATCTTAATCATATTTAAATGGTTAATATCTAATCAGTACGGTTTTATCATACTTTATTATCTTTACCATCATATTATCATGTATTATTTTGAAAGTGTTTAAGGTATCGAGATGATCTATCTGATCCTAACTGGACAGACGCTCATTAGATTTTAAGGAGATTATTTCAAGTTTCAGACGCCGTTTTCCTTTTCTAACTAGACCTTTAATATGGGATCACGTATAAATGGTTTCATGTTTTATACTTTAAGTTGTGTAATTAATTATATTAATATATTTTCAGAAATTATATCAACGTCCAAATCCAGAGAACCCAAACCAGATTTATCGTAGCCAGTTGGCCGCTAGTCTTAAAGCATTTCAACAAAAACAATGGCCTCCATTAACTCACCAGGAACTAGAAACTAGCTACATAAGATGTAAACCAGTTCAAGCAAACAATGAAAGGTGGGTAGAACTGATGTCATAGATTCTAGAAAATATTAACAAATTATACCATTCAGTTCAATACGGAGTAGGCTTTTAATTAATCAGTGTCTGTGCTTCGTATTTAATTACTAATCACAAATAAGCCCCCCCCCACGATTACACGTTTAAACGGATTCGTTTCGTTTTTCATTCATAAACGTTTACGATATTGTTTACCGTTTAATCGAAAATGACTATATTGTCTTACAAAATTTCTTAATCATTGCCTGTAATCATGTATTTTATCAATTCTAGTGGTTTATTCCAAAGTAAACAAACGGAAAATGGGTGTTTACAACCCTCCACACAGCATTAAGGGGTTACAATGCAAAAAATGTGTGCTGACTCAATTGTGATGAGCCCTTTCACATTCTTTATCTGTACATGTATTAAAAATAGAAAGAAAGACATCATTTGGCGGCTCAAATACATGATGTGTATAGTACATAGAGGTACCACCGTTTAAACGGTATCGTTTCGGTTCTTAGCAATCGTGTAAACGTTTTCAAAAAATTGTAAACGTGGGAGCCTTAATTACAAAGACTCCGTGTAGACTTGAATGTCCGAGTGGTTAAATATTCTATCAAATAAACGATGAAACGATGATATATACGATACTGAACAATGAAATTGATCTCTTACTTTTACTTTAAATGTCGATAAAATTGTTTTGATTAGAAAATAACGCAAAACCTATAGCAAAGTATTTGGTCTGTGATTTGGTCAGATGGCGTCTTAAGCGTCCAATTTGCGTACTACTTCCGTCCAATTTGCCTACTACTTTCGTCCAATTTGCGTACTACTTCCGTCCAATTTGCGTACTACTTTAATATTTAAGTTTTTGACTGCTCTTTTAAAAGTTAAAAGTGACAAAGAAAAGGTATATATGTCAAGGATATATAGCTTTAGCGTATGTTATTGTAAGGGAAGACTTAATGACTTTACGTTTAGGACTAGTTTCAACTGAAAATGGACGATTGTTTGGCTTTTAACTTTTCAATTCTATGACCGATGTTTTGTCGTAAAAGGTTTTATATGTTATTTTGTTAAACTAGTCAAGTTGCCAAGTTTGTGCATTTATTGTTAGGTGTCACACAAAAATAACAAAACCCGGTTCCTTGCAGTACCGTTTGTTTGACTTTTAATTAATCAACTTGAACAATTTATTACTTCCGGATAGATGCTATCAAAAACAACCATTTCCTTTAAACTTTTGTGTCAAAGAGCTAAACTGAAGAGAATAAAGTAGTTCGCTTTATATGAGAAGAGAAGTTTATTGATCTGGAAGTTGTCGTTGATTAAATGGCTCTTGCTAATTTCACGCACCACAGGCATGTATTTAACTCAACATTTACAAGGGAAAATATGTTTCCGTGTTGATTGTTTGAATCAACAGGCATCTAAACAAATGATGGAATGATACATCTATAATTGTCATGTTCTTTATCCCTGTCAAATTCGTGGTCAATCGAGCGATGAATTTTGTTGCTATATACCATATGAGCTTACTTCTTGCTGACCTTTTGTTGCATGTTCCCGCATTTGATATGCTATACTACTGGGTTTACTTAATTCTACTCATGTTGTAGTATTGAACATTGCAGACTAGCGGGCACATGCCTCTCATTATTGTCGCTGTGGCGGTCAGTGTTAAAAGTCCTGGCATCATTGTCGCTAGGAGTCAAGTAGATAAACGGCCTGTCATAACTACCGCAGACGGTCGAAAGCCATGGCTCAAAGAGATAACAGGCCTTGTTATAATTGTCGCTGGGGGTTACAGAGTTAACAATCTTTTCATAATTGTCGCTGGCAGTCAAAAAGTTTACAAACCTGTTATTATTGTCGAAGGCGTCGAAGAGTTAACATGTCTAGCATTCTTCCTCGCAGCCAATGGTTAACCAACGGCGGCCAGACTAACAATTTTACCTACTAGTATTTAATTAAGAGCTATGATTTCATAAGTCTTGTATGTTCCTGTATTCTATATTTATCTTTTTAAAAAGCCATGTCTAGTTAATATCAGTGTCCTGTCCTGTCTTTTATATCTCAATTAACCAATTCTGGAAACACTTTATTATTAAATATAATTCATAGAACAAAGTCTGTAAAACGTATGAATATTGTCGTTGTATTAATTAATGAACAAATGAAATTTATTTTTTAGCTAAACCCTTTTACGCAAAGAATACCTGTATATTTTGTCGAGCAACTATCAAATGCAAAGACCATTTCTTATCTCTTAAGTATAGTTTATTTTTAAGACTACCACATTTATTATACATAATAGAGTCTATTTTAACCCCCACTCTCTTTGATTATTTATTCCAAATACTTATTTAACAAAACATTTTCATTAATGTCATCTAAATCGCACAATAAGATCAAATGGTTATATCTATACCCTGAATAAATTTAAATATTGAAAAAAAAACGAAGTAGAGATATTGTCCGTGGATTTACTAAACTGCAATTTATATAATAGCTGTTATAAAATACAGAATAATGATTAACCAATGTATGTAAAGAGCGGAGGAAAGCTAACAGATTTGATTGTCGTCTGCGGCAGGTTTCCTTGGTTACCGTACCTTGTTTATATTTAATAGAAATTATAAGTGTATAATGTAATTGGATAAGCTTACATATGGCAATAAGTGGACATACATACTGTGTAATATAAAGATTTTAATCATGTAGACTTTAATCAGGTATTCTGAGAATTTACGCGACAATGTCATTATGTTACCATAGCAACCGGAGAAAACATGTATATGTAAACATCGCTGCTATAATAGGAACTTAATCAGATATTCTGGAGTTTATTTTATCTGTTTTATGATCAGTGAATGTGTCATCTTAGAGTTGTAAATATTTATTAGTTCTTGACGCATACATTATTAACGAACAAACATTTTAAGCGCCGGATAAATGATGCAAAACGCTTAGCAACACCATTTGTTCCATTTGATTCAACATCAGACATGTTTGTGAAGCGACACACATGAATTAATGATCTGCATGAAACCTCTGTAAGAGCTAAATAGCTTTCGTTATATTCTGCTTTAGCAGATTGTTATAGGACATTAACGGGCAAACGTGTTAACGAGGGTAGACGATGTTGCAGACGATATTTGTGAAAAATGTTATTTTCATGCGGATTTACATATGAAACTTTTCATATATTTTCATACGAGTGAAATTCAAAATATCGGAATACAGTAGAACTTCTATGAGTCGAACTTCGATTAGTCGATTTTCTCGATGTGTCGAAAAAAAATGAAAGTCCCGATTTTTCTCCCTATATATTACTTATAAAAGCCTATTTATGAGTCGAGATTTTATGTGTCGAATTTTTCGATGTGTCGATGTTTTTTCGTGGTCCGTATAAAGTAAATCTAGTGCAATTTATCACAAATAAGTCGAAGTCGTTCGATTATTTTGACACCTTCGATCTCGAGACATTTTTCACACCTTATCCAATGTGGCCATACCACGTGACTTTTCGGGTACGGAACACGCCGATTTTTCACCCGATTCAGGTATGTTTTTTATTCATAACTTATTTATTACTTAACCGATTTTGATGAGATAAGGCGCAGAGTACCCGTAATTATATCAGTTATCCACGGTATATCAAAATTCTGAAAACCCCTGAATGGTTTTTGAGAACATTCGAGTACAGTTTTCTTTTCATAGCCTAGGCCGAGGGGAACGGTACACACTCATTTGTCATAACAGGCGATTTCTAGCAAGTCATATGTTTTTTGACACTATTTCATAGAAAAATACATGTTAAATCTGATATATTTACTATGTCCAATGTATCGAGTGAATGCAGTTATGTTTTATCATATTTTCATAAAGTTCTGTTGAAATGGTACGGAACACACTGTTGTTTAATAAGATACGGTACACACACAATTTCTGTCTTTGAAACAATTCTAAAATAAAATATAGAAAAAAATTAATTTAAATTATAATGTGAGTGATTTTTTTCATAGTTATACATTTTATTAATTTAAACGAGAACCCAGGGACCTGTTTTGCAAAGTATCATTATGCCTACAGTTTGATGTAAACAAGATTATTAAAAAAATAAAGGAACATTTTGAGAGTACGTTGCGCAAAATTCGATTTTATATGTTGAGCAATTAATTCTTGGCTATAAAATGATAAAATTTTAGGGAGGGATACGGAAGTCATTCAAAATTTTGTTTTGTTTTGATTTTCATTTGAAACAATTAGGTATATTCTTTTGGATTATAAAACGAATTGTGAAATTCATGGACATCTGTTATGTGCGATTATTATTTCATTTAATTTGTTTGTTCGAATATATAAATGACTGTCTAAACGTAGTATGAATATATAAACAAACAAGAAGTTAGGAATAAGTTGGAAATATATGTTCCTTGCAAAATTTTGTTTAAATAATCGAATTTGGAGAAAAAACGCTGGTTTTGATGTAAGTGGATTTTTTTAAATCACGGAAAGTTTAAAGTTTTTTTTCGGCCACATGATATTTGGTATGAATCATATGCCAGTGTCCCAAACTAACTGCATGTATCTAAATTATCAAATTATCTACATATGGACAAATATATTTCGCAGTTTTACGTGCAATCAAAATTAATAATTTGATAATTTGAAGAACCCATATGTGAACAAGGCCTGTTATATATCGTAACGTAGTTTATACAAGTTAACCTTGTTTCGTAACGTAGTTTATACAAGGTACCCTTGTTACATATACATGTAAGGATATACATGTTAGGAAATTTGGTAAAATTATGCCTATCTTGGACATTTCAAGATGCATTTAACACTTGAGTTCATGGATATGTGTGCTTGCGTGTTTGTGTTAAAAATAAAATGATAATTTAATAATACCCATTTTGTCAATCATGGATTTTTGAGGCTGCGTTCTGTTTTATATACTACATGAAGTAGGTACGAGACCACAAGTGACTTCGATGTTTCGATTTTTTATGTGAGAAAGTTTTCTTACTACCGTATAGAATGTCGGTTGTTTTACTCAGGTGTCCGTTCGTTCCTTTATTTATACCCAAAGGGGCACTTGTAAAACTCGAAAGTCGCCACATGATAATGTCAGTTTTATGAGCCGTGAAACCAAACCAAAAATGACCTATTAACATAAATTAAAAGTTATTTTTTATAGCTTCATGCCTTTAAACATTAAAAGTTTAAGCAATGGCGACTACATTTTTATTTGTTTGGGTCGTCAGACCAAACAAATAATGGTAGCGAAATTTCAGGCTCTGATATGCTTATTTGCAAAATAAGAAAGTAGTCCGAACCCCTGGAAGCGGTTACTTACCTTTATATGTACTCTAACGCTGAAAAAATAAGGGGGATCACTGTGTTAAGATTGTCAAATGACGGGCGCATTAATTTTCAAGCCTTCTCGGGAGAAGAAAAAGTAGTTCCCGATTGGTCAAAGATTTCAAATATTGTGTAATTCTTTACAGATATACATGTAATATTAAGCTCCATGATTATTTACATCAGTGTCAAACGAAATTAATAAGGGTTACAAACCCTAATTTAGAATGATATGGTTTTCTTCAGGCTGTTATCTTATAACTTCCCCGTGGTCGAGGGGTTACACGCTCGTTTAGGAAGAGAGATGTCCTGAGTTCAAATCCAAGTTAAGGCAACTCATGTTTTTTGTTTTTTTGTTGTTTTTTTTAATTGTTTAAGCCAAATAAACAATGAATTACATATCAGTGTTGCAATAAGCCTTATAGCCAATTTACTACAGTTATGACACTAGAAACAACATTGGTGGCACTATACAAAAACAAACTGGTTTACAATCTCACAGCCTTCACCTTTCTGACATTCTGAGACCCAAACAAATTCAGCGCCTTCTTGATTTGATTTAATTAAAAGTGACCATGATATTGCAAGATTGTACCTAACGACTTGCTTATTATTAACAAAATATAAATATCTATAAATTGTTATCAAGTAATGATACTTTTCAGCGATTAAGGTCATGACCTTGTTTTATTTTTTCAGGATGAAGCAAAAAGACATATCTTACTTCACTTAAACTAAAAGAAATAAAAAACAACATTAAACAGCAATAAACAACAATAAACACAGCATTATATAACAACATTTTCTTTCTATAGAGCGCAACTACCTGATTCTGTGAAGATCGAAGTGTTGAACATACCCTAGGTGATTTTAAATAGGACAATTACATGGAGGTTGTAAATGTTAAGTGTAATCTCTTGAATTATAGTGCACAAATAGATATAAACATTAAAAGTAAGCATTATGATACATTGCAAAAACAGGTCCCTGGGTTCTCGTTTAAATTAATTAAATGTTTAACTATGAAAATAATCACTCACATTATAATTGAAAATAAATTTTATTATATATTTTTTTAGAATAATTACAGAAACAGAAATTGTGTGTGTACCGTATCTTTTGAAATAACAGTGTGTTCCGTACCATTTCAACATAACTTTATGAAAATATGCTAAAACATCACTGCATTCACTCGATACATTGGACATAGTAAATATATCAGATTTAACATGTATTTTTCTATGAAATAGTGTCAAAAAACATATGACTTGCTAGAAATTGCTTGTTATGACAAATGAGTGTGTACCGTTCCCCTCGGCCCAGGCTATGAAAAGAAATCTGTACTCGAATGTTCTCATAAACCATTCAGGGGTTTTCAGAATTATGATATACCGTTGATAGCTAATATAATTACGGGTACTCTGCGCCTTATCTCATCAAAATCGGTTGAGTAATAAATAAGTTGTGAATAAAAAACATACCTGAATCGGGTGAAAAATCGGCGTGTTCCGTACCCGAAAAGTCACGTGGTATGGCCACATTGTTATCTGGCTGCAAAGACGATTTCCAATCAACTTGTGTGACAGGTGTTAATTACACAGCCGTGTGTTCAAACAGCCTTTGTTTGCGATAAAATATGTGATAAAATGCTTTAATCGTTACTATTTTAATTGCCTTTAATTGCCTAAGTGGTATTTGAAAGTAAACAGTTAGAACAACTTTCATTTGAAAACATCCGTGACCCGGTGTCGCGTGAGAATTACACGCGAAATATTTACTATTAGCTGGTTTAGTTATCGCCCTTTTGTATTGTTACGCCTTTTGTAACTCTATTGTATACGTCAACGGGTAGACCAAATAATTAGCCGTGAATAAAGTTATTTAACATGCTATATTTATCATTTTTAAATATCAGATTAATGATGGAAAAACATGAAATAGGTTTTGTTATAGATCTTATAATTAGGACAAGTCACGGGTCGAAATTTTATGAGCGATTCATGAGTCGAAGTCCCGATGTGTCGAAGTTTTTACGCAAGTCCCTTTAATTTCGACTTACCGAAGTTCTACTGTAGTTATAAAATCATGATCGTGACATGTATAAATTCATGTCTACCTTCTGTTTTATCAATCTTGCTAGGTCATACTTAAAATAAGTATTGTTTAGATAATATTTAGAACAACTTTCTTATTTCCTTTTTCAGACCATCTACATCGTGTTCTATGCGAGGTGGTCAGCCGGCTCGGCCTCTGCGTCCGAAATCTGTTCCAGCATCTTCAATAAGACAGAAACTTGCAACACGGTCAGATACGCCTTCGGATGTCCGTCCTGGAAAATTCGACACTCTGAGGCCATCGCTCGCCGCTGAATTAATGGGACCAACTGAAAGGCCAGCTTCAGATTACGACGGACCAGCAGACGACAAAGCTCCTTTTGTTGAAGAATTAATAGCAGAAACAAAGAAATATATAGAGAATGATGACACCAGTACTACTTCAGGAATAGATTCTGGCGCATCTGATAACGAAAGTCCAAGTTCGGACGAAGATAGTGATTTTGAACCGGAAATAGACGAAGATATTGTTATACCCGAACTTAATTTACGTCCGGAAAAACTAGACGCTATCTATAAACCTGAACCAAAACGTGGATGGAGGCAATACGATTTTGATATGTCTAACATTGATATACCACCGTATGAGTTCCAAAGTCCATTTCCCGAAGATCTTGAGGGTCTAGATTTAAGACAAATGGCAAAACTCAAATGGAATTGGAGACATCATGTGAAATCGAAAGCGCCGCGTGAATCTGATCTAGAAGGCGTTCTCGATAGACTTGTAGAATTTGAAAAACTTCAAGCAGATACAATTGAATGGGAAAATAAACGAGCAGCGCAAATTAAGAAAGCTTTGCCAAGACGCAATAACAGTTCCAAGTCTCTGCAGTCACTTTTAAAAGACAAAGAAAAAAGATGTGACTCTGATTGTCTACAAGCGACGTGTTTTGGTGATTGCCCTGAAAAAATTATGACACGACCTACTTGTGAAAATTGTCGACAAGCTTACTGTACAGGAACATGCAAAGATCTGAAATATGAACAGCGCATGCGTCAAGCTAGAATGGAGGAAGAAAGGCCAGTAACTCCAAAGCCACCATTTCCTCGCGCATGCACTTCATGCCAGAAAAGACACAATGCTAAGTTTATCAATGCTAACAATCTTATTCTAGGATCACAACGTTTAAACAATACAACTTTTAGTCGAGGAATTAGTTCCCAGAAGCCACGAGATATGCGCCCTAAAACTCCAAATAGTTTACCAAAAGAAGTTCTAAAAGAGTTTGAAAAAATGAATATAGACGCTTCACTTCCACCTCGTCCAAACACTACACTGGCAATCAATAGGCCGCGAAGTCGGAGTTCTATGTTTCCTGGAAAAAGTTTTAATTCTCAAAGAAAAAATTCATTGACAGATTTAGATAAAGTGGGAACTGTGAAAAAGAAAAGAACAAAAAGTGCTGTGAAAGGAAAACGACCTAAAACTGCCGGATGAATTAATCTTTATATCTTCTTGACTAGTTACAATAACCAGCAACATTTAACTAAGCGATTTACCTTGTTGCAAGTTTTGTTTCTTCTTGATGACACATTTTAACGGTAATTTATACAATTTATACAGTTACTGTATCGCTTAATATACATTTTCCCATGGAAAAAAAGACATTTTAATATTGTTGTTAAGTGCTGAAAAGTACAAGTACTCTCTTATCTTTCAATTATCTTATCTTTAGTTTTGATGGTGGAACTAATTGAAATAATACTAATTTATAACCATCAAATATTGATAAATGTACTTTTCTCGGAATTATATGAAATGGTTATCAGATAAATGTTGACATTCAACATATTATTACTTACATCAATATTGAATTTTGTTCATTATGTAACGTACTGTGCTCAATTCCTTTATTGTCTCGTGTATTTACTTATATACATGTTTTCAGATGTGCTATTTATACTCAAGTGCAATTTGCTTGAATGTATTGCTTTCTCCATACTGACAATATTAATATGTAAATTTGTTATTTACATGTATTTAACCAACCGGCAATGAGATAAATCTAACTGCCAGTCCATGTTTAATTGGGCAAGTGATTGCTTGCTGCGTTTGGCATATATTTCTCTATCGAATAATTGCATTAACTATTATTTATGGGAAATAATATAAAATTGTATGTTAGTTATGCTGTGTTGCGTTTCTTTGCTTGCAAGTCTCATTAGGCTGTCGTCGAGATACATCGAGTGAGTCCAAATCAATAACGCTTGAATTCTGGGCGCGATAACTATTTCGCCATTTAGAATAATTAACGTGTGATAATAATATCTGATTAACCTAATGTTTAGGAGTTCATAAGTGTAATGTTGTATCATAGTTTGGAGACCTTTCTGTAGAAAATGTGTCAGGGTTAAATCGTATACATATACATGCACAGTGCGTTAACTGGAGTGCGGGTATTAGTTACCCGCACTCCAGAGCATGCCCATTGATTGGCTCATTTTTGCTGGGGTTTACATATTGTGACGGCAGAGAAAGGGAAAGTGACAGAAATGTCATATTCAGATGTTCGTTCATTGGTTAATTTTTGCCGGGGTTTCATATTGTGACAACAGGGAACGTGCTTTTATGTTTGACTATGATACAAAAGAGAAAGAACACCAAAACACTCGGCAATCTGATTAATACTCGGGGGCTACGCCCCCTCGTACAAATCAGATAGCCTCGTGTTTCGGTGCTCTTTCTATTACTTGTATCATAGTTTGGGGACCTTTCTGTTGAAAAAGTGTCAGAGTTAAATCGTATACATATACATGCACAGTGCGGTAACTGGAGTGCGGGTATCAGTTACCCGCACTCCAGATAATGCCCGTTGATTGGTTCATTTTTGCTGGGGTTTACATATTGTGACGGCAGAGAAAGGGAAAGCGGTAGAAATATCATATTCAAATGCTCGTTCATTGGTTAATTTTTTCTGGGGTTTCATATTATGACAACAGGGAACGTGCTGTCATGTTTGACTATGATACAAAAGAGAAAGAACACCAAAACACTCGGCAATCTGATTTATACTCGGGGGGCTACGCCCCCTCGTACAAATCAGATAGCCTCGTGTTTCGGTGCTCTTTCTATTACTTATTATAGCAGTCATTTAACTATAAGAACAATGTTAGATACTTCTGTCCTTATTTGTATTTATCACATACCCGTGCCGATTTTATGACTCCGCAAATGAAGGCACGTCTAAATATATGCACCGCCATGCAATACCATTTTTACAGTCGCAAATGAGACACGAGTATGTGATGAAAATTATTCTTTTTTACTTTAAACAGTCTTGATTTTGCGTATGTGATAAATAGAATATTATATTTGCGTAGGTGCATAAATGAATTTACAAAGGCTCGCATAGTATAATTTTATTCAACTCATTCAATAAATTCAATGAACCTACACTCATTAAATATCCTCTATTTGCTTGATTTTTTTTCTTGAACATTTTAAGATCGATCCTGCGTTTATCAGACCCCACTCAAGTTAAATACCAGACCAATATACTCTATTTTATTAGTAAAATTAGCAAATTAATTCTAACAACCCTACGTGTTTTATGATCACTTATTCAAGTGACATATTATAAATTTTCCAGAAATTGTCAGTAAATTAGTTCTAAGGGAAGTCAATCTATCAACTTGTATACGATAGGGGCAATATTTCATATCATATAACGACACCTATAGCAAACTTTTATGATGAATATCATATCACGGTATTGCTAAATATCTTAAATAATGGTATTATATATATTATATCATGGTACATGTATGTGCATACTTTTGTGATGAATATCTTATCCGGTATTGAAATTTTGAAAAGATACAAACTGTCAAAAGACAAAATTTTGAGCCGCGTCACGACAAAAACAACATAATGGGTTTGCGACCAGCATAGATCCAGACCAGCCTGCGCGTCCGCGCAGTCTGATCAGGATCCATGCTGTTCGCTTACCAACTCTATTACAAGTAGAGAAACTGATAGCGAACAGCATGGATCCTGATCAGACTGCGCAAACCCATTATGTTGATTTTGTCGTGACGCGGCTCATTATTCTATGAAACATTCAACTCGGTGTGATGTAGAAATAGTTGAACCATCCTACTGGAAAGAGCCAAAATAGAAGAAACTAAAATTACACAAACAAACACAACAAAAATTTCGTGTTGACCGATATTCAAGGATCGGAAATATAACATCTCTTAGTCTAGGATACACATTGGGAGGATTTAATTTAATTAATCCGAACATTATTATGGATATACTAAAATAATTTCAATTGCATACTTGTAAGTAAGATCGAATATATTTCACAGACTGAACAATATCGTGACGAATTGCATGATAATTTGAATGATATCATCATTTGACTATTCAATAACCAAATAATTTGTGACAATATTCCGACCTAAATGTAAAAGCGAATGAAACAGAAGCCAATTTACATAAGAGATCCTGATGGCTCAGCTGCCTCGTTGCTAGGTAACCCAGGTTATTTACCGTACACCAGTATCAAATGTACATGTAGTTTATACGAAATGTGTACCGTGGGGTTCGACGATGCTACATACCATAAACAGCGTAAAATGACAGGCCATTTTGTCACAGTCACGTGATACAAAAAGGAAAAGTTGTGATTTTTTTTCATTTGTATTTTATTTAATAAATATCACCATTCAATATATCAACAATTATCACGCAAAATATCTAAACAAATGTATGAAATATATGAAAATAGATCTACAATGTAGATCTATACGGACCTATATAGACTGACCACCTTGCAAAATTGTTTGTAAAGTATTAAAAAAAAAGAATAAGATTCAGCCTATGAAAATTTGCATTATTATTAATAAGTGTATATATGTATATACTTTCAAAAAAAATCTTTAAATATCTAAACTGTAAATATTTATATAAAATATAGTCTTTATAAAACGGGTATGATTCAAATATAGAATAGCTATAAAAGAAAGTTTATTTAAAAACCTTAGTTACGCAGATGCATGATTTTTAAAACTGAAATGTATGTGTGATAATGGATACTGGACTATGCGTGTTTAGAAAAATGGTTTGTAACAAGTTTTGTCCTTCCGGTTGGAGAACCGGACAGCTCTGTATACCGTCATGAAGAGGGTAGGAAATTTTTTCAGGAAGTAACTTCCGGGTTCTTCTACAGTATCCCGTGTGGACTGAGCTCTGTAAAGCATATTAAGATCAATAAAGTTAAAGAAGTAATTATTACAATTAAAACAAGAAAACGTGAATTTATTAACCTTAAACATGATTACAATGATGGGTTTGACAAGAGTTGTACAGATATGCTCGACTACGTATCTAACGGCCATATCATTATCATAACATGGCCGGCAGGAAGATTTTTTACAAAAAATGCCATTTAAAAGTAAAGTAAGTAAGTAAGTAATTATTCGTTTGTCAATATAAACTTTCAGGCCTACTTTGATTAATTTTTATTTGCATACATACTGTATCTTTATTTAAATCACGAAAACGATGACATTAGTCGTTATCTTCCACAATATGCAATTCAAATAAAGGTTAAGAAAATAACTATATACTGGAAGATATAAAAGCAATTCCGCTACGTTTATAAAAATTTAGATTGAGTGTATAAATAATTTGCTATAAGCTTCAGATAAAATTTACTATTTCAATTAAAAAAAACACATTGATAACTATTAATTTTAAAAAAATGCTGTATAATTTGAAGAACGATACAGTTCATTTTAGTCAAGTTAACTCGAGTCTGCTTCCTGGAACCAACCAGTACTGGCGTCTTATATAAAAAGACATGGTTGTACAAACCCATGGTCCCTGGGTTTGGAGGCATACACCTTAACCACCAGGACCCGGTTGTTCAAAACATTGGTTAAAATTAACAAAATAAAATGAATGGATAGCTTATCCACTGGTTAAATCCTTAACCAGCGGCCAGCTATCCAGTGGATAAAATTTCATTGTTCGACAGTTGGATAGTACCCTGGCTACCTAACCAGTGGATAGCGTATTTATCCACTGGTTAAGTACCACAATGCAACAGGGTTGGTTAGTGATTCTAGAAACAAAATGGCTGTTTTTTATGAATAATTAATTTCTAAGAACAGGAAGCTCCCAAAGAATTAATTATGCATGTTTTGTGCTTTCATGTTGTTGGAATTAAACAAAAATATATCAAAGGCCTTAAAATATCAATGAATCTAATTTCCCTTATTTGTCACATAATAAAGAAAATTAAAAATAACTTTTTTCAAATTTTGAATTCAATTATGTTCTAACTAAGAAAATGAGTATTGACACTTGTATGTTTTATTAAAAACTAAGAAAGTTATGACTGTTTAACTGAATTTTCTGAACTACAACAACAACAAAATGAGATTGAAAAAGGGTTCTTAAAGCACCTTTTTTGAAATGTTTCAATTTAATCCTATGCATTTTCATATGAAAGGTTATAGTAAAGAAAAATAACCATGTACATATTTGTAAGAAAAATGTTGTTTTAAACAAGTTTTAATGATTTTTACTGTTTTCATGATGATATCTAACCACTGGTTAAGGGCATTATCCGGTGGTCATAGGACTGGTTAAAGTTAACCACTGTATAATGCATTTTATCCCTTGGATAAGTTTTGAGCTACCAAATTTATCAAACAACAAAATTTAACCAGCGGATAATGAATTTAACCACTGGTTAACACTAACCAATGTTTTGAACAACCGGATCCAGGCCGCCGCTCTCCTTAAACAGTTCTATAACTATAACAGTAAAGTAGACTTACAGTTTCTCAAAATGATTACTACAGTTATAGACGAACACAACTAGATCCACGAGGCTATTCTTATACTGTCGGTATGTCGTCATATCATTCATGACATCATCTTCAATTGACTGCATCTAGATTGATATCAAATACTTGGTTAAACAGGGTCATTATATTTAACTGGATAAGCAATATAAAAGTCTCTCGTACATTCCCACTCCCCACCCCTCCCCACTCCCATTGTTCTTTCCCTATAGATTTGTAACAAAACCCATATCGCCATTTCGAATACATGTTATTTTTTGTTAAAAATAGATACAACTTTTTCCGTGCTTATTTTTGGCAAATCACTCAAAAATTAACACGTCCAACACTATACAAAAAGTAAAGTCGTTCAACTTTGTTAAATAGCTTTGTCCCTATTTGAAATGAACAGAAAATACAGAGACAAGTTTTTTCAAAACATAGACATCTATAAACATAATGATTTTCAAGTATATAGTCACCCTTGTTGCTGTTGCATTTCTATTCTATGCTGTAGAGAATAAAATGAGCCCCGTCACGACAAAACCAACATAGTGCGTTTGCGACCAGCATGGATCCAGACCAGCCTGCGCATCCGCGCAGTCTGATCAGGACCCATGCTGTTCGCTTACCAAGAAGAGAAACTGATAGCGAACAGCATGGATCCTGATCAGACTGCGCGGATGCGCAGGCTGGTCTGGATCCATGCTGGTTGCAAACGCACGATGTTGGTTTTGTCGTGACGCGGCTCAAATTAAGTTTTATAATGCACTTACCCATCTAATAAGAGAAATATTACAGGGCGCCATTGACACAATGCTTGTCATAGAGTTTTCCCGCTGTTTCTTGTCCATAAAGAAACTGTAAATAATATTCAAGGCAAAAAAGATGTTGAAAATAAAAACAATACAAATACTATAAACATATAAACTGCAGTATATCCCAACCAAAATGACATCAAAAAACGTTTATGTTGTCAATAATAATCTAAATAACCCTGGCGATGTTGGAGTTATGTCAGGACAAGTGTTTTATTATTTCAAGAGCTAAAAAATGAATATCTATATAAACTAAATAATGTTAATTTAAAAAAAATAATAACGTTAAGGATTATTTTTTCATGGTGGCGGTCACTTGATCACAAATCCTGAGCAATGATCTTCTTGTGATTGTGAAGCTTGAATTGTTTAAATGTTTACAAGTTTTATAAACAATTGTTCTGGGCACATGACGGTTTGGCTGTATAAATTCATCATTTACGTCTTCTTTAAAAAGCTGATCATTTATATTTTCTCAAAACGCAGTATTTCTACTGCTAATTTCAACAAAAAAAGTCTTACTTTTGTTTGAGCTCCCGTACAATATCAGATCCGACAATTGTAATAAATCTAAGTTTCTTTTCTTCAGCCCAAAACATAGGATGTCTGAAACAAATTTATTACTGGTGTCATGACTGACTTCCTTTAAAGCAGACGACATTTGTCTTCAAAGAAACATTGACAATATTGCGGATAAAGCTTGTTTTAAAAGGTTCTCTGTACTAAAAAATCCATATCAAATGCAACTTAATCCCTGCATACTTCATAATTAAAAGTAGTTTTGTTTTCTTAAATTAACCACCCAGTACTAAACATACGTTTTTTTTAAAAAAAATTATACAATATTACAATGCCTATGATGCTCTCTGAGTGTGTTCTACATTGAAATTTGATAGTATTTTCATATGTTATTTTATAAACGCTTTGTTAAAGGAACTCCACTGAGGACCAAAAGCTTAAAAACATAAAATTTGAATTATTTACATTGAACAGCTGGGGCACTTAAAACTGAAATATATGCAAAAGATAATTACGAAAAAATTGAATGAAAAGCGTCGGGTCATTCTGGGAAAACAAAGTGAGCGAATGTTCTGAAATTTGCATACAAGTTATTGAGCTAAACCTACACCAAACAATAATCTTGAAAAATTATTTCCAGTCCTGTCATATCATGTTAAATAACATCAGTGGAGTCCCTTTTAATGTCTTTGAATGATTTCCCCGAATTTCACAAGCAAAGGCAAGAAAAAAATGCTGGATATTTGACCGTTATACACAAACTTGATGAAAGACCTACTTGAGTATATCGGCTACAGCAGGCCTTTCTATCTTGTTGACTGACAACATCATACTGAGAAGATTCCCGGCCTCCTCACTAATGTACTGCATCATATAATTCTGTGTAAGTATGTTCTGAATGATCTGTGGTGGCTCACTGCCGAACGGGTTCCTACCACCCTGATAGATATAGTAAATCAACATGCCAACCACCTACAATAAAAACAATACAGTTGACTCTCGGTTACTCGAAATCCAAGGGACTGGGTATTTTACTTGTACTCTAATTGTAAAACGAATAAAATGCATCTTTTTATTAAGTTTAAACATTAATTTATATCATATAATGCTGTTCGATGAGACACAAGTCATATCACATGGTTAAAAAATGAATAACGATATAGAATGTTGGTTCATGTTCAAAACGTTAAAAGCATTGGACAATTATATTACATTAATTAACTGCTAGTAAATCAGCGTCATTTATGACAATATTTTGGTATTATCCGTGTAGTTTATTGTAAAAACTGTAGACTTTAAAGTAAGAAAATATGATTGCTTACAATATAAATCAATCAAAACAAATCCGTGTTAAAGACCACCTCCAAAAAAAAAAAAGATCACCCTGTGAATAAAGGCCACTCTTCAACAAACATTAATTGATAACAAAAATACAGAACAAAGTAACCTCAAAAAAGATCACTTGTCTATATGGGCTATGCTGACTTCCTTTTTTGGATGGCCTATGCTCACAGGTTTGACTGTTCCCTCTTAAAACAAATGGCGGGATGATGAAAAATGATAACGTTTTGGCCTGGAATCGACTCGATGATCTTCAAAATAATATCATAATGCCCGTTCTGTATTGAGACTTTTTTGAGTGATAAACTGGAATATTCTGACATATAATATATCGGAGAAAGGATTCTGTCCTCAAAGCAAACTCAACTCTGTTGGTCAAAAAAGCTTACCCAAATGTCTGTTTTGAAAATAACTTTCTGTCTGTACAACATCACTTCCGGTGCAAGCCAACACTTATCTTCTGCAAATGAAAATTGAAACAATATTATATTAAAGCAGCCATAAATATCGAATTCTTGTAAAAAATGAATATCCAAGACAGTATTCAAAAGTATGTTTATTGTGTATATCTTAAGACAATAAAACTTTCTGTTTTCGTATTGGTGTACAACTTCTATGTATTAAGTTTAATAGCAAATGTAATACAAAATTCGCCATTTAAAGAATTGGGCTATCAAACTGTTAAATTTGGTTAATTTATACATAATTATTTTTAGTTCAATTGCTAAAAGCTTATAGTAGCACTCTCAAATCAATTCCTGGAACCAACCAGTATTTAGCAATGAGTGTGAACGTTCTTGCTAAAGTAAACAATGGCTTGACCCTGACGGGTTTTGTACCCACGCAGCCAGCAATCCTTATACTACTAGTCCGACACGCTAACCACTTAGCCATGTCGACACGATGACGATGTTTTTAAAATGGCATACTTACCATCACTATACTCCATATATTTTTGGGTTTCATTTATTGTGGTATTTCTGCCAATTCCGTAACCAGAAACATTGAGATTGCCATCCGTATCAATGACTATGTTATCAGGCTGAAAAAAATCAATATAACTTACATTTCCAAACAAGAATTAATGTAACAAAACTCAACGAATCTCAAGTTTGAAATGGTATCAGATCATTTCCAAGTGTTAAATATACACAACTAGAATAAGCAGATCAAAAGTTGCAGCTTGATATTTTTATTTAAGGAAAAGTTCATCTTTCTCACTGAAATACAACTGCTTATCTTCCCTAGTTCTATTCATTTAAAAACTAATAATTTTCATTTTAATTTTAACATAGTTTTTAATGTGATTTTTTTAGAAAACACTATGTGTTTTACCCTTAACTCTCCGTGAACAATAAGGTATTGTTGATGCAGTGTTAGCATTGCCCTCAAGAACTGGAAGACTAGTTTCTCCACGGCAATTTGATGATCTATTTCTGTATTCTGTGAAATAATCTGTAGATATTCTGGTAACGTGTACTCGTACAGATCCATCGCAATATAGTAGTGGCCCGCATACTGCTCTATAGCCTGAAAAGGATGAAGTATTTATATAATGAGGGATCATTGTAGCATTTAAGTCAGCTTTTATTTTAGTTATTACAGTCAGATTCTGAGGCCTTCTATTTGTTCAGTTTTACAATGAATTCTGAATGTTTCTTTTTGTTATTTTTTGTACTATCGTCATCATCATTATCATCATTATTATTATTATTATTATTATTATTATTATTATTATTATTATTATTATTATTATTATTATTATCATCATCATCATCATCATCATTATCATCATTATCATTATTATTATTATTATTATTATTATTATTATTATTATTATTATAGAAATTTATATATTAAAATTAATGTTTGCTATATCTTAAAAGTTACTAAAACAGTTTGTCATGTCGGTCTTTCCGAATATAATCCGAATATCAAATTTTAATGTCTTAATCAATTCACATCCAAACTTAAAAATAGATATTTCCTATGATTGGTTAATTACATGCTTTATCAGTAAACATAATTTATTACATGCTTTTCGGTGGTTTATAGAAATATATCAGTGAAATAAAACTGGTAATTTCACTGTTTGAAACAGTGAAATTACCACTTTGATAATTTCACTGTTTTGAATTTTAGCCCCTTACGTTGTTTCAGTGAAATACCAGCGTGCACAGTACTGGGTACCAACTTCATGACGTGACGTCGTAAATGACGTCACGTTGTATTATTATTTGGCGCGCTTTTCATTCAGTATAAGGTTTAATGTCTTTTTAAAACGTTTCCTTGCATATAATAAAAAGAAAATTTGTTTAGTTTAGTGTAAGATCGAAATATATTTCACCTTGTGAACACCAAAAGTTCATATTTCACTCGTGGCTGCGCCACTCGTGAAATATACCTTTTGGTGCTCACTCGGTGAAATATATTCCAATCTTACACTGAACTAAACAAATATCCTCTATTACATTGGAAAAGTGTTATAATTTGATATACAAACCCTATATCTGTTGATGAAAAGTTGAGAGCTGTCAATGCTCAGTAACTTGTCCACTTCATCAGATTTCAGTTGGCGAATTCTACAGTCCATTATCTTTATAGCAACCTCACTTCCGTCAGACAAGTAGCCCAAGACAGTGACTCCGGTACTGTTGAAGAATTTAATCATGTTAAATAAGGTGTATTAAAACAAATAATGACCATTTGTTAGAACTAAAATGTATACTCATTCGACCTTTAGCATTCCTCATTGATTCGCTGATTAAGAAAATGCCCTGTTAAATTTTTTGAATTGTAGGAAAACATATTCTCAAGCTATTGGTGGCGTAGGTTCCATTGACATTATGAAATATATTTTAATTCAAAGTAAAAAAGTATTGCATATTTTCATTGATTTTATATAATATCCTGTGGGATATTCGATAGGTAGAATCTTTAATGGTGAATGAATATCTAATTATTGTGTTCCAACAAAATTCTATCTCAGACCAAAATAAAACGTAAAAAAAAAACGTTTTCCTTACTAATGGCGTCCAATACAGATGATGTCATTTTCGTCCCGAGGAATCATTATTTTCCCGATGACTTTCAGTTTTTCTGAAGGAAGACTTCGGATTCTTGAAAGTTCGTTCTTCCAGCGTCTACTTTTCACTTTCGACTTAAACATTGACTGTAGAATCTCCTGGATTTTACCTCGCACCGTTGACGACATAGCAGCTTGCTGAGACTGAATGTTTTGAATAGTTGTGGGGTTCATTGGAGGACGCGAAAACGGAACCAATACACCATATGGTACCAGTGGCATAACTGGCACTTGCTGTGGATTTACAACAGCTGGTGCATTGTGATTCGGATTAGGAACCAAGTGCTGTCCTGTTTGAACCATCATAGGCGATGGGCGTACATCTTGAAATGGCGGTCCATGACTTTGACATGGTATATTGCTTCCGTATGTTTGCCGTTGATTGTTTTCGTCACTGTCTTGCTGTACACGATCCCCATTTTGATCAGATTTTGTAAATTTTTGTTTTGGTTTTTGAGGCAACACTGGGTATGACTTTCTATCTTGCTGAGCGCTTCTTTGTTCTATTTCGATTGCACCTTTTAAATATTTCTCAATTTTTTGTTTGTTTATCCCAGCAGATTGGGCATAATACAAAAACTTGGACTGATCAAGTGATGCAGAATCTGTTATACGATCTTTGGATTGCATGTAATAATTGTTTATTTGTTCTAACTGTAGTTGTTGTATGTGATGGGCAATAGACACATCGTCCTTATTATGGTGAGCAGACAACATTGTCTCTTCGTGAAAGCTCGGGAAATAAAACGACTCGCCTTCACCATCCTCCTGCTTTACACTCTGTTCGTCATCTGCGTCAAATATCTCACCGTCTAGGTCATCGGGATACAGAACACTGTCGTCACTGTCATATGCCTCCTCCAAACGGCATGCATTTTCTAACAGTTTTTGTCCGAATGCACAGTTAGTTGCTGGTGGATTGGAACCAGGTAAAAGACCAAGCGGTTTGATTACAGCGGTTTGCTTTTCTACACCGATTTGATTTGACATACAATCGGTCACTTCTGTTATCTCTTCGACAACTGACTGTGTCTGTTTTATATATTCCGGGGAAGAAATGTGACACCCCCTTATTGGCGGTTCAACTTCAATGTCATTGTTGAAGATTGAGACATCAGTTTCATATTCTTTCGCGATAGTGTCAGCGATATTGCCGCTCGTTTCATCTGCGAGGCTCGGTTGTTTTATACAATGAATGATTGCTGGATCTGATGAAAGGAGGTCATACGGAGACTTGTGTTTCGTCACAGTGTTCATATGCAGCGAATCCGAATTATTAAAAATTTCAATTGTTGCAGGAACAAGCTGCGCAAATTCTTTGCTTTCTGATGTCTTTGATGCCTGTATCAATTTCGATTGTCTTGTCATATTGTCCCAAACCTCTTCTTCCTTTGGGGTTTCTTCTTCGTCTTCTAGCCACTCTGGTATCTCCTCTGGTGTGTTAAACAAGTCATCAATGATATTAGGCTTTGGTTCAGAAATAGGTGAGACAGATGTAATCAGTTCCATAAAATGTTCACTTTCATGTAATTCTAGTTGTTCTTCAAAAGTATCATACGTGTTTATCTGATTTTTCAATAACTGTAGTTCAGCTTCAGATAGTCGACACTTTACTGGTGATATAACTGATGGATCTTTATAATGGTCAAGCAACGTTATACTTCCGTCAGATACATTAGCTACAGCAATAGTTTTCTTTTCTTTTTGTTTCTTAGCATTTGATTTACATCTATTATGTCCTGATTCATTTTGTGCAATTATGTCACTATCAGCAGATTTAGTTTTGATCATCTTCCGAGTTTGTTCGAACAAAATGTTATTCTTATTTTGATACATTTCACCATTACAATCACCTTGAATATTGCTGTCATCAATTACAAGCTGTTTGTCAAAACCTTGTATGTTGTGAAATTTTCCTTTTTCCCCCATCGATTGCTCGAACTTTAGCTCTTCTTTATGTAAATCAATATTGGAGTCAATTAACGAATTCGTAGAGTCCATTTCAAGCTGATAATAATCGGGAACTGAAGGTCTTATTTCTTTTCGTTGTGTTCTCCCTCTTGTGTTCAAAGTTTTTATTTCTTCTTCTGTCAAGTTTGTTGGATCAAACATGTTAGGTTTGGTATCGTCTGTGTATTCCGGATCGTTCATGAAGCACTCGCCTGTATTTGATAACCGCAAACCTAGCTCTGTTGGTGTTTCTATCTTTCTAGCATCATAAACATCAGCACATGTTTCGAGTTTTTGCAGTTCTTTCTCTGCTTCTTCAATGTCAATTATTTCGTCTACAGATTCATTGAAGTGGGTACCAATGTCATTTGAAACTGGTTGATCAGAGTGAAAATGGAATGTCATTTTATTTGGTCTTTCTTTTCTAATTGTTTGTTTGATGCCTTTGTTTAAACTTGGAAATTCTGTTTCTTGTTGTTGTTTATTTACATAAACAGTTGTTTCTCTAATCCCAAAAACTTTAGTAGGGGTCGGGTATCTTTTGTCATCGGCCTCGATGTGCGGTGTGTCCTTAGTTATACCTTTAGCAATATCAGCCCATCTCACAGGTCCAGCTGAAGAAGCGACTGTCGGCTTTGCAAAGGCATTGAATGGTACCGTTTTCGCTTTCCTTTTCTTTTGTTTCTGTGATGGTGAATATCTGCTTTTCGAGCTATGTGATGGGGAATATTTAACGCTTTTTGGTTTCTCAATTATGTGTCTATCTTTTTCTTTATTCTTCTTTGTTTGAACCGTTGTCCAGTCCTCATCGTTTACTTTTTTCAACTTTTCAAATACTCTTTCGCTATTTGGAGTTGCCCATTGTACACTTTCGTTGCGATATTTACATTTATCATCTAGATTGTATGCATCGTTTTCGGTTCCTTGATTGATATCACTTTGGTCACTAGTAAAACCTGTTAAAGCATTGGTATTTCTACATGTGTTAACGATATACTCTTCTTCCTCCTCCTCTTCTTCTTCTATTTCTTCGTCATCCTCAACTGATGTCTCTGTCCATGATTTCAAAAACTCAGATGAAGAGTTGCTTTCAAGTTTCTTTGTCTTATCGTCTTTTTTCTGTTTAATCTTCTCTAGTCTTTTCTCTTTTTTGTACTTTTCACTCTCTTCTTCTTTTAAAAGTGCAAGCATGTGTTTCTCCCTTTCCTCTGTCTGCATTCTACTCACCTCGTTGTAAAAATGTACCCACACCCTGTTGATTTCTTTGAAATAATTTGCTTCTGAGCACCAAAGATAATATTCACCTTTTCCGAGGAAATTATTTAGAAAGTTCTTTTCAAAGTGATTAAAGAACTCTGAAACGGTAAGGACGTTCTTATAAAGCCATGTGCGACCTTCGGGAATTTCAACAAGACCTATCATTGGCAAAAATATCTGTAATGTATCTTTGGCCCCAAAACTCCATTCGTTCATACACAACAGAACTAACTTTAACACCAATTCTGTCCCACCGCAGATCACAAACTGTCGAACAAAATGTGTGTCAATCTCGTCCCCAAAACGGAAGAACAAAGCCATTACTAGACAACATATTTGAGTGACTGTGTCTGGCTGCTTAGCCCTTTCTGACATTTTAAGCATTATTGTTTTAACAACGTTTTGATTGTAGAAGCTGTCTCGAAATACGCTGTGCTTTGTGCACTCCTCTAAGATGGGAAAATATTGTGTCTCTGGCATGGCATACTCTCCGTCTGGTAACGGGGGATTCGTGACCTTGCTTAGTATGTCCTAATTGGAAATAGCATAAATGATTTATATATTGGTGTTCTGTATTAATCAAGCATGTAACATACACAAACGACACATCATTTTGAGAAGAGGACTCGATAACTTATATTCAAAGGAAGTAAATCATACATGAATGCAAACGATGAGAAAATGAAGTTTGAAAATATCGTAATATTTATAATGCACGTTTGTAACGTCGCATTTGGATAGCCTACGGCCTTCGTGGTCAATTCCTACGCATCAAAACTCCAAACCGGTGTTAAATAGCCGATATACACCTCTCAGGCCGATGTTATTCCTTAAATACAGCACTTTTTAACGGATTTAACTCAATACAGGATTGGAGCAGTACCTCTAGACGCTTGCAGAAATCATGATCACAAAATAGACAAATATCGTTTTTTTCGCCGATTTTTACATTTTTCATTCATTATCATACATAAATCGGTGTGAAAAGATGAATTAGACCTGTTAAAGTTCATTCCGTTGGGTAAAAAGGCAAGATTTTAGCATTTTATGATTCAAGCGCCTTGCCCGGTATATACCGGAATACGATATTTAGTGAGGTGCTCCAATCCTTTTTTTAGTCTCACTCCTTTTTAACGTCATTTTTCATTGGATAATCGTGACGTTCATATAGTTTTATATACAAAGCTGCTGTCAGTTTTCTAAGAAATCTCACTTTTTTCAAAAAGAAGGAAGTTTGGTGTATTATAAATTTGTTACAGATATTCTTGACACGTTATATGACCGTTTATAAACTGTTGTTTGCAAGATAACACAACAACCGTTTATATAGGGTCTTTTAACCTGTCAAAAATCTTTATAACTAATAATATATATGTATACTTATTACCTTTACGAAGAACTCTCGGCGGGCTTCATCAAGTGACGTCAACATGTAATCCAAAACTTGCGTATGGTTACCAAACAACGCCTTACTAACGCTTGTGTCATAATCCTGACAGAATAAATAAATAAATAAATAAATAAATATACTAGAACGCTCTGGTCAACTGAACTTCTATTATCAAAAATGCACGGTATATTTGGGATGTAGTATGCATTTTCCCTATGAGTTCAGTGACACGTCGTTTCTTATTCTAATGTTTGTACACCACTTTTGCTCAGATAATTTAGGCACCATTACTAAAAAGGTACGAATTAAGAAAAATGATAAATTTGCATCTACTTGTAAGATTTATTTAAGTAAACAAAACTATGTTAATTCCACGCTCTTAAAATGAAGAACATGCTTTTTTGGTGTAATGTTTTACCTCGTCTTCCAGGCAAATATCAGCCCCTGCTTTTATCAAGATATCAACGATTTTCATGTCGCCTTTCTCGGCTGCTATCATCAAAGGTGTAATTCCCGCCTACAAGTAAAAAAAAATAATGTAAGAGTTATCAGAAAATGTATGCTAGATTCACATGTTCGTTGCCTTCTCTACTGTCGAAATTGTACATATAAAAGTTCATCAGTCTGTCAATGAATATCTTTTATCACACAAAATTAATTTTACAATTTTTGTGGGAATTTAAAATGTTTTTGTGGCAGAAAATGCTATTAAGTAAAACAAAATTGATTGAAAAATTATTAAACAAATGGAAAAATACAAGCCTCTTTATAAAACAGTATTTATTAATGTAACCTTTATTAAAACGGTGCATGTATTTGTCTTTAAAACAAACTTTATAATGAAAACGGTTATTCCTATCCTACAATATTTAAACAAGCATAATTTAAATGAAGCAGATAATTTGTCTCTGTGTACGTATTAAAATTAAATAAATCTGTAATAAGAATTAATGTAGTTGCATATTTGAATATTTTTGTTGATGTTAGTGTTGTTGTTGTAATTTTGTTGTTGTTTTTTTCTAGCATAGACATATCATCATATAACTGAAAAATGTTTTTAGTTATCTGCAGACAAATAAAACATAAAAACCACAGTAACCTGGTCAAATAAATGAGCCCCGTTATGACAAAACCAACATAATGGGTTTTCGGCCAGCATGGATCCAGACCAGCCTGCGCATCCGCGCAGTCTGATCAGGATCCATGCTGTTCGCTATCAGTTTCTCTACTTGTAATAGGGTTGGTAAGCGAACAGCATGGATCCTGATCAGACTGCGCGGATGCGCAGGCTGGTCTGGATCCATGCTGGTCGCAAACACACTATGTTGGTTTTGTCGTGACGCGGCTCATATTACCTTATCCGTGATATCTGGTATAGCCTGATTGGACAATAAAAATCTTGCACAACCTTCCCAACTCCTTTCCGTCGCCAAATGCAGGGCTGTTTTCCCTACCTGTATAACCAATCAAAGTACTGACAGTTTATATACAAGTATATCATTTTAGATTGATTATCAAACAAGTTTAATTAATTGTGCCAGCATAATGTCTGGTAAAATGATTTTATATTGTGGGTCATTCTTAAATCTAAAATTCTAAAATTTAAAAAGCACACAGCGATGCAAATGACTGTAAAACCTATTAATATTAGCTTCTTTCTGTAGAAACATCATTTTACTAAACACTCAATGATATATTATGTGCAGTTAGCAACATTCCCGGCTTTGCTTGGCTTTGTTGTGCTTGGCTTTATTTAACACAAGTTTATATATTGAACATTACTGCCGACATGTGCGGATAAATATTTTGAGTTATCGATTGAAAAACACATCTTCTATAAACACGTGATATGTTAGGGGCTCGAACTTTCTAAAATACATGTAAATTAGAACGTTTCTATGCTGAAGATATTTTAAGATTTTTTTCTTTGCCTCAAATAAAATTCTTGTATTTAATAACATCATATCAGAACCTACCGTATTTTGATGGTTCACGTCCAAGCTTGCTTTGTACGGCCATAATAGGTTTATCATGTTGGCAACTCCAGCTTTAATTGCGGCCATAATAGCATTGTCACCCATCTATAAAAACATAAAATTTTAATCCTTAAATTGGTAAAGGTTGAGGTCCAAAAGCGTAAAAGAAACAAAATTTGAAAACCTTACAAAGATCAACTGGGGCATTTCAAACGGGCTACATGAATTTTGATTTTTAGCGTGAAACGCAAATTATCCATAATAATAATAATAATAATAATAATTCATTTTTATTTATTTATTTATTTTGTTTATTTATTTTCAAATAAAATGGTTGTTTAAGTCATCATCAGAATGAGTGTCCACTATTGATCACTGATACTTAGTGGATATTTGCTTGTTTTTTGTTTTTTTTTAAATATGATATATATTTCAAGTGTGACTATTGCAATATTTCCCGAACGTGAAGTATGAGTGAAAATGTGCATATTTTCTCCCTTCGATGTATATTATGTGTTATATTCACAAAAAACACCATTTATTGTTATTTAAAGACATATTAACTAAAAATAATTTATTTCATGCTTTCAAGTGTTTTATTGTAATATATCAGATGATTATATTCTGAAATACCAAAAGTGAAATTTATAAAATATAATTTTCACTGTAGCCGGACTATATCTGAATGCGGATGAAAAGAGAATCATAACTAAATGGAATAACAGGCAGAAATAAATGCTGTCATGCGTAAATTTTGCTTCTTTAGGAAAAGAAAGTCGATGTCACCATACATCTGGTTAAAAATGTAACAAAATTAGAGAAATTTAACAGAACTATATTTCAAAATTGATGATGTGACGTCATGATGTGATGACGTCACAAAGGAGAACGCGCGACGTTACGCGGCAAAATCAGTAAAAAATACTTAAAATCACTTAAAAAGCATGAAATAAAGAGAAAATTTATTTGTTTTACATCTATAAGATTGAAATATATTTCATTCGTGAACACCAGCTATTATATTTTTACTCGTGGTATACGCCACTCGTGAAAATATTACATCTGGTGTTCACTCAGTGAAATTATATTTCAATCTTACGTGCAAAACAAACAAACATCCTATATATTTTGTTTATTTTCGACTGCTGTCAATAAAGCGCGGGAAACAGACGCGCGTAGAGTAATTGACGTCAGACGTGCAACGGCTGAGAACGTTGCGCAAATACAGCACAATTTAGTAAAAAAAAATGAAGTTTGAATTTAACAAAATAACAAAACATTTCTGAATTTAAGTTAATTAAATTAATATCTGCCCGCAAACAAAAAGATCGGCAAATCTATATCACTCACTGTGACTGATATCAGTAGTAATACAGTATGGATTTTATTTCAATGATAAAACAAAGCAGCATTTTTTATTGGTTTTCCTTAATTAAAAACACATTCTTAGAGATGTTAATCATTGTTATTATTTTGATTTTTTCCAATTAAAAAAACTATTGATAAAATGTGAATGAGTTAAGGGAAATAAAGTTTCAATAACATAGTAGCAATATATTGCCGATCAAACTTAAAATGGCAACCGTAGGCAAAAAGAAATATTGGGTAGAATTCTAATGCACTTTACCCGTATGCGGTCATTCCGGATAAAACAGATAATATTATGGCGGCCATTATTTTTAAATCAAATGTGGGGGTATTAAATCAAGGAGGGGGATGGGGAAGACGGGGACAATAAGCCTTAATGACATGGCAATCAAAAATGCGTAGCCGTATAAAGTTGCAAATGATTAGCCATTGTTAATATTTTAGCGTGCAAGTTACAGGAACTTCCGGTCTATTTCTATATGCCGGTAAAGTGCATTTGTCCCGAAATACTATTCATAAAACTTACAAAATCTACAAGCGACAAATCGGCTCCATTTTGTATGAGAAGTTGTATAGTTTCTTTCTGTTTTGCCTTAATGGCGGCATGCAAGGGTGTACCGCCATCTAAACAACGTCCGTTAGGATCATACCGGGACTTTCCGGTGGTGGCATCTTTCTGGAAGTAATATCGCATCCTGTTTATATCCCCGACAGCCGACACAATGTCCACAGTTAACAACTGTAATTTAAATAGTTTGATTTTCAAGAAGTAATCATTGTATTTTTTAAGAAAAAAGTGTACTAGTACATGTAATTTCAAAGGATAAAAGAAAGTAATGCAGTATGTTTTAGAAAGAGAGTTACATTGGTCTAACGTATTTGACTAGACTCGCACTTAAACGTCTTTGTGCCCGAACGCTTCAAGGCCCATTAACACAACAGGCTGTGTTATTTTTTTTCTTCTTGCTTGCTTTTTTTTTTAATTTCAAGTGTACTGTTAAAGTTTTCAAGTTTTCAAGTGTACTCATCAGACAAATCTGATATTCTGCTTTTTTGGCCATAAATAAAGTTATAGAATTCTACAATTTTGTAAACTAGATGTGTTCCGTATTATATATGGAAGTCAAAATACTACTTTGGTTATATTTAACATTCAATACTACAAGAAAACAAGAAATAAACATCTAATATTATCTAAATCGAACATTAAAAATATTATTTAACGATTTTCTTTCCTAGAGAGGAATTCTTAGGCATTTGAGCCCTTAACGCAACTAGCTTTCAATCGGTTCCAGCAGGAACTGCCAGTCATAGGTATTTAGAAGCTCGCTCTAATATTAATAAACTACTGCCTTACTATGCAAAGAAAGTAAAAAATCATAAATACAATTATTGAACTCACGTTAAACTTGTCTTGTAATATCAATCCTTCAATGAAGTCTCGTATTTCAAGTGAAGGCAATGTCTCTAAATATCTTTGAACATCGTGAATCTGTGTCTCTTCATATGATTGTTGCACGTTCGGCTTTGTGTTATCTGATTGTTTATTTGCTTCGTTGGATGCACGCACTCCTTTCTTTGTATTTACATTATCATTGTTATCACGCTTTGCTTGTTTGTTAGGCTTTTTACTTTTCTCCATTTTTTCTACCATTTTGACATCTGTTTGTTTCTTTGGAATTAAAGACAGCTTTCGTTTCTTTTCAGTTTCGCCGGAATCTTTTGCAATTTCCAAAGTGTTTTCGGCCGCAGCCTTTTTAGCTGCGATCTTTGCCGATTTTGCTTGTGCCTTAGTCTGTTTCCTAGTTTTCATGTCTTTGGAAAGACATTTTAGTTTCAGTTATGTAACGATCCGTGTTCAATTTCTCTTAGCGATGCGTAAACAACGCGACGTCATTTCCGTCTCAGTGTTTTTCCCTTTTCAACAATATTGACGTCACTTCCCGCTAAAAAATGACGCCGCTGAATGCATTTGCAAATTATTTTACATACGTCTTAGTTCGAATACATATGAATTATTTTATGTAAATGTTTGTCAGAATGAAATAGAGCATTTTCAGATAGTTCAGGGAAACAAATGTACAAATATTTACAAATTGCTAATTTCATCATAAATCTAGAGGATATTGAACGAGCAAAATATTTTTTTATTCAGCAGGTCAAATAAATTCAGTAATGAACCAACACGAATATAATATTCTATTTATCACATACCCAAATAAGACAGTTTAAATTGCAAAATGGTCATTTTTCATTGACGTGCATATAATGTAACGCTAACATTGTATTTGTTTATGTCTATTCCCTGAATAAATCGATGCGATTTAGCGCGTCTTTACACTATGTTTGTATAACGCTAATGATGTCACGTCAAAATATATGCACGGCCGTGCAATACCATATTTACGGAGTCGCAAAATCGGCACGGGTGTGTGATAAAATTGATTAACAGGAATGAAGAGTTTGTTCAGATTCAATTTTATATTTTGTGTGATTTTGGTATTCTTAGTCGTTTTTTTTCTTAGTCTGATCTACTTAAGCATGAACCGCCTGACGGCTGTAAAATAATATATAAAGCCGCATTCTCGCGGTAAGTAGCTAAACAAGCATACCTGCATTCTATTCTTATGATATGTCCGGGTTTTTTTATTGTTTTTTTTTCTGTAAAATACCGACAACTTCCCCACAAGTTATTGATATAACAAAAGCTACCAAAAGAGCAGCGCGCTCTACTTTTCTCAGTGCTGGATAGTAGCCTAAACTGCAGATTTTTCAAAAAAAATAGATCATCTGAATTAAAGGTCACATGCATTGACCTTGGCTGGCAAGTAGAAGTCCTCAATATGCACATATTACAAATGGAGAGAAACAAAAACATGTCTATTTATGGGTTTCAGCAGGCTAAGCGCTTATATCAGCGTTTCTAAATTAAGCATTGATTTATAAATGAGCCGCGTCACGACAAAACTAACATGGTGGGTTTGCGACCAGCGTGGATCCAGACCAGCCTGCGCCTCCGCGCAGTCTGATCAGGGTCCATGCTATTCGCTATCAGTTTCTCTACTTGTAATAGGGTTTGTAAGTGAACAGCATTGATCCTGATCAGACTGTGCGAATGCGCAGTCTGGTCTGGATCCATGCTGGTCGCAAACGCATTACGTTGGTTTTGTCATGACGCAGCTCAAATCTATAGTGCTAAACTTCAAAACTTCAAGAAATACACAAAGCGTTTTATATTATATAAATTTATTATAAACATATTTATTCATATATAAGCATATATCACAGTTGCTGTTTGTTTATCAATTTTGGAACATCCCTTCTCCTAAATACATGCCATAAAAAGAGTCAAAATTGGCTCAAGCACATTATCTAAGACTTAAACAATTATTATCTTATAACTATATTATCTATTCATACAGTTGTGCATAAAATCACATTTGAATTTAGGCGTTTTAATACCCAAGTTAAATCTTCTCCCCAGCTTAGTGCAGTAACGGTTTAACTTCTATTGAATAAGGAGTTAAGTCGTTACTGCACTAAAAGATGACAATATCATCATTACAAGTATTGTCCAAAGGCTGAACATCAAATTCAATACTTGTAACACCTATATACATGACTTGTGTTATTATCTAAAATGTTTCATATCTAACATCAGTTGTTACTTTGAGCAATAGCAAAAGTAAATTTTTCATGTAAGTTCTAAGTATAAATATTATGGATTAAACACTACTTCTAACAAATATCTGTTTATTTTCTACTATTCATTTACATTTGGTAATATATAAGCATTCTAAAGCAATACATATTTTCCAGATTCATGCTTATTTCCATGAAAATTTAAAAAAATGTATTTTAAAGTTAAAATATTGTGAAGTCAACATAGAAAGTAATTTAAATATTGCAAACAGCACTTAAAATCCATGTAAATAAGCAAAAAGAGGTCAAAATATGTATATTTCTTACAATATTAGTACATTTTCTCAGGTTTGATTATTTAAAATATATTTTTGCTCATCTGGAGGCAATTGGCATGCAGTGTAAAAATATATATAAAATATATATTTGAGCTGCGCCATGACAAAACCAACATAATTGGTTTGCGACCAGCATGGATCCAGACCAGCGCAGCTGCGCATATGCACAGTCTGATCAGGATCCATGCTGTTCGCTATCACTTTCTCTACTTGTTATAGGGTTTGTAAGCGAACAGCATGGATCCTGATCAGACTGTGCAGATGCGCAGGCTGGTCTGGATCCATGCTGGTCGCAAATGCACTATGTTGGTTTTGTCATGACACGACTCAATTTTTTTCTACCCATAACAATGATGGCATTTTTCATGCCATTTGATGATTCTATTGGTACAATGTATTTCAACATCTTTCCCTCACATTAACCTTAACACAATTATTCTGATTTCTGTGACCTTTGAGCTACAGTCACTAAACTGTTCATGTCCATCACAACCTTCCAGGTATTCCTCCAGTTACTAGAGTGGTCTCCCCTGTTATGTAAGAGGCATCATCAGAACTTAAAAATGAAACAAGTCCAGCGACCTCTGGTGGTTCACCTACCCTGAAATTGAAAACAGAATGATGCAAGCTATCTCCTCTATAATTGAGCCACGCCATGACAAAACCAACATATTGGGATTGCGACCAGCATGGCTCCAGACCAGCCTGCGCATCCGCGCAGTCTGATCAGGATCCATGCTGTTCGCTATCAGTTTCTCTACTTGCTATAGGGTTTGTAAGCAAACAGCATGGATCCTGATCAGACTGCGCAGGCTGGTCTGAATCCATGCTGGTCGCAAACCCATTATGTTGGTTTTGTCATGACGCGGCTCAAATGATGCAAGCTGTCTCCTCTATATAACATTCCGAAAACTTAGCACATTTATCTTTTTTAAACCTTATTCAGTTTTATTGTTTCAGATTCTTTATCAACTATTAGGCAGTTCAATACCCTTTTATACATATGCTTGTTCAACCGTTGTAGGAGGCAGAGTCAAAAATGATTAATATTAATAAGTTTTTAAGAACAATAATAATAAAACAAGAGCTGTCAGAGGACAGCGACGCTCAACTATTCGAAAAAGTTGTCACATGGGTGTTTCATTGAGTATAATAATGCTTACCTATATGAATACATAAAATTGTCCGAAAAGGTACAAAGGCTTGTTATTGTTTTATAGTAAATCACTGCTGATTATGAATGCATAAAATTGTCACAAAAAAAGGCACAAACCCTTCAGTAGTTATGGAGATATCAGCTAACATGCAAAAACTTAACCAAGAATTTCTAAGTCAAACAAGAGGGCCATGATGGCCCTGAGGTCGCTCACCTGTATATAGCCCCCCCCCCCCCCCCCCCCCCCCCCCAACGTTGCAGGGCCAATTTAACCCAAGGGCTTTTATTTGAACAAACTTGGTAGACACCCATAAGAAGATGTTTCATGCTAAACATCTAAGCTCTAGCTCAATGGGCTTTTTAAAAGAAGATTTTTTTAAAGTTTTTACTATACACATATAGTTAAAAACAATGACACCCCTGGGGCTGGGCCAGTTTTGACCCCAGGGCTTTTATTTGAACAAACTTTGTAGACACTTACTAGAAGATGTTTCATGCTTAATATCTAAACTCTAGCTATTTGGGTTTTTTCAAAGAAGATTTTAAGTTTTTGCTCTACACATTAAAAGAAAATCAATGATCCCCGGGGCGGGGCCAATTTTGACCCCAGGTCTTTTATTTGAACAAACTTTGTAGACACTCACCAAAAGATGTTTCATGCTTAATATCTTAACTCTAGCTATTTGGATTTTTTCAAAGAAGATTTTTTAAGTTTTTGCTAAACACATATAAGGAAATCAATGACCCCCCGGGGCGGTGCCAATTTTGACCCCAGGGCTTTTATTTGAACAAACTTGGTAGACACCTATTAGAACATGTTTGATGCTAAATATCTTAGCCATAGCTCTTTGAGTTCTTTAAAAGAAGATTTTTTAAGTTTTTACTATATGCATATGGGGAAAATCAATGACCCCACGGGGCGGGGCCAATTTTGACCCCAGGGCTTTTATTTGAACAAACTTGGTAGACACTTATTAGAACATGTTTCATGCTAAATATCTTAGCTCTAACTCTTTTGGTTCTTTAAAAGAAGATTTTTTAAGTTTATAAAATATGCATATAGGGAAAATCAATGACCCCCCGGGGCGGGGCCAATTTTGACCCCAGGGCTTTTATTTGAACAAACTTGGTAGACACTTATTAGAACATGTTTGATGCTCAATATCTTAGCCATAGCTCTTTGAGTTCTTTAAAAGAAGATTTTTTAAGTTTTTACTATATGCATATAGGGAAAATCAATGACCCCCGGGGCAGGGCCAATTTTGACCCCAGGGCTTTTATTTGAACAAACTTGGTAGACACTTATTAGAACATGTTTCATGCTAAATATCTTAGCCCTAACTCTTTTGGTTCTTTAAAAGAAGATTTTTTAAGTTTTTACTATATGCATATAGGGAAAATCAATGACCCCCTGGGGCGGGGCCAATTTTGACCCCAGGGCTTTTATTTGAACAAACTTGGTAGACACTCACTAGAAGATGTTTCATGCCAAATATCTAAGCTCTAGCTCTTATGGTTTTTTAAAAGAAGATATTTAAAGTTTTTTCTTTCGGTTGCCATGGCAACCAGAGTTCTGCATGGAATTAAATTCTTTGAACAATTTTTAAAGGTGACCACCAAAGGAACATTCCCGTGACGTTTGGATGAAATTGGCTTAGTGGTTTATGAGGAGATGTCATTTAAAGTAAAAGTTTACGGACGGACGACGGACGGACGCTGGACGGACGGACGCCGGACGAAAAGCGATCACAAAAGCTCACCCTGTCACTTTGTGACAGGTGAGCTAAAAAAGGGCATAAATATGAACAAAAGCAATCAGCGTTATGGGACTTGTGCCAATCATGTAAGAGAATCACAGAGAACAAATGTGTGAAGTTTCAATCCATTCCCTTCAAAAGTTATGGAGATACCAAGTTACACGCAAAAACTTAATCACAGGCACGCCGACGCCCACAAATGGGTGACTGCATTAGCTTGATTATTCTGCGAATAGTCGAGCTAATGCATGTTTTTGTTTTTTTCGTTGTTTTTGTTGTTTGATTTAACATGTACCAACACAGTATAGGTCATATGACGACTTTCCAGCTTTACTAAGGTGTCCGTTTGTGCCTGAAATAATGCACAGAAGGACATTGTAGAACCATCAACTTCCCTTAGGTAGCTGGATAGCTTCTTCACATGAAAGAATCCAAAGTTCCTGTCAGGATTCAAATGCACAGCAGTGAGGGACAATAGGTTTGAAGTCAACAACCTTAATCACTCAGCCAAGGAGACCCAAATAAAACAAATGTGATATCAAATGTGCTTTAGCAGCAAAAATAAAACATGACCTTAGATACTTCCTTATTATCATCATTATAAGGAATATACAGAGATGTGTGAAAATGGAAGGGGTATGTTAAACAAATTAATAAAATATACTTAAAATTACAGTTAATAAAAATTGGATTATTAAAGCAAACTTAAAATTAATTTTGAAGATTTTTTTACCTGTGCATAGGTATCATCTGTAAGATCATATCTTTAATGGCAGGATTTTTCCATAACTGTAAAATATAAACATAAATAAACCAACACATAATTATGATAATCTAATAACATGGTATAATAAGAGAAATAAGAAATATAAAGAAAAAAACATCAAATAATAGATACCCTATAATAAAATAATAATAATAATCTATCACATTTGTATATTCATTCCAAAGTACTGAAATAATAATAATAATATTTCAACATTTGTATATTCCTTTCAAAGTACTATTTTCAACATTTTTCATTTCAAAATACTATCTTAAATTAATATGGTAATATAATAACGATGAAAATATCAAATATAAGGTGTGCAGCCAATTCTGTCTTAATCCAAGGCTGGCTGTTAAACAAAAGTTTGACTCATACTGACTGTTCCATGAAAATCACTAATAAACAGTTACTATAAGCCTTCAAATTTCTAATATACTGTTCAGTAACCTTGAAACAAGCTTTAAAGCTGCACACATCCAGATGAGCAAAACATTTCAATAAAATCAAACCTGAGAAAAATGTACTAAAATTTTAGGAAAGGTATAAAGATTCAAAATTCAAGTAAAAATTTACATGTTATGTGCGATTAATGACCAAATTTTTATAACTTTATTTTTACTGCGTTACTAACGCAGTAAGGGCTATTTTTGCATATTTTGACCTCTTTATAGTAATTAATATAGGATATAAGTGCCATTGGTAATGTGTAAATTGCATTCTTTTGGTAACTTTACAATATTATTCTGTTGAATACATTTTCAAATTTTCATGAAAATTAACATGAATCTGGAGGCATGCAGCTTTAAGCTTCCTAAACATTCAATCTAAAATCAATTCTGTATAAACTAAAGTACATATAAACAAACCTGTTCACTAAATTTAGTCTGGATGACACCTGGGGCGACACAATTCACTCGGATATTCATGGATGATAGTTGTGGTACGAGCGCTTTTGTTAAACCTATTAATGCTGTTTTGCTTACTGAATAAGGCCCTAGAAACTAAAAATATGAATAACCAGTCTTATTAAGTTAGTAAAGAAAGCATATAGGAAATATATATATTTATTAAAGTCTTAATATTCAAAGCTTAACTTCAAATTTTAATGTCGCAAGGAAAGCCACCCAAAAATTTAAAGGAATTGCATGGATCTAAATAGGGTAGTCCTAACAACCAGGCTAATGTTTTCATTCTAAATTCATATTAGAGCTGTGGGCCTTTGATAGTGACCTCTTGTTATGCTCTCAAAAATAAAATGTGTGCCAAGCTTCATCCCATTCTCTTCTGTAGTTTTGGAGAAACCTACTTGCACCACAAAACTAAACCTAAGTGTGATGTTAACACCTAGGTAAGTACAATAGCTCTCTCTCCCTATTCTTCAAAAGGTCAAGTTAAAATTGAAATTTATTTGCTAATAATAATTCACTGCAACATGTATCAATATAAACCTTATGTTGGCTTACCTCCATCGGAGTGTACCCAGCAAATGATGACACAAACACTACTGAACCACCCCTGAAAGTTTGTAAATAACTCATAAATACTAATTAGATTAGATAAAAAGAAAAAGAAACATATCTATATAAAGCTGACAAAACTATGCCATCTCCTATGTTATATGTTATTACTCACACCAACACTGCATTTAAGGTCAAATGACGAATGTCCCACTTTACAGACAGATGAAGACCTCAGGTGCCACTTCATATATTGAGCCGCGTCACAACAAAACCAACATAGTGGGTTTGCTAAACCAACATAGCGCGGATGCGCAGGCTGGTCTGGATCCATGCTCGTCACAAACACGTCTGGATCCATGCTCGTCGCAAACACACTATGTTGGTTTTGTCGTGACGCGGCTCAATTATTTCAGGCAAAAGCAGGCAGAAAGAAGTGGACACTCTGGTAGAACCACTGACCTCTTGTATTGATATACATCATACCATGTATATGTAGTTTAGCAATATGAAAATAATGTAAAGATCTATCTTTCTCTCCTTTTACTGCTAGGACTTTGTCATATAATTTCTATTTATTTGCCTTAAACATTTCTAAAAATAACAAATAACAGGAAGTGTCTTCGACAAGAGTGATTTTTATTTTGCACTAAATGTATAAAGAATATGTTAAAGCTTTCAAGTCTACCCTTTTATGGAAGAAAGTGAATAAAGTTTAAATAAAACATTTCTTTTCATACTCAAATTAAACCATACCCACAAAATTGAACAAAAAAACATCAATAAATCAAATATCATACATAATAATAAATTATTATTAAGTTCATTTCATAAGAAAAGGTATACCAGTCTTGGAGGTATTACTCATTTTGAGACAGTAAAGCACTTAAAATAGTAGTGACAGAAACAGTCTGTAGATTGAATCACATCTTTGATATGTTTTTAAGGTATATAATTATATTTAAATAAAGTACAAAATAATACACAGAAAAATACATAAAAGTTTTACACTGTACCCTCTTTTCTCCATATGAGGAACAATTTCTTTACAAAGAAAAAATGCGGCTTTCACATTGGTGTCAAATATCTGAAACATATAATATATAAACCTGCATTTCATGTAAACACAGTCAATTCTTTATCTTATGATAAAGTTTACTATAAATGTATTCAAATAATTATGTTCTACTGCTTAATAATACAAGTGCAGGTAGGATAAAAAATGTGTACATGTATATTTAAAGATATATGTAATGTATACAAACATCTGGGCAGACCCAAAAGCATACATGTGGTTTTATCATAAAACAAGTGCTGAAAAATCTGTATCCAAGAAACTTTTAAAACAGTTCTCTTTTTTTCCAAAAAGAATGGACATAATGTTATGTGCTGAAATGCTGTACTAGAGCTAGTATGTGGTTTCTTATTGTTGTTTTGTTGTTGTTGTTGTTGTTGTTGCTGTTTTCAGAAAATACTAGACTTTAGTTCAAAACTGGAATTACAAATTACAACAAATGGTTTATTTTCAGCTAGTTTATTAAGTTCCTGTTCTTCATTGTCAAATAAATTAAAAGTAAAATGTAATCTATTTAATTTAAATAAGTTAATAAACTATGTTTGAGTTACTTACCTTGTCCCATGCAGATTCTGGTGTCTGGTAAAAAAAGAAAATAATGTTTAAGTATGCATAAAAAATATATTGTAAATAAACAGCCATTAAAAAATTACAATATTTCTTGACAGGGATATATTTGTTCATTTAAAGTCCCATTAAGCCTCCAAAATGCTAACAAATTTATCTCTCAAATGCTTTACATTTTTGGTGTCCTGCTTATAGTTTCCAAAACGTTACTCATTGGCCGCATAGCTGAGTCACCTTTTGCTTCTTTAGCGCTTTGGCAATTGACATTACGCCACCTGTCAATCAAGCTGGCAGGGGTCTTACAGATAAGCAAATCGGCGACAGTTATCAGTTTCACGCTAAGATGTCTGAGAAGTCCGCAGTTTTCCTTAGACAAGCTTTTGTCATTCGGAATTGCCTCAGCTATCCGCTATCCGAAGACTGACGGAAAAAGCCGAGTAGTTGCAATTGTCTATTTGTATAAGACAATGGTGCAGCAGTATTTATATTGAAATTATTTTGATTTTTTGTCAATTTAAAGCTATTAAAACAGTTTATCTAAGTTACAAAATATCCAGACATATTGACAGATGGAGTCAGTTCATTTTACAAAAACAAAAATCCAGATGATATGACATTTTTTGTTCATTCTTAACATAGTGTCGATAAAATGCTGCAGTAGAAAGAAGTACTTGCAAATAAAATGAGAGAATATGTAATACATATTTTAGGTGAAATTATCCTATCTAAATATTTCTATTAAAGCTATATGAATTAAGATTAAATATTAAAATACATCTGCTTCAATAACATCATATCTTATCACGGTTTTAATTTAAAGCCGAGGTCTGGTAAATGCGAAACTTATTTTGAAGTGAATAATATTGTGTTTTATCACGAAAATATCTAATGTACAAATATACATATAATCATATATCATACAACAAAGTTACGCCAGGGCAATTTTCTCATTTAATTTTGACAATTTATGCACAAATGCAATACATATATTGGTAAGTGATTTCGCACATTTGTAAATGTTACTGTTTCATTGATATAATTTTACTTTTATATGTTCCGCTACATCAATTTTAACTATCTTTGAATTTGTAAACTAAAATGATATCATGTCAGTAACATCTTCCTTGAAGTCAGCGAGAAATATAACAAGATCTTTGCCAAACGTTTTATTCATCATTAATGCGTGAATGCAGCTATTTGTTACTTTTTTTAATACAATAATACATTGAACTATTCAATAAAAGCACTACAATTTTATATATACCAAATTATATAAGGTAAATTCATTAGTCACTTAAGTGGCATGACAGTTTCGCATAAACGTTGGTACAGTCTTTTGTCTAAGGTTCTGAATGACCGGGTCACGTGAATCAGTGGGCGGAGCAATCTCTTCTCTATTAGTACAGTAATAGTGATTGAGTATTTTTGGACATCAAAATATCACTTTGTTTACATTCTGTACCTTTCTGACAAATTATTTCACGTTCGAGGCTATCTTTCCTTGTGATAAGCATCTCACATTTTCTTTATCAGTTTATACAATGCTGAAGAACATATATAACCCCTTTCTACAGAATTAGAATTTCATTTCTAAGGAATAATATACCAAAAAAAAATTGAAGATGTTGCAGGCTTGGCTTGACTGATTTACAGGATTGGTAAAGGCATGCTATACTGTCTTCACCCTCTAGCACCAGCATTAGCAGGACCAATATTTAAATATTAAAATGGCATGTATAGGTTACTGGCGAAAATAATGCTGGTGGCAGAATTTAAAAAAAAAAAATCAACATTCATGATTATGTTTAAGTTATTGTTTTCACTTTTTTGTTTTAAAAAAAGAGAAAATATTCAAAAAGGAAGGAAATACGCATTCAAAACAAACATTTCAAAATTGACCACTGTAAGAATATTCTAGCAATTTAATGAAATGATTTTTTTTTGTACAATCTTGATACATAATAATTTATAAAGACTTACATCTAACATTGGTCCAAAAGTTGGATTAGCTGCAGCATTGGATACAAGTATATCTATCCCACCAAACTGTGATAAAGTCTACAATATAATAATAAGCATATATGAGCCGCGTCACGACAAAACCAACATAATGGGTTTGCGACCAGCATTGATCCAGACCAGCCTGCGCATCCGCGCAGTCTGATCAGGATCCATGCTGTTCGCTATCAGTTTCTCTAATTGTTATAGAGTTGTAAGCTAACAGCATGGATCCTGACCAGACTGCGTGATTGCGCAGGCTGGTCTGGATCCATGCTGGTCGCAAACCCATTGTGACGCGGCTAATATATACAGTTTTGTTGTTGTGGTAAAATATTTACTGCAGTTTCAAATACAAACTTTATAATTCTATAAAAGGTTCCCTCTATATAACAAGGTAGATCCATGTGTTTATAGCACTATTGATAAAGCAAAGCATAAATTTCAATGTGCTCAAAGTAGAGGTGTAAAAACATGGACAAGAAAAGGATAGTTTTTGAAAAAATCCAAGAACACCTTGTGTTATTTTATACCTTTAAATATTTTTCCGTGCAGGAAAGGAGATTATCTCAGAATTTTATATCTAACGTAACATAAATCATCTCAAGGACTGTCACCTGATTTCTGGGTCAGTCCCAGACATCCGGGACATTATGGGATGTGTGCATCATATTGATTTAAAGTTATATTCTGGACAAAAAGAATTATGGAAGCATGAAAAAGCACAGATATAACTCTGTTAAAAATCAGCACAAAGGAAAATTATGTTTCTCATACAAAGCATTTTCTATTCTGTAAAATCTATCAATTTATGAAGCTTCAAATTTGAATTTTCTGAGTCTTTACACCAGAAAACTTTTAACATTTCTGCCATATGGTTTTATTTTCCTTCCATCTGTTCCTGAGAATTAAGATAAACAGCTGACACAAAATTTTGAAATTCAAACATAATGACTAAGAAAGACCTAGCTTGATCAGAGGAAGTCAGAACCTGCACTCTGTACAAATCATTGTCTCATTTTTTTTAACATTTCTACCAAGTAGTTTCAATTTTCTTTCCTTTGTTTCAAAATATACCAACTATACAAAAAAGGCTTATAGAAGAACAACTTGGTATGTAACATATCCCAAATTCTTTTGGTTATATAATATTAAAAGTTCAATATACATTGTATTTATATTTCTTTACAAAATGAAAGTCATTATTAAATCAAATAAAAAGATTTGACTTTAACCTGTTCAATAAGTTTAGTTCTGTCTTCAGCTTTACCAACATGACACACTAGCCCAGCTACGTCAAGATTTTCTGACTTCAGTTGTGATACTGTCTTGTCTACATTATCTTGTTTCCTACTGCTCACCATCACTTTAGCACCATCTTGACCAAGTCTACGGGCAATAGCTAAACCAATGCTGAAAACAGAAAGGAACATCCAAATCAAGGGTCTTAAAATAATTTTGTAAAAAAGACAATGTATATATTAAATTCTAACTGTAATTTTCATAGTAAAAAAGGTAAATCATTTACAGTGAATGGCTGTGGGTAAAAATGGATGGTAAAATCTTAGCAAAATCCTTTGAACTTGGGGTTAGACTATATCGCTATTTTTGGCAAGGAAGTAAAAACAAATGTACCAAGTACCTAACTGCCAATGCAGGGACAAAGAGTAACAAGAGCTTTTGGTATGACAGTGTGCTTGATTATTCTCAGTGCTTAAATAGTAAAACAAGAGCCTTGATAATGTAGAATTTTTCAAGTTCAAAAATGGCCATAATTCATGGGAAAGTATTTGAAAACAAGAGGGCCATGATGGCCCAGAGGTCGCTCACCTGTATATAGGCCCACGGAGCGGGGCCAGTTTAAACCCCAGGGCTTTTATATGAACAAACTTGGAAGACACCCATTAGAAGATGTTTCATTATGTTAATTTTTTACTACACACATATAATGAAAAACAATGACCTCTGCCCCCCTTCCCCCACCCCCGGGCAGGGCCAATTTTAACCCAAGGGCTTTTATTTGAACAAACTTGGTAGACACCCACAAGAAGATGTTTCATGCTAAACATCTAACCTCTAGCTCATTGGGTTTTTTAAAAGAAGGTTTTTTAAGTTTATACACATATAGTTAAAAACAATGACACCTCTGGGGCGGTTCCAGTTTTGACCCCAGGGCTTTTATTTGAACAAACTTTGTAGACACTTACTAGAAGATGTTTCATGCTTAATATCTAAACTCTAGATATTTGGGTTTTTTCAAAGAAGAGTTTTAGGTTTTTGCCATACACATATAAGGAAAATCAATGACCCCTCGGGCAGGGCCAATTTTGACCCCAGGGCTTTTATTTGAACAAACTTTGTAGACAATCACTAGAAGATGTTTCATGCTTAATATCTGAACTCTAGCTATTTGGGTTTTTTCAAAGAAGATTTTTTAAGTTTTTGCTATACACACATAAGGAAAATCAATGACCCCCGGGGCGGGGCCAATTTTGACCCCTGGGCTTTTATTTGAACAAACTTGGTAGACACCCATTAGAACATGTTTCATGCTAAATATCTTAGCCTTAGCTCTTTGGGTTCTTTGAAAGAAGATTTTTTAAGTTTTTACTATATGCATATAAGGAAAATCAATGACCCCATGGGGCGGGGCCAATTTTGACCCCAGGGCTTTTATTTGAACAAACTTGGTAGACACTCATTAGAAGATGTTTCATGCTAAATATCTAAGCTCTAGCTCTTTGGGTTCTTTGAAAGAAGATTTTTTAATTTTTTACTATATGCATATAGGGAAAATCAATGACCGCCTGGGGCGGGGCCAATTTTGACCCCAGGGCTTTTATTTGAACAAACTTGGTAGACACTCACTAGAAGATGTTTCATGCCAAATATCTAAACTCTAGCTCTTTGGGTTTTTTGAAAGAAGATATTTAAAGTTTTTTCTTTCGGTTGCCATGGCAACCAGAGTTCTGCATGGAATTAAATTCATTGAACAATTTTTAAAGGTGACCACCAAAGGAACGTTCCTGTGAAGTTTGGATGAAATTGGCTTAGTGGTTTATGAGGAGATTTAATTTAAAGTAAAAGTTTACGGACGGACGGACGCCAGACGAAAAGCGATCACAAAAGCTCACCATGTCACTTTGTGACAGGTGAGCTAAAAAAAGTAGAACTTTGCTTGAATTAGTTATGGCAACCTTATTTTGCCACATAATAAGGCATTATTCTATGCATCTTTGTTCAAGGTTTCTACAAACTTGGGGAAAAACTGATTCAGCATTGCTGAAAGGCTTGATGTCTGAGATTATCACTATTTTGTGTTGATTTTTTCCATCAAAACTGAGTTCAAAGTACTGCAACTTCTCAATGGATTGAGAATTTGAGATTGAGTCATAGGCTTTTCAGTGTTGGTAACATGTTACCTTAAGATCAACCTGAGGCCATTTTTAGACTCTCTTTACAGGCATTGAGGAAAACAGAATGGAGCACATCACACCTCTGGCAACCCCTGATAAATCATTTTGATAGGGGGCGGCGACAAAAAAGTGATCACATTTCAACAACATTTTTCAAACGAAAACAAGTGTTTAGGACCTTACATGTAATAGGGCACTGTTTTCAGTATTTGACGCCTTAAAGAGGCGGGGTGAAAAGGCATAAAAACATGTATATAAGAGGTTTAAAAAGGCGTGAAACCACATTTATATGAGGTAAACGTTAAGTATATAAGCCATAATTTTTTTGGGTTCAGAGTAGGCCTAAACTATGATGTTATGTTGCAATAGTAATAGTATTTGGTTTGTCTACTTGTCAGTTTTGTCTAGAACAGTGTTACGTTTGGCAAGAAATATTTGCTGAATATCCTAAGATTGTATTGAGCATGGTAAAATATTTGATGTCAATCACAAATGTATGCATGACTTTTAAATTGTTGTGATTTTGCATAAAATTTTATATTTTCTGTCCTATCTTGATATTTTCTGTCCTATCTTGATTACCTTGCTTCAGTCTAGTGTAAGCTTCGTTGAAATTGTAGGAGTGAGAAGATTCACACAGATAAACACACAAAAGTGCTTTCTGAAAAAAATATTTTTTTAGTTTTAAATATAATCAGGTACGAATATAATTGAGATCGAAAAATTCTTGATATGCAATATACCCCTCTGTGGATGCTGTTACGACTGCAACTTTGCCAGATAGTTTACCATTGCCAGCAGCAGAAGATGACATTCTTATAGCTTGCAATAAAAAGGAGGATCGTCTACCTAGTGTTACACAGTTTTTCAGCATTTTTAGATCAAAGTGCAAGTGAAGAGCACGAAAATTTCGCACCTACTTCCGGTATTCCAAAAAAAGTTGCCAAATTTTGATTGGACAACTTAAAATAGAACTTCTGTTTTTCTACTAAATTTTGATTGGTTAATTTTGTTTGTAATACCTTAAAATAGTAACAAGGAATATCCAGTTTAAACATGCTTTGTTATGAAAATTTAATAATATGCTGACCCGCAGCTTTGGCTGTTGTTTACTTGGATCAGGAGGACAGGTCATTAAACATTCTTTAGGTAAGTTAAGCTTTTGATATTTAAAATATCTACAGCAGTGCAGAGGGTATGTATTGAATTCAATCAATTTTTGAAAAATGAATTCATTCATGCCAATCATGGATAATAGAGGGAAATTTAATTTGTTTCAAGCTGTTAAATAGGTAATTTTTTTTAGATAAGATGCCATTATATGTGCCAGGTTTAAAGTTATAAATATCGATAAATCAATTATCTTTGATCAGTGTATATCTACTGCATTTACACTTCTAACAGTAGTAATTATTTTGTAATAGTATACTAGGGCTATTAATTAGTTTATGTACTTATAATTAATGGATTTATTTGTTCTATCAAATTATTAATGGAATTATTTGTTCCTTTTTAATTGAATTTCAATTATTGATAATCATTTTAGTGGATAGTTATTGTTTTAAAGTTGACCACAATTTATAGTGTAATACAATTGTATGTTTTTCCCTTTATATCGGGGAAATTATGTATGTATTGATGTATTTATTGTGTTTTGAATATGCATTGTATATAGGTAATTCTTTGTTTGCAGGTCAAATTAAACATTTCAAGCAATTAACAAAGTTTAATGAACCGTTTTTGCTGGATTCAATTATGAAACATTCATTTACAGTAAGTTTTTCTACATTTATACTTATATTAATATATTTTCATGTCTATATTAATATATTTTCATGTCTGATACATATTTACATGTATGTGCCATAGTACATAGTGGCACAGAGCTTTATTTGAATATAAGTCTCTGCTGGGACCTTATAATTGTCCCAGGTCTCTTATAGCGGCTGAAGACAAGTGAGTTAGGAATTTTCTTATAGTTTTGCTTCCTTTAATTTTTTTTTTTTTTTGTTCCTTTGATTTTCATTACAGAAATAACATTTTATGCATCTTTTTAACTTTGTTGTTGCCTTTAAAAGGTATGTGTGGAAGGAAATATAGCGAGTGGAAAAACCAGGTTGCTGGAATATTTTAAGAAATTTTCTCCCATTGTAGAGGTAGGTGGAACTTTCATTATTATATTAAAATGCTTTGAACATTGCATCATGGATATTGTGATAATTTAAAATATAATGAATAAGCGAAGATTGTTAAGGCTTTTAAAAGTGTAGGAATTAAGTTAAAGTTAAAAATTTGTCAGTTTTCCATGTTATGTGATCAACATGATATAATTTTAAAATCTATATAGTCTTGAAATGTACATGTATCATGAGCTTATAATTTTTGTATCATTATTCTCACTAGAATATGAATTTCATAATGTATATACATGTATGTATTGTAAATTAATATTTTTATTTGACCTTAAATACATATTGAACTCATATTATGATTCATTAAATGTAACAAACAGTACAGGTTATATATTGCAAATTGTAGAAGTTTGATTGATATTTCAGGTTTTAGAAGAACCAACACAAAAATGGAGAAATATAGAAGGACATAATGCTTTGGTAAGCAACAGAACTTTCCATTCATTCAATAAGGCTCATAAATTATTATGCATATACTAGTACAACCTCTGGAAGCAACATACTTCGGTAGACTAAAATTTTGGTTGTTGTCGACAGTTGTTGCTTTTTAATAATCTTTAAAAGTTGGCTATTAATATCAATTTGGCTTTTTTTCCGGATTTTTTAAATTGGGTTTTTATGTCCCACCAACACACTGTGGGTCATATCGCGACTTTCCAGCTTTACTGGCGGATGAAGACCTCAGGTGCCACTCAGTGCATTATTTCAACTTCAAGTTCATACGGGCTTTTGAGTAGAACCACTGATGTTTCTTAAGCTGGTTAAATGAGGCCTACCTCCACCATTAAAGCCATATGACCTATACTTTCAAAGGGAGCTGCTAAGTGAGAGTTGCAAACAAATATTACATAACCTTAGTGCTATAACTGGTTAACTCATATTAAGTTTAGAAGGACTTAACCCGTTGCTGCTCTAAGGTGATGATAGAACATGGCCATATAACCCCTCAAAAGCTTTCATAACCAAATGTTTAATATTTCACATTTGCCTTTGTTTGATTAAATGTAATAAATTTATATACATAAGCTTGTTGAAATGGTATTGAAATAATAATATAAATGTGAATATTCTCAATCAGAGTAAAAGGAATGAATGGGTATAGATACTCATAAATACTTAGCAGCCAGATAATGAACTGCCTCAATTATTTAATAAAAATCCAGTATTATTTATTATAATGTTTCAAATAAAGAACCAGTGATCAAACTGGTCTTGCAATATACATTTTAATTATAAATCAATTAAATGAGCTTATTTGTGTTGTAAAGCATACTGGCTGTCAAAGTCTCAAAGCTAATAAATTATTGCTTATTGATATATTTCAGTTTATGATTTATCTATGAAATGAGATTTATTTTATTTTGTATATTACAGGCCAAAATGTATGAAGATCCAGGTAGATGGGGTGCTGTATTTCAGTCATACTCACAGCTGACAATGACACAACTTCACACAAAACCACATGTAAGATATTTCTACAGTTGTGTACTGAATATGTTGTAAATTATAATAAAGTAAGATAAGCCGTGTGCCTGTGGCAGCATGGCAAAGAGGTTAACGCATCAAACTAGTAATCTAATGATTGCTAGCCGCGCATTGGTTTAAACCTCGTCGGGGGCAAGTTGTTTTTTCCTTGAGCAAGAAACTTTACACTCATTTCTCAGTACTGGTTGGTTCTAGAAACCTGAAAGTGTGTCTATAAGCTTATAGCTTCCTGCTCAATCAAACTAAAATAAATCCTGTATAAACCAAGCCGCATGCCTTTTGATTAAAGATTGTGTAAAAAACTGTTCTAGTTTGTACAAAATGTCATGAAGTGTACAAATAAACTGATTATTACTCAGGCCTGAAGGTATTTATTATCCACAGAAATTACCTGTAACACATCAAAATATACAGAACATTAGTAAATGTGTAGAAAAATTTTGTAACAAAATTTACAAGAGTATTTTAAATAATCATGGCATGTAAATTACTTTTTGGATTATGAATATTTATAGTTTTTATACTGTACATTAAAAAATTTTTCTTATACTTTTGATATTTTGTATCATGTTTGAATGATTGACAGTTTAATTTCTTATCTACTAGATACATGGTCTAGAAATTGATTTGTTTTTCAATATCAATTATGGGAAAGTAAAACATGTTAGATTTGTCAGTACCTCAGCTTTTCCCTTAAACCAGCTGAACTTTTGTAATGTATATGCTGTAGTGGCATCAGTTACTGTCTTTTTCTGATTGATTTCTGATAAACTATTAATTATGCCAGTTAAACTTCAATATGTTGACATTTGTACATCAGTATCTTGTTTTAATTACAGACCTGTCCTGTAAAAATAATGGAGCGGTCATTACATAGTGGACGTTACTGTTTTATAGAAAACCTACATAAGAGGTAAGTATATTCTTATTAATTGTTTTGTTAATTTCTGCCGTAATGTACATTACATATTTAGTAAACAAAGTATCAAACTTGTATTTGATCTATGTAAGGATCACTAAATTAATATATCTTTTATGTTATCAGTTTAAATAAATAGATTTCAATAACCTTTAATTCTGTATATTGATTTATTGAACATACCTTGTAAAATTGGCAAGTATTTTTTTTATTGATATTGACAATGACGGCATGCATTTCAAGGTGTTCAGTCGAATATTTGTACCATATATTGATCTGTGCAAAGAATGATTGAGTATTTAAAAATGATATGTACATTTAGTAGTTGTTGTTTATTTGTAGTAAAGTTATGCCTGACTTAGATTATGTTGTTCTGACACAGTGGTTTGATTGGTTGACAAAGTCCCATGATATAAAAGTTGATCTCATTGGTAAGTTGTCACTCTAGCTCCTGTAAATAGTCTCCTTTAGCTTGTATATACATGTCTCCTAATATAAGCTTGTAAATGCATTCTGACAATTGTTGTAAGTTCACAAGAGTGTGTCTTGCATTTTTTACACTTTCCAAGATAGTTTTTACTTCTTCATGTAAATACATAATTTTAATACCAGAACAGTTTCAAATTACATGGGAATTGTATAACTAATTTTAACTTGTCCAAAATAGTAACTCAGTCATTGGTCCTGAGTGTTAAAAATTAAGCCAAATTTTAATATCTATGTGTAAAAGGTGTGAATTGATGCCAAATCTTAAAAATATGATTGTGTATTAATTTGGTTTTATTAGCTCGACTATTCGAAGAAAATGAGAGCTATTGTAGTCGCCCCGGCGTCGGCGTCAGCGTCCGCGTCGGCGTCTGCGTTGGTTAAAGTTTTTTGTAAATTCAAATATCTCAATTATTGCTTGAGATATTCAATTGAAACCTACAATACTTATTTATAGTAACAATATACATCAGATTGACAAGTTGGATAACTCTGCCTACATTATTGACAGAATTATGCCCCTTTTTAACTTAGAAATTTTGGTTAAAGTTTTTTGTAAATTCAAATATCTCAATTATTGCTTGAGATATTCAATTGAAACTTACAATACTTATTTATAGTAACAATATACATCAGATTGACAAGTTCGATAACTCTGCCTACAATATTTACAGAATTATGCCCCTTTTCAACTTAGAAATTTTGGTTAAAGTTTTTGTAGATTCAAATATCTCAATTATTGCTTGAGATATTCAATTGAAACTTACAATACTTATTTATAGTAACAATGCTCATCATATTGACAAGTTGAATAACTTTGCCTATAATACTTACAGATTTATGCCCCTTTATAACTTAGAAATTTGGTTAATGTTTTTTTTTGTAAAGTCAAATATCTCAATTATTGCTTGAGATATTCAATTGAAATTTACAATACTTTTTTATAGTAACAATGTACATCAGTTTGCAAAATTGCATAACTCTGACTGCAATATTTGCAGAATTATTTGCCCCTTTGAAACTCTAAGAAATTTTGGTTAAAGGTTAAAGTTCTTCAAAGATATTTACTTGAAACTTTACTCATGTGCTTAGGGTCATAATTGGAGAGTCATAATTGTATGTCACTGACCAAGTTCCATAACTCTATTCGCATTTAGGCTGATTCATCTCCCCTTTTCTACTTAGTCTATTGGTTAATGTTTACATGCAAGTATTTACATATCTCAATAACTATTAAAGATATTTATTTAAAACTTCACATATGCATTTAGAATCATAATTGTAGGTCACTGACCAAGATCCATAATTCTATCTTGCATTTAGGCTGATTTTTCTCCCCTTTTTCAACTTAAAAATTCATAGTAAAATTTTGCTTGTAAGCTGTTATCTATAACTACTGAAGAGTTTGTGCCTTTTTGGGGACATTTTTATGCATTCATAATAATAAAGCAGTGATTAACTTGATAACACATCTTTATAACAAGCCTGTGTACCTTTTCAGTCAATTTTATGTATTCATAGGTAACTAGCATTATTATACTCAATAAATCACCCTTGTGACAACATTTTGAATAGTCGAGCCAATACTGTCCTCCGACAGTTCTTGTTTTAAATGCCAGAACCAATTTTTTGTTTAACATACTTGCCTTACAGTAAGAGATGTTTGAACCATAAAATAGTTACTAAAGATTGTATATCTGAGGTTGAGTAGTTAACATGTTGGTCTAGACTATAGATCTAAGGATTGCTGTGTGTGTTGGTTGGAACCAGTCAGGGGCAAGTCCTTTCCTTGAGTAAGAAACTTAACATTCATTGTTTAGTACTGGTTAGTTCCAGGAACATATTCAAGAGTGCTTCATTAAGCTTATAGCTTCCAACACAATAAAACTGAAATAAATTTGTATTAACTAAATCATATGGTTCTTTATATATTTCAGTTTATCTAAGAACTCGGCCAGAAGTTGTTCTAGAAAGAGTAAAATCACGTCTTAGACCAGAAGAACAATGCATTCCTCTTGTAAGTTGCAATTATTCATTCGAGTGTTGTACTATGAATTGTACGACTATGGTTCATTTCCCTGATGGCAGGTCACTTGTTGTGATTATGTATTCCTTTCTACTGATATAATAATACTACTATCTAGTTATGTTTAGGATTATAGGGTATTATTTGTTTTGAGATTCAAAAGAAGATATTTGAAAGGTAAAAACATGGGAGTGACAGTGAAGTAGTTGCAAACTTATTTATGCCGGTTATGAAATGACAAAATGGTCGCAATCAATATCACATCATAAATTTTAGACAGTTATGCTCCATTTTCCCTCGAAATTTTTGAGGAGTTGTGTGTTTGAGATATGTTTATTCATAAAGGTTATTATTGATTTATTTGATAATTTCAGAAGTATTTAGAAGATCTACATAACTTACATGAAGAATGGTTGATAAATAATGCCTCAATTCTGTCTCCTGCTCCAGTTCTGGTAAAATAATTAAAACTGTTTATCAATTTATATTGTTATATGAGCCGCGTCACGACAAAACCAACATAGTGCGTTTGCGACCAGCATGGATCCAGACCAGCCTGCGCATCCAGGCAGTCTGATCAGGATTCATGCTGTTCACTTACAGACCCTATAACAAGTAAAAAAACTGATAGCGAACAGCATGGATCCTGATCACACTGCGCAAATGCGCAGGCTGGTCTGGATCCGTGCTGGTCGCAAACCCATTATGTTGGTTTTGTTATGACGCGGCTCATATTTGTTATATGTATAGAATAAGGACAGGTGGAGTAAAGTTAATTATGGACAATTCAAGTTATCCTTTTTATTACAAATACTAAAACTATGTGGCTAATTGTGTCACTGACTTCTAATCAGTTGCCTTTGTGGGATCAAATGCTATGGAACTCTTTGGATTATTTTGTGTGAGGGAGCTATTTCTAGTTAGCTGACTTAAGAAAGGTTAGTGGTTCTATTCTGGTGTTTGCTTGTGCTTGACATAATTCTCTATAGGGCACCTGACTTCTTCCTCCACCAGTCAAGATAGAAAGTGTCCACATGAGCTTTACAGTGTTAGTGTGTCTTATAGTAGCACAAACAAACATTATTACCTTTTCATTTTTTGTTTTATAAAATATCTTAAAACAGGCATGTCACTTGTTAGAACAAAAAAAAATCATGGTTATCACTTTTAGCTTGCCAATATCTTATTGAATTCTAAGTTTTTTTTAATACACGTATGTTTCTTTAAGCAGTAAAAGTTTTTGCTATTCATATAAGAGAAAAAAATGTGTTTAAAGTATAGATAAGATGGCATAGATTATAATACCACCAAGCATTCAAAATGTAAAAATTTTATGTCTGATAATTACAAGGCTAAAAGATAGACAAGTCCATTTAAGAAAGGTTAATGTGATAAAGATTAATGTTACTAGGATTATTTTTCTGCTTATATAGACTATGTACAGTGTTTATGGTCATGTACTAAATGTTTACAGATCTTCTATTTTATATAGGTGTTGGATGCCAATCAAGATTTACCAAGTATGTACAAAGTATTTGAAGAAGAAAAGGCCAAAATATTATTTGGTCTCGCAGCTAGTTGATACCTGAAGCAGTAGGTGACTGCTTACTAGGTTCATATATTGTGAGAATGTGAGCAAAGGTTAAAACAGGAAGTTTAGAGATTATACAAATGGTTTATAGGCTATGGAACAGGTTTAGTGATTATTCTTCTGATTTAGAAAATGAGAAAGTTTGTTAGAAGAACATTTGGTGTGACGGGAGTTTTGTGACCTCAACAGATTTTTATGAGTTATTGTTAAATAACCATAAAAAGAGTCAATGTAGCAAATACTTATAAAACGTTTTGCACAGTATTACTATGGACCAAAAAAAAGAGAGCTGGGATGCAGAATTTGGAATCAGTTTTATTAGGCAGCCATATTTGACTGTAATCAGTCTTGTATACAGTTTCTCAGGGTGCTCAATCATTCATTTAGTCATTCATTTTGTAAAGAATTATGAATGAAGGACATTTTTATATTGTTTTTACACATATTAATTTTGTAAAGATGTTGTTTTGTCAATATGTTATCAAAATTAGATAGAAGTGTTTCAAATAAAATCTGTTATTTGAAAATGATCTGATCAATTAATTGTGTCACAGATTTGATCATTGTGCTCTTTGGCTGGTCACCATCAGATTGCCTTACAATAATTTATAACCATATTTTTACTTTTTACCTCACATAAACATGATAAAGAAAACATGTTTAATTATGAATTTGTAATAAAGATATCTGATACCATTACGTATAAACAGTTGTTTGCAATATAACCCCTGCCTAGTGACTCAGGTTATATAACCATTTATACTTACTTACTTAGACATTCAACCGGTCAGTCATCTTAATAACTTATAATATTCAGGGCTGCTGTATATTCATGAAGTACTTTTGATTTTCCTCAAACATGCAAATTGTGTTGTATCATGTTTTATTATAAAGGTTTGATAGGTTAAAATTAATGTCTGCATGTAAACATATGTATTCAGTTGTTCACAATACAGCACTTTTCGTGTATACATATGTATCAGCTGTTTGCCATATAACACTTACCTAGTGGTTTGCTGGGTTATAGATGCTTACAACCATTTGTTCTGAGCCATATAACCTGTCAAAAATCTTACTTATATACAATCATATAAACAGAAATACTTAGATGTGTCAATTATGTTACATTTAGAGAGATTTTATGATTTTTAAGAATTTTAAAGGCATTTTAACTTGACTCTTTGCAGTATACAGTATTTATTCAACAAAATTTTACATAGATTACACAATGCGTGATTAGAATTGTGCTGGTATGAATGTTTTTGGTCAGCCAAAATTTATGTTTTTTTCCTTAAGTAATTCATGTAGGCGTCCTCAAGTATTCCTCTATAAGTTATGCTTATAAATTATCCATTATGTACTTTAACAGTGTCTGCATTACTGAAAATCCTGCAAAAATATTAGAAATTAACTCAAAATAATAATTGTGTACACATGTACTAATATGTGTGATTCAAGCTTAGTCATATTAAGGTTTTTAATATCTTTTGAGAAGAACTGTTGGTGCATATGGTATGATTACAGATGTATCTTGGTCTATGTAACAGGGCTATTGTATGTTGTCTGTAATTATCATTCTGCAATCTTTATGTTTATTGAATTATAACCTCACTTGTTATTGTATGGTTAGAATATGAAAACTTTGACTGAAAAAGGCAGAGATTTAATTAAGTAAGTTTTATTTTAGTTACATTTTTTAGAATAATATGGAGAAAGTGGATCAAAATTCTAGTAACCTGTTACATTGACAACTCAACTTGAGCTGTTGTGTTCAGAATTTAAACAAATCTCATTAGTTACAGTTCATATATCATTTTTTATCAGAGTTCTTAAATTCTATTTGAAAGATTCTGCTTTTTATTGATGTAACAAATATTAATTAATTGTAATTTGATATGGTCAGTGTTTTCTGTAATATCTTAAAAAAGAAATTCAGGGGATCTTAGAAAAGTGCAAGATGTATGTAGTTAGTGTATAATTTTGATCTTTTTAACAGGTCTACCTGGGACACTTTTAAAGTAATTCTATTGTATAAATGTTTTAGTAATTTTATTGTCGATGTTCATTGTGAATGTTTAAAAAGAATTTTACTTTATTGAAAATATCTTGTTGTCTTATTGTTTTGAAATAAAACAGAATTTGCCATAATTGAACGTTTGTTTAACAGTACTTATATCATGTGAGCTTTTGAATTGCGGGGTAGTATCAGTAACTGTTGTTAGTGAATAATTCACTGTGATACATTATCTTTAAAAACTGGTGTGCTGGGGTGATTTTTAAAAATTCACAGAATATATGCCATACGAAACGTTTTGTCATTCAAATTTTGGGATGGGGATGTGTAGATGTATAGAAATATTTCCATGGTCTTGTTGAAACTTTAGTACACCGTTTCAGAGATGTGGCTTTTGAGATTGCTATTTCTTTTCTGTCTCAAACTTAAACTACAAATGAAAAACCAAACAAAACTTTAGGTTTTTGGATTCATTCATGTGAGGAAGCTCTTAATTAAGTCAGCTTACAGTACATAATGGTGCCTCCTAACATGTTTCCTCCGCCAGTAAAGCTGGAATGTTACCATATCACATTTTCTGTGTCGGTGTAATTTAAAACCCAACATAGCAAAGAAATTAAACATAATTTTAACAATGGCTAATTGTTGTTAATGAATCAATTTAATTAAAACCAGCTCGGAAATAATGCTAGGTTTTACATTGCATGTAAGAATTGAGATATCTGAACCTTATAGTCACTTTATAATGAATAACCATATAAATGAATAGCATAGAAAACACTTGCAATTTTCAAAGTGTCTTTTTGAAAATGTAACTATGAATTAATTAATTAATTTATCCTATCAACAATTGTTCAGTTCATCTCACGTGCTTCATCGTTATGTTCTTGACAGTATAACAATTGTTCAATCTCTGAATATTTTCTATCAGTAAGTCTGCGAATTACTGTTACATGTTCTATAATTTACTGTGCTAATACTGTAGGTCTTAATTATCTGCAGTTGCCTATAATTGTCTTGGAATATATATATAAGATAAAAATCAATTCATTTTATTTTTCTTTATTTTATAAAGAAGTTAACAACAAAACGATAATCAACAATCTTTACAAATGCAACTAGGGAACATTTAACATTTTATATACATGTATTATTATATACAGAGTATTTAAAACACACGAAATTCACGGTAAAAAATAGTAGTTTCAACACAACATAGCTCAATGCTAATTAATGTTAATTATTCGGTAACATTTCTTGATCAGTTAAAAAATCGAATTACCTAATAAAAATACAAACTCCTGTTATATCATACTTAAAATTATTCAAGAAAAATGTCTTACACCAATTTCTAGATGAGTGTAAAGTAAATAGTTTACAAGTTTTGTAATGAAGTACATACATGTGTATATATACTTGTTATAAGGATATAATTTGAAAATAACAGAACTTGAATAATACTATTTTTACAACATCACATATTTATATAATGTCTAGAAAGTACTGTATGGAAATGTCTATAAAATATAATTATTCATTTAATCGACCTCCTCAACAGTTGGTCCACCATGTCCGGCTGCGGCGTTCTGTGAGCCCCCATACTGTTGTTGACCTTGATGTTTTCCTCCGTGAAGTTTAACCATAATTGGAGATATTTTCTTCTGGATTTCCTCAAGTTTGTATTCGAACTCCTCTTTCTCGGCTGTTGTATTATTGTCCAACCATTTTACACATTCCTCGCACGTGTTTTTTACAGTTTCTTTTTCATCAGACGACAATTTATCGTCTGAAACTTCTGATACCGACTGTTTCACACTGAACACATATGCTTCTAGTTTATTTCGTGCATCCACTCTCTGCCTTTGTTTCTCGTCCTCTTCACGATATTTTTCTGCTTCATTCACCATTCTGTCAATGTCATCTTTTGAAAGCCGACCTCTCTCATTCTTTATCGTAATTTTGTTCATTTTATTGTTACTCTTGTCTTGAGCAGAAACATTCAATGTTCCATTCGCGTCAATATCAAAAGTCACCTCAATTTGTGGCACTCCACGTGGTGCTGGTGGGATTCCGGTGAGGTCAAAGCGTCCTAGTAAATTGTTGTCTTTGGTCATCGCTCTTTCACCTTCAAACACCTGAATACTGACTGCTGGTTGATTGTCAGAATATGTTGTAAATATCTGAGACGCTTTTGTCGGAATTTTGGTATTTCGTTCAATGATTTTCGTCATCACACCACCTGCTGTTTCAATACCAAGTGAAAGAGGAGCAACATCGACTAGAAGAACATCTTTGATTGCTTCTGATGTATCACCAGACAATATGGCTGCCTGGACAGCAGCGCCGTATGCTACAGCCTCGTCAGGGTTGATAGATTTGTTCAGTTCCTTACCATTCATAAAGTCCTGTAACAGTTTCTGAATCTTTGGAATTCTTGTTGATCCACCAACAAGAACAACTTCATGTATCTTAGATTTATCAAGCTTAGCATCACGGAGAGCTTTTTCTACCGGTTCCATAGTTGCTCGAAACAGGTCGGAACACAATTCCTCGAACCTTGCTCTCGTTATTTTTGTATAAAAGTCAATGCCTTCAAACAGAGAGTCAATTTCGATATTTGCTTCGGCACTGCTTGACAATGTTCGCTTTGCTCGCTCACATGCCGTCCTCAATCGACGCAAACTTCGTGAATTTTTACTAATGTCCTTTTTATTTTTACGTTTAAACTCCTCAACAAAGTGGTTGACCATTCTGTTATCAAAATCCTCACCTCCAAGATGTGTATCTCCCGCCGTAGATCTCACTTCGAAAATAGATCCTTCATCAATTGTAAGAATGGACACATCAAATGTTCCTCCTCCCAGGTCAAATATTAACACATTCTTTTCATCGTTTAAGTTTTTATCAAGTCCATACGCTAAAGCAGCGGCCGTCGGCTCGTTGATAATTCTCATGACATTAAGTCCAGCAATTGCCCCGGCATCTTTAGTGGCAAGTCTTTGAGCGTCATTGAAGTAAGCTGGTACTGTCACAACAGCGTTTTTAATTTTCTGACCAAGATATGCTTCTGCAGTTTCCTTCATTTTTGTCAGAACCATTGAACTAATCTCTTCCGGTGCAAAAGTTTTATTTTCTCCCTTGTACTCCGCTCGGATTTTCGGTTTGCCTCCCTCGTTGACGATCTTAAACGGCCAGTGTTTGGCATCATTCTGAACGCTCAGATCATCGAACTTGCGACCTATCAGTCGTTTCGCATCAAAGACCGTGTTTGCCGGGTTCATCGCAGCTTGATTCTTGGCTGCATCACCAATTAATCTCTCGGAGTCTGTGAACGCGACGTAGCTAGGTGTGGTCCTGTTGCCCTGGTCATTTGCGATGATTTCCACTTTCCCGTGCTGGAATACCCCAACACAAGAATATGTGGTTCCGAGATCTATTCCTATCGCTGGTGCACTCATAATTGTATGTTTCTTCGAACAGTATTGCGTAAATAAATTGTATTATAAGTATATTTTCTATAATTTCTGTCTTATTATAACTTGTTTCGTATCAACTGTTTTGTATTTATGAGTACATAGCTGCTAGCGCATCGCTTATATATAGTTTTTGAGCTTTCGAGTATTAGTACGAATAGTGTAGATTGTTCTAGATGCGAACTAAAAATAGAATTTAGAACACTCGAGAAGCAAGAGGAATAATCCATACGACCTTGCCTCGTAATGCAATTAAAGGGAGACAACAGCTTTAAGAGTATGTCGCCATGTCTGTAACTACATGTTACAATGTAGTATATCACATAACATACCAAAGTATAGTATCACAAAGGACATCACATTATAAAATAAGAATTCATTATGTAACCGAAGTGAATTTAAAAACATCAAACATACAAAAACAAACAGTGTAATCGTTGATAATGTATAGCGAATGTCTCTTTCATTTAAAATACTCGTATGTCTGATAATAATAATCAATTTAAAAATGCCCAAATGCTGTAGAATTGTAAATAATCCGAATTAATTCAACATTTTGTACATAACCATAATAAGAAGTATGTAAGTTATGTACTGTTTACTTTTTTATCTATAAATTTACTTAATTTAGGTAGACTTACACTCGATATATTGGAATAAATTTAGTCAACAACTCCCATGCTTACATGTTTAGTTACATGCTAAGTTTCTCCGTTCAGTGTATTCTTAGTATTGTATTCGAGGTCCTTACCCAAAATTTCGTTTAGTTTTTGTAAATCACCCAAAAAACCGTATTTTTTTCATTTCCATATATATACTTTTATTACATAAATTTATATATATGCAGATATGTACTTTAGTGCACTTAGAATAGTCACACTTATTTATTTATTTATTTATTTATTTATCTATCTATTTTATTTATTTATTTATTTATTTATTTATTTATTTATTTATTTATTTATTTATTTATTTATTTATTTATTTATTTTCATGACGAATGTTGATATTCAACCTTACATGACTAAGAACTTGAAAAATGTAAGGTGAAATACTTTGCCAACATATCATGCATGTTGCGTAATATTTTTTGCACGTGCGCTGAAGTGAGTGTTATACTGTAGCAATTTATTAATTTGCTAGATGACGTCATCCGTCGCAGTGCTATTGTTTTTAGATCAACGTTTCAGAAAAATAAAATATGGGTCAAGCTAAGAGCTTGTGAAATGAATAATAAACATGAGGTCACAGGATTCTAATAATTTCTTAGAATGGTATGTAAGTATATCTTATTATGAAGTCTTAAGAGCCGGATGTTGCCTCTTGAAATGTGTCGGTGACATTATTCAGTATTGTTATGAGGAATGTCACATAATTTGACAAGCGAGAAATCGAAGCGGCACACGATATAAACAAAAAAGATTACGCATGTTTACATATTTTTTTTTCTGTTTTAAGTGTTAAATGATTAATTGGTCAATTTGTTTGCTTCATTTATCTGACTTCATACTTATATCACAAAATGTGACCAACCCATATCATGTAACCCGCGAAGTCAATTAGTGGCTGTCCCCTCGGGCAATATTTTCCATGTTGGATCATATTTTTTTCTGTCCAGTTTTCGTGTATAACCACCTGTAAGTGTTCGTTGCAGTTTAGCATTATATATGAAATGGACCACAGAACGTAGCATTAAAGATATAAGAACGTCATAGAACGGTTCTTGTCAGAATTATTTGATGTTTGGGGGGATATTTTTATTAATTGTTTACGTTATCACCATTAAAATGGCAAAAATGTTGTTGATAAAAGATGTCCGTAATTATAAAAAAAACGTGCAGAATTGGAAGGTCCTGAGAGTAGAAGATACAGTTCTAATTAGTATGCTGGTGTGCACTATCGAAATTTCAAAGAAAACCCTGAAATGTCACAATTAAACGACCAGCCTCCCTTTCTCGTGCTTTATGTGTTTGTTCTACATTCACATTCAGACATACAGAACAGAACAGAAAGTTTATTCAGTTATTTTCATATACAGCACATCGACATAAACAAATACATAAATATATTTGTGACAACAATGACTTGGTTATATTAGCATAATTATATATACAAGTAATATAAGCATAATTATATATACAAGTAAAACAATCTACGACAGTGCTACAAAAGTTAAAGCGAAAATGTTATTGACACAGTAAATACATTTTCTGTACTGGTATATACAAAACCGTGCTTGTTTTCGGTCATGCTTTTTGTTTGACTTTTGGACAACGTCCTATGTTTGGTGTAGACAGTGGACATAACTCACGTGATGATATGAAATGAAACGTTAGGTAAAATACAGCCTGCCTATCTTAGCTACAGTGCATTTTTTGTTCACTTTTAGGTGAAACATGAAACAACGGGAACTTAAATTTCGAGGTAATAAATTATTTCTGTTTGTTTTTTGTTGTTGATAATTTCAAAATATTTAAACAGTTTAAATTGCATTAGCAGTATTTAAAGCAAGTAAAGATTCTTAAAATAAACAACAAAAACATATAGCACTAAAATTAAGGACGTTACCAGATTGAATTTTACGATAATTATTTTTAAATGTTAATAATATGTAAAATAAATTAATTATATATTTATAAATGAAATATTGAGAAATATTAATAAATAAATTGCGTGTTTTCATTTTCCGTAATTTCACTGTAAAAAATCATTTTTCATAGCAGTGAAGCATATTTTTGTATTTTCACTGTTGTCTTGGGGGACTACTTTCTTCTAAATTCAGTCAGTGCACAAAATTAAAAGTGAATTCTTTCTAATCATAAGCTTAAATAAGAGAATAAACAGAAAATTCAAGTTTTTTCTATCAATACATGATTTTTTTTATCTTGGGTTCTGCCACTCGTGAAATATTTATTTTCATACCACTCGATAAAAACAAATCCTGTTTTTATAGGAAAACCTTGAATATCTATATACATTGTGTCCATTTTGTTTTGAACTTATCTTGATTAAATACGGGCTTGATAAAAAAAAAATTCTCAAAATCTATTGTATTAATTAATGCAGAGTTTCCGAGACATAATTGGAATGGCTGCATTTCAAACGTTCCGAAACAGAACACCAAGCCGGTACAGCTATACTCTTCTTGAAAACACGGATTCCGACGCAGATTCTGTACGGCGACGGTCGGTTTCTTCACAAAATGGCAGTCAGAGATCAGCGCCATTGCTTTGTGACAAATGTTGGCTAAGACAGGAAAGAAATCGCGCCAGTAAACGCTGTCTTGATTGCAAGCAAAATCTTTGCACGCTTTGTGCACGTGCCGACGAAGTCACGCGACCATGGTGGATTCCGAGTTGGATGGTACAATGTTGGCGATTTTTGTTTACAAAAACTTATATCCCACATTCGATAGTTAACCTCGAAGCAGCTGAAAATGAAAACACTCATTGGGCTCACACACAAGAGGCGAGTCATGTCCAACCTATCCCAAGAGTTAAACAATCTAGCCTTCGGTCTAATAAAAGCAGAGCATCTGTAGATACTAACAGGTCACACCAGCCTAAATCTATACATTCTTCTTTTACAAAACTGAGAGACATAGAAGAGCCTCCGAGATCTGAATTCAGGAACCAGAGACTTTTCCACTCTCAGAGTTTCGATGCAAAGGAAAGAAAGAGACAAAATAATGCCCGCAGACCGAGAAGAACCCGAAGCTCAGAAGAATTGATAAAAAGACACCGGAGTGACAATTTAGAGCGTCTCAAACGATACAATGAGAATTGGGAAATGAGTTTCAAACTTGCTGATTCTAAAGAAAATGAAACAGTGATAGGACGGCGACACTGTGGTAATAAAATGCTAGGAAAGGATGTTAATATAGAAATAACAAATGATAATGAAATAAAACTAAGTGTCAATACAAATAAATCTGATAAACCTCAAGTACCAAAATCAAAAAGTAAAAGAAAGTCAAAAGACAATACCCCTAGACCTTATACGGAACAGATCTTTGAAGAGGTACCGATATGGTTTAAGAAATCACCAAAACACCCTTCAAATGAAAGACCAAAGAGTAAAGGTAGTTCACAGGAAATGAGAAAGCATTCCGATATTTCTAATCATGATAAGTTTTCATCAGAAGAAAGTATAAACATGAAAAGAAAACCTAACGATCATCCCCAAAATGCTAATTATCATTTCAATCAAGCCAATCCATGGCCTACACGTCGGCCGCGTGACCCAAATACGGAATTTGTTGATTCATTAAACGAGAAGCAAAATGAAAACTCTGATTCCAATACAGAAAAACATTTTAAAAGAGATAACAGGTATACAGGAAACCACAACACTGCTTATATTGTTGAAGAACCACCGGAGTCCTGTCCGATATGTCTTGAAGATTTGCCTGGAGCAGAGGCAAGGGGGTTATCTTGTTGTCATTCAATACATACAAGATGTTTGATTACATACCTGTACAAAATGGAGCTTGACTTTGGTATTAGATGTCCACTCTGTGCACAAACAACAATTATTAGGAATTATTACGCACCAAAGCAACAGTGGTATAAGGAGTTACCTATTTTCACGACTGTTTGATATCATGACAGTTCATTAGTAATAAACTATACTTGGACTAAATTATTTTTCTTTTGTAGTTAACTTCTTCTGCCAAGATGATTTTGCTTAAATCTGGCAAAAAAAAATTGTTACTTTATATAACAAAATGTTCTTGTTTAATTGCGCCTATGTAGACGTTGTACACATTCATGAATACGTAATAAAAAGCGAGGGTTATCAAAAGTGGGCCCTTTTTCTTCTCAGACAGACAACACAACTGTTATTCTCTGTTTCTTTCTTTTATTATTATTATAAATTATTATTATTATTATTATTATTATTATTATTATTATTATTATTATTATTAACACGTTCAAAAGTACTGTACAGTATAACCAAATAAATGATCCAATATTAAAAAAAAATAAAACATCGATATTGCTCGAGTCACAAATTCAATTCAAATGTAGTTTAAAAAGTTATGAAAACCCACATAAAAAAAATACAGGTAAGACTTAAAGAATTGTTAAAAAGCGAAATTAAAAAATAATCAGTCCAAATGAACCTCTTAAATAAGCGAGTTTTAAGTGCTCTCTTAAACTCGGGTAGAGTTTCACAGCTTTTAAGTGTTCTAGGTATATAGGGCATTCCAGATTTTGGGGACTGCCGTCATAAACGCACGATCACCATAAGTCACATTCCTACTATGCGGTACAACCAGTGTTAAACAATCATTCTGGTACCTAAGTTGTTTTTTTCTTCTTTATTTCACAATTGTAATATAATATATAGTTGCTAACAATTTTTTTTTGGCAAACCCTATAAAACTCATGTTTGCCTTTTCTTAAGAATGAACCATTTATTCATTTCTGAGGCATAATGTGCCTTATATCAAATTAAACATAATTATGTGGCACTATATTTTTCTATTTCTTTTTTTTATTTCTTATTTCTTTAAGTTGTTCGCATTCTTTTTTTATCGTGTGACTATATAGTGTATGTAAATGTATTAATTTTGTAAATTATTGTAACAATGGTGTGCCTTTGGTAAAATCTGATGAAATTCATGTTATTTTCCTCGGTTGTTCTATATGAGACGTTTTTTTATGTATGTGCTAAATTAACAACTTAACATATGTACATTGTACAACGAAATAATTGTCAAATAGAGCGCGTGCACCTCAGTATGTAATAAAAAGAAATGTCGTCAAAGTTCGAAAAGAACATTAGTCTGACAGTATACTTACTGTTTTATGCAGTTCGCGGACATTTATTTTCATTTTTAGTCAAGACAGCGTCAGATAGAGTTCTATAAATAGTATATCAAGATATAATACAATGACATTATTTAAGCGGCATGCCTCCAGATTCATGCTTATTTTTATGAAAATTTTGAAAATGTATTCAAAATTAAAATGTTGTAAAGTGAGCAAAGAAACTATAATAATTTGCACATCGCAAACGGAGCATTTTATCCACGTAAAGTACCAAAACGAGGACAAAATATGCAAAACTATTCCTTGCTACACTGTAAACATAATACATGTAATAAACTCAGTAGAATTGAAATATATGAATTGCACCGTGTGCGTGTAATAGGTTGAAAGAGTACTTATGTGGGCTCCAGTCTCACTGAGTGTTTCAAGTAAAACATTAAAACATAAAACAAAATTCAGTCATATACTTACCGACAACAGCAAACGGCCATATTTTATCCACCGCTTCTGCGTCGAATACACCACCGCCGCTGTGATGGACCCACTGCTTCTGCGAAAGCTATGGCCAGTGTGTTCTTGAAATATTGCTAAATTGGATGCTTGCAACTTTAATGGTTCAATAGTAGAATCGATGCCGAAATGTAGTCGACTTTTACTTTAAATAAAGCAAATGTTAGTTGGACAGTCGTCAAATTGAATCACCATTTCATTTTGAAATATTTTGTATCAGTCAATACCTGTTGAAATTTAACAGAACAGAACAGAACAGAACAATTTTATTCATGACTTGTACAATAAGTACATCATCACATATACACATATATACAATTTACAATATACACGGTGATAGAGCGTTTACCACAACTTTTCCGCGCAACGTCAAAATATCATACTTCTGACCGTGACACCGTATATTTCTGGGCGGGATAACCAAACTGCAGGTAATAGCTTACAAAATATCTTACTGCTGGACATTGAAAAATTATTCCAATTGTTTAAGTACTCCATCGAATTTTTGAAACAATTTATCGTTAATCTAGCACAACACAATTCACAAAAAATTACATACTTCGAAGAAAGATCGTGTTACCTCAACATGACTCGTACTTGTCAAAAAAACATGTGTTAAAACGACGATGTATTTGTTCTATGACCTTACGAGCTCGTGTATACATTATGGTTAGGCATAAATTCAATTCCATACAAAATTGTGTGTTTCTATTGTAAATTTTAGGGAATATATGTTGAAAAAAGGCCTATTGACTCGAATATTGGAGCACCGTACAACACTGAATTCAAACACCGCATTCTTTTTCCGTTTGACCGATATATACTGGAACCGTTTTCATTTGCACCATACTTTATAAGTAATTGTTAATTGACCTGCTGTTATGTTATGTTGCTGTTATAATCATATGTTATTTTATGGAAAACTTCTGAAGGTCTGGTCTATGTAAATAATACCAGTTAGGTAAGTGCAATGGTATCTATATAGATTTTTTTCGAACTTATTCAAACGGATAAACCCCACATGGAAAGATCAAATTGTTAAATTGTTTCAAAAATTCGATGGAGTACTTAAACAATTGATATTTTGACGTTGCGCGGAAAGTTGTGGTAAACGCCCTATCACCGTGATGTAACACATGAAATTACATATTTACATTTCATATCAATTATCTTATGATGATGAACTACAATTAATTGTAAGTAAATGTATGTCCAAGAGATAATGCATGTTTGATTTACAAAGCTAGATATTTCAAAAGCAACTTGTTTGTTAAATTAAAAAGATCTCAAAACTTATGAACACTTGAAATTTAACAGAGAGTCTGATAATAGTTCAATTCACTCGAACAGGGAATCGGGGGTTAAACACTAACACGACCATATTTTCACATATCGATCAGTTGTATTACACCAGTTCCGGTAGGCTTGTGGGTGAAAGAGGGGGGAAAAGTTCAAGCTAACTACACGCTAGCTTCACAACTGAGGTTAAGAGGAGATCTGCTAATATCATCACTTATCGCACTTATTTTTATATAGAAAGTTTAAAATTGACAAGATGTTTTAATTTTCTCTTTAGTATACGTCAGAGGTTTCCAGTACTAGTATTCAACAGCAGTGAACAATATCAATATAAACAACAAAAATAAATAATCGAACGGAGCAAGCAATTTCATGATATGAAAATTTGAAAAAAAAGTTTAGATCAAACTTATTAAAATACTCAACAAGTTTAAAGCAATATTTATAAACATGCAGGTTTTCTTTTTGTTTCTTTTTTTACCAGGCATATCTCGTGACCACGATTTAATTTTTTGTTGTTGTTATTGTTATTATTGTTGTTGTTGTTGTTGTCGTCGTTATTGTTGTTGTTCTCCATTATCTCGTGGTCACATTCTAACCTTGTGTTTTATTATTCTTTTTTACTCCATTGTTTTATCTCGAGGTCACGAGGTAATTAAAATGCCCTGTTTGACTCCTATATGAGTTCCCGATTTTTTTTTCATTATCTTCGTTAAAGGCACATTATGCTTGAACAAATAGTTTTATTTCTTTAAAGTTTTTTATCTTTGGTATACCTCTATAGTATCAAACGAATTACTCATTAGCCAATTACCTAAACTATCTTTTACATCTGTTGTTTCTTTGGCAATAAGTACAATTATAGTGAATTAGTATTTTGTATAAATGTCTAAATACTAATTTGTTTACACTTTGCTACTTTTATTGTTTATTAAATTCATGTTTGCCCTTTCTTAAGAATTAAAATTTTATTTGTTTCTGAGGGCTTAGACATATTGTTTCTTTAAACAAAGGGTGCCGAAGTTTTGTTTACAACTGAATCGTCTTGAAGGTGAAAACGGGGTTTCAACAAGAATTATTGTTGTACAAATTTCGTAACCATCGTTTTCTAAAATTATATAGCCTTTACCAAGCTGTAATAAAAGTAAATGATTTTGTTGTTGTTTTTTGTATATTTCACAAACTCCATTGCGGTATCTGTAGGCCCCTAGGCTTAATAAAACTATACGTTTGGATCCATCTATATACAGAATTTATTATAATTTATTATATCCCAACTTCTATGAGGACTTTAGGGCATGCCTCCATATTTTCTCGTATATTTTGTACTACATATAAATATGTTTACAAAATACGGGTAGACAAACTAATTCTATTTATTTTATCACTTTAATGAAAGCGTACAGTAGGCAGCTACGCCACTGTAAGTACACATGTACTTTGATATGAGACATGTTTGCATTTATATCATATATATTTAAAAATGGCATTACAATTTAACTACTGTCAGATGTAAATAATGTAGTCAACTAAATACTGTATCAATATCATTACAAACACTAATAAGATTAAAATTGAAAAACATGGCAAAATGATCATTTAGGAAAGTGCAACCATATAACTCAAAAAATAGTCGCAAACTAAACTTATAAGTAGCGTTTGTCTCCCTTGGATTATTAAGCGCGTAAGGTCGTATGGATTATTCTTCTTTGTACTAGAATATTCTACGGGCTTTTTTTAGCTGAACAGTAATTTTATCGAGAAAAATCTCGAATAATCAAAAACTATATATAAGCAAGTAAAGAAGCGCCCAAACAAACAAAGTTAAAATTAAGACTTGAGAAAATAAATAAACTGTGAAAATAAAATTGCAACTACAGGATTATATATAGAGTTACATTGCTTGATACAAACTTTATATATTAAGGCAAATTAAAACAGTATGAGTGCGCCAGCGATAGGAATAGATCTCGGAACCACATATTCTTGTGTTGGGGTATTCCAGCACGGGAAAGTGGAAATCATCGCAAATGACCAGGGCAACAGGACCACACCTAGCTACGTCGCGTTCACAGACTCCGAGAGATTAATTGGTGATGCAGCCATGAATCAAGCTGCGATGAACCCGGCAAACACGGTCTTTGATGCAAAACGACTGATAGGTCGCAAGTTCGATGATCCGAGCGTTCAGAATGATGCCAAACACTGGCCGTTCAAGATCGTCAACGAGGGAGGCAAACCGAAAATCCGAGCGGAGTACAAAGGAGAAAATAAAACTTTTGCACCGGAAGAAATTAGTTCAATGGTTCTTACAAAAATGAAGGAAACTGCAGAGGCATATCTTGGTCAGAAAATTAAAAACGCTGTCGTTACAGTTCCAGCTTATTTCAATGACGCTCAAAGACTTGCCACTAAAGACGCCGGGGCAATTGCTGGACTTAATGTTATGAGAATTATCAACGAGCCGACGGCCGCTGCTTTAGCGTATGGACTTGATAAAAACTTAAACGATGAAAAGAATGTGTTAATATTTGACCTTGGAGGAGGAACATTTGATGTGTCAATTCTTACAATTGATGAAGGATCTATTTTCGAAGTGAGATCTACAGCAGGAGATACACATCTTGGAGGTGAGGATTTTGATAACAGAATGGTCAACCACTTTGTTGAGGAGTTTAAACGTAAAAATAAAAAGGACATTAGTAAAAATTCACGAAGTTTGCGTCGATTGAGGACGGCATGTGAGCGAGCAAAGAGAACATTGTCTAGCAGTGCCGAAGCAAATATCGAAATTGACTCTCTGTTTGAAGGCATTGACTTTTATACAAAAATAACGAGAGCAAGGTTCGAGGAATTGTGTTCCGACCTGTTTCGGGCAACTATGGAACCGGTAGAAAAAGCTCTCCGTGATGCTAAGCTTGATAAATCTAAGATACATGAAGTTGTTCTTGTTGGTGGATCAACAAGAATTCCAAAGATTCAGAAACTGTTACAGGACTTTATGAATGGTAAGGAACTGAACAAATCTATCAACCCTGACGAGGCTGTAGCATACGGCGCTGCTGTCCAGGCAGCCATATTGTCTGGTGATACATCAGAAGCAATCAAAGATGTTCTTCTAGTCGATGTTGCTCCTCTTTCACTTGGTATTGAAACAGCAGGTGGTGTTATGACAAAAATCATTGAACGGAATACCAAGATTCCGACGAAAGCGTCTCAGATTTTTACAACATATTCTGACAATCAACCAGCAGTCAGTATTCAGGTGTTTGAAGGTGAAAGAGCAATGACAAAGGACAATAATTTACTAGGACGCTTTGACCTCACCGGAATTCCACCAGCACCACGTGGAGTACCACAAATTGAGGTGACTTTCGATATTGACGCTAATGGAACTTTGAATGTTTCTGCTCAAGACAAGAGTAACAATAAAATGAACAAAATTACGATAAAGAATGAGCGAGGTCGGCTTTCAAAAGATGATATTGACAGAATGGTGAATGAAGCAGAAAAATATCGTGAAGAGGACGAGAAACAAAGACAGAGAGTGGATGCACGAAATAAACTCGAAGCATATGTGTTCAGTGTGAAACAGTCTGTATCAGAAGTTTCAGACGATAAATTGTCGTCTGATGAAAAAGAAACTGTGAAACACACGTGCGAAGAATGTGTGAAATGGTTGGACAGTAATACAACAGCCGAGAAAGAGGAGTTCGAATACAAACTTGAGGAAATCCAGAAGAAAATATCACCAATTATGGTTAAACTTCACGGAGGAAGAAATCAAGGTCAACAACAGTATGGGGGCTCACAGAACGCCGGAGCCGGACATGGTGGACCAACTGTTGAGGAAGTCGATTAAATGAATAATTCTATTTTATAGACATTTCAATCCTTTTTAGACATTAAAGACTTTTAATTATTTTGTAATATCGTTGTAAAAATGTGATGTAAAACTGTATTGTTGTAAAAATAGTGCTATACAATTTATGTAATGCTTAAAACATTGATTATAAATGTTAATTTATTTGAAGCAGTATCAATGTACTGAACAATTATATGCTTACTTTTTTAATGATAATAATTTACAACAATGTAATGAAAAAAGAATTTGATAACTAGTCCTTCATTGTACATGTTTTGTGCATTAACTGTAAATATTTGTGTATATATCTTATTTTTGAAATATGATTATTTATTTTGTAAACTTCAGACATACATAAATAAACTTTGATAAACTTGCATTTGATTGTATTAATTGTTATTTGTTCAAATTATCCAATGTACAGGTATTGTAATGGAGAGAGTTTCCATAAATACCTATGTAGTGACTTAAATAAAACATTAAAATTGATGATAAGCAGTTATTGTCCAATCATATAAATATAAAGGACCAGATAATATTATATGGTCATCTGAAAGTTTTTCTTCACTGCTTCTCAAAACAATACTTCAATAATTGAATCTTATGTGACAAGACTTTGTAATTTTAATGCTTATAACGTATATCATGATGCATTTGTTGTTCGACAATAAGATTATTAACTTTACTGTATATAAACTAAAGCATGAGATATATCAACTTATTAATATAACTGCGAAAATGAAGAGGGAAATGTATGGTCCAACTTAAACTGGTATATAGGTTGAACGTCCATTCTCTCCATTTTCCTACGAACTTTTTCCAGGAGACGACCGACATAACCCGAGAGTCTGTGTATTTTCCATTTCCGCAGTTATTACACTACGTAAATAAATCCGTCTGGCAGTCAAAATATTCAAAATTGTAAAATCATATAAAACAGATAATATGCCTTTAATAATTGCTATAAAATATCACTTGTATCAAATTATATTATTATACCCGTCGTAGATTAGCTAATCGTATCAGTTTATTGACACAGTCTAATACTTTTTGAAGTATCAAATTTCGGCCGCTTTCTTATTTATGATTTATCTGAGTTTCAATTGCTTTAGTTATTTTTATAATTATTATTATTATTATTATCATCATCATCATCATCATCATCATCATCACAGTATCATTATTATTATTATTATTATTATTATTATTATTTATTATTATTATTATTATTATTTAATTTATTATTATTATTATTATTATTATTATTATTATTATTATTATCTGGGGAAGTAACAGCCATGGTTTAAATGAGTTGGTGGACCTGAAATGCTACTAGGAGCAATATATTGCAACCACGAGCGGACACTTTATATATATTATATATGTCTCTAAGCTAGCCTAAAGTTGATTATTTAATACCGAATTCAATGGGTTCATAAGTAATTATTTTTATATTCACAATATATGCAATAGTTAACAAGACCTATGTTACAGATAGTGTTATCAATTTTAACCAATGAATCCATATCAGAAAATGACATCTTTCTGGATACACTCAATTGACATATGAAATAGTAGGAGTTAATACTGGCTACATTTTCTCTAAACTCCTGTCTCGCTTATTGGTGATCAATTACAATTTAGCTGGCGGCGAGGCAATACGTTTTTAATCTTTCAGAATTAAATAGCAGACTGAAAAAAATCTTGTTCGATCTTATACGACTCTTTTTCTTCAAAAACTATTGAGAGAAAATAAATTCATTTTAGATAAGAAAATTTAATTGAACTGTAATGTATTCGGGATTGTTTAAATTGTGAGTTATACTTCTTGCATATTGTGAACGTGAGTGACAGTTGAATGGCCGAACCGGAAGCAGAGCCAGAAGTAGAGCCGGAGCCGGAACCGGAAAGTGAGGCTGAATCAGAAATCACCGGAAGTAGTAACACAGAACCGGAACCTAATTGGTCAACTGCTTTCGATCAGTGGGGACCAGCATGGCATTTGCATGTTTACATTGTCGCAACGGCTTTTATGTTAATAGCAATATTTACAGCAATGAGTATGGTTGTTTATTTACGGGATAAACGTTTGTTAAAACAAGGGACGTTGACGTTCACGTTACAATGTCTCTTACTTTATTTTACCCTATTACGGTCATTAGTTATGTTCATCAACCCGTATCAAACATCTGATACCATCAATGATACAGTGTTTCACATGATGTGGTCATTTGCACTTCCAGGATTGACGGCGTCATTCAGTGTGCTACTTTTGGTGTTTTTAGATACGACGAAAATGACATTAGGACCTCCTCTTTTTCAAAAACTCTCAGTGCTTTTGGTATTTACTGCCTGCCATTTTGTTATCGTTGTACTCTCTGACGTTATTTGTATACTGAGTGAGAGCTCCTGCAAACCCATGTTGATGTTTTGTCAGTCACTATTTATACTATACGGGACATCGTTGTCCGCCGGATATTTATACACGGCGGTATCCCTCCACCGGAAATGCGTCACAGGCGTAATAAGTGGTAAGAAAATAGCATCTTAATTTTTTTCAGTTACAGAAAAATTTGCAAATTTTGCAAAATATCGCACAACAAAAAAACCTACTACTATTACATAATTTTGTTCTCCTTGCATCTTTTTTAAGATATGTTAAAATCAAAACACAGATTTTAAATGATATTTTCCCAATAAAATCCATGGAATGGAAACACAAATACAATCGTCAAGAACTAGATACTACGGTGGTTAATGCATGATATATTTAATTGATATTTTGCTACACTTGATTTGTTTCACAGAAAACTTATTTTTTTGCTTTGAAGACATATGAAAAGTTTGCTATATATACATTCCTTTTTGCGAATTGTTTAGAATTAAATGAAAATAATTTCACCATAGAACTTTTAATTGATAGAAATGTGTTTTAATGAGGTTTTCCATAACATTCCCATGAAATAAATTTATAAAAATAATGAATAATAGTATGAACATTTTAAACAAGTGTATATAAAGTTTTGATCACTTCACTACGGTGTACCGTTAGGACAATCATTTCTTCGTATTGCCAAGCAGATTTAAAACGCTTCTCTATACGAAACGATACGCCGAAGCGACAAGACAATACGCCGAAAGTGACGGTACGATACGAAAATCCAAAAATAAATTACCCTCAAATCTAGTGACGCAGAAATGTGAAAATAAGGCAAAAAATCATTTATGCAATAGAAACGGAAAACAGTGCAATTCTATGGCCGAAACGAGCACCACGGGATGAAAATAAAGCAATAACTATGTTTTATAGGAAATCAAAATGAAATAAATGAATAAGCGAATACGGTTGCTGAGACATTACATTTTAAACTCATTAAAACATTTCTAAGAAAGTGTGAGGTTTTTCCCCCAAGATCATTAGTGAGAGCTAGCATATTGAAGGCAAATTTTGTGTTGCGTGATACAGTTACTTATAAAATGCAATATTATCTTTGATATTTGATATACATAATAAGACATTTGTCATATTACACGGAAATTAGCAGATAAAATGTGACCGAGACAATATTTATTAATCAAAGCCGATTTCGTGGTTGATAGACCGGAACAACTATATTATCATTATTATTTACTAGTTTAACACTTCTTACTAGCAATTCAATTATGTTCAGGATGAGTTAAATCAATTAACGTATATATTTTAAATGCTACTTAAACAGGATGAATAATTTCCTGACCTTATTGTTAGATGATTGTTTATCAGTTAAGTACGGTGTTCCATTGGGCCATCGTTTCTTCGCATCAACGTAACACTCCGATAAACAAAGTGATACGGCGACTGGACGCGCGGAGGCGACGGGACATCGCAAAAAAACACCCTTTACATCGTATCATTCGCACCGTGCAATTGCTTTGTCGCATCATCTTATCGTATCGTCACATCAGCGTATCGCCTCGTTGTGATATCGCTATAGATCGTATCGTCACTTCGGTGCATGGGAGTATCGTTACTTTGCACCGAATTAACGTCACTTTGCTTCGATTTATCGTCTCGTCGTGTCATCGATTTATCGTATGTTCGCTTCGGTGCGTTATGACGTTTCTTTTGCTCATGTGCATACGTATTTATACCCCCCTCAACATTCATCTTTATATTTTACCTATCATACTAAGATGACACGAGGAGACCAATAAAGACACTAAAACTCATAGTAATTTTATAACAATCGACATTTATGTTTATATATTTTCAGCCGCAGAAAACAAGAAAATGTTGCGACTCATAAGAATATCTGGGTTTGGTGCAATCATAGCATTTTCTATTGCCGTAACCCACCTTTACGCTGCATGCAGTAAATTTGGTATTTATAGTGACGTCACATACGTTAACGCCTGGGATTGGTGGGTTCTACAGTCAGTCCTAAGAGTTGAAGAAATAACGTCATCTTGTCTTATACTTTTGATTGCGTTCAGGAATCCTTTTTCCGACACCTGCAAAATAAAGCAATGGATGACGAACTCCTTAAACAGAAAAACGAATCCATTGCAAAACACGGCTATAACAGTGATTGATAAAACAGAAATGCCGTAACGGATTGACTGTCTCGTAACAGAGGTTAGAGTACCACATGGGAATTTTTACATCAAAAGGAAATAAACTTTTATAATGTTGGCACGTTGTGTGCAAAGCTCTTGTATCCACTTTTATAGCATCTCCGATGTTCCCTAGAATAAATAAAATTCATTAAATTGTATGTACGATAAGCACGAGTTTAGCTAAAGTGTTGTTGTCACAGGACAGGATTCAAGAACTAGTATAAAGAACATCTGTTGTTAGGTATATACGAGTATATTCTTGTTTTGATACTCGAAGAAGCTGCATACATATGCACAGATTATAAGCCATCTTATTGATAATTATAGATAATAAATACTGCATTAAATTTATAATGTACTAGTATATGATGGTTTGTATTCATATGTCTCGCTCAAAGGAATCATTAGGAATATCGCTATAACTTTGGAGTCAGAAGGAAAAAAGTATATTCTAATTGCACAAGATTCTACTTGGCTACATACACCATGTATAAATATATAAATATTGTCAGTTGATGTTGTTTTTGGTTTGTTTTGTTGTTGTTTATGATTTTTTTTTTTTTTTTTTTGGGGGGGGGGGAGGGTGTTGTTTTGTTGTGGTTGTTGTAATGGTGGTTGTTGTTACTACTGCTGCTGCTGTTGTTGTTGTTGCTGCTACTGCTTGCTTATTTATTTATTTGCTTATTTATTTATTTATTTATTTATTTATCTATATACATTTCTTACACTTTCCCTTTTCAAATTTATACCCAAGGGTGCAACTGCCAGAATGTTTAGTGTGCAATTCAGAGAAACTCGGTTATTTAGGCCTGGGTTATGATATACAATGTATGTATAATTATGTAATTTACACTTAGATGATAGAATCATTTTGTCTCTCATTTGATATAAACAAGTTATATACGTCCGTTAACGTGTAATGTAATTTAAAGAGCTGAACATGTAAATGATGCATATCGTCTAACAAACTTGAATGTTGGTCATTTCATTGGTTTATTTCATTTTAAACATTGAATAATTTTTTAATACTAACTGTAGATTTTTCCACAAATCAGCAAATTTTCTAAAATGCACGTCAGCATCATTCTGCAGCATATAAAATTGAAAGCAATTTAACCGGAACATACCAGCTGGCCCATTTTAACATCATTATTCTCCATTTCACTATCGATTTTAAATTTGATATTAATCAATCAATACGGATTTTATGTTGCATGTTCAATGTATTGCATTAAATTTTCATATAAACAGTAGAAACGCTATTTCAAACCGCCACGGAGATGAGACCATTCCGCCATTAAGATCGAATTTTAAAAGAAGAAAATTGTCTGTTCCTGTTATTTTACTTAACCTGCTGAATTTATTTGTGCAATGGAATTGCTTTGGATTGGGAACAGTCCATTTGATGTGTAAAGAAATTCAATATCAAAATAGAAAAAAAAATGAGCTACCAAAAGTCCAGAGATCGATTGGCCGGTGTCAAATGTTAAACAAGTTCAGTGCTAATACAGCATTTTTACATAGATATAATGACAACTTACGTCATGTAACGCATATTTTAATCAAACATAAGCGCATGGTTATCATTTACTAGAATTATTTGTTTGAAATATTGTTCACACTTTTGAAAGATATTTTAAATAAGATTATAAAAATATATACGTTTTGATCTTTTTATATTACTTATTCTATTAATTTATATTGAACTATAATGTACTGTGTATTTGTATGAGCTAATATATTTATTTGTTTAAATATTTCTCAGAAACAGTCATACATTTTATCCTTCTTTTTTCTTCTAACAAATTGAATCAAAGAATTATCAACTTAAAGAAGCACTGACACTAAAGTGTCCCTGGGAATAAGCAAATATCTGTTATCAGATAAGCAGTCCTATGTTGTCGTCCACATAGTTCCTATATTTATGTCGCTATTAAGGATCAAAGCACTGAATGTACTGATGGGGAGGCTATGACAGAATGTTTCAGACTTATAGTTTCTTTTCTTTTTGCTTAAAATGTGCTGTTATTTCAATTATTACCAAAATAAGAAGATATGCACATTGTGTCATTTATCCTTACTGTTGTGTTCAACCATTCATATATATGGTTAATGTATGACGACTGTTCATTATAAGATAACAATAACATTTTACAACTGACTGTTCCTTATCAAAATATTCTAGGACTGTTCATCATAAATACTTAATGTCATAATGATAATAACAACTGCAAGTTATGCAACATTTTTATTGAACATAAAAATTATACATATTAACATGTCATATACCATAATTGAGATCAATAAGATACTGTCTTGTGATGAGTATTAATATCCATGCTCTACGGACAGAAAGATGTCTTCTTCCGAAGCAAATCTGGAATAAAATCACGTTTCAGAAAATTATTCCCATTTCATTACTCGTCGCTGACTTTGACGGCTTCGGATATTTATTAAAACTAAATATTTCTTGAAAAAATACATATTACGTAGGGTTTTCCCTGTCGACCATTTCCCGCAAATAGATGAGAACATCGAAGCGTCAGTGCTATGAATGGTGTTATAATTTATAAATAGCGTGTTTTGGAAGTTTTTTGTTGAAACTTCTCCAAATCCCTCCAGAGGCGTGCACGTCGCGGAGAAGGCACACGGCAGGTCAAGGTCAAGTCATCTCAAGTACCAGAGGTGATTGGTTGACCTGTCGTGACTTACTCTGGAGGTTTGGCGCTAATGAATGCCGTTTTTGTTGTCGTCAGTCAGGAAGTTGATGCCTTGCCAGTATTGTCGTCTCCTTTACCACCAACGAACGAAGAATGGGCTACCAGGAAGATTCGGCTTGAAAAAGACGTCCCCGATGCTATAATCTCGGACATATGGTTATTCCGGCCCCGAGTATAAATAAACTTAAAACACACACACTTTTGTTGAAAACAAAACAAAAAAAACAACTACACATTTTCTGTAGTATTTTTTCAAGTGTTGTAAAATGAATACGAAATTCCTCTTATGCCGCCGATTATTTTTAGAACACAAACATGTAAGTTTCTTTATTTGATTTATTCAAATAAACATTAATCACTTCAGCGCCCGCAAAGATCGTTTTCACATTAAAGTTTCGTAAGATATGTTGATGAATTCCCGATGCTAAACTGTAAGTCATTCGTATATATATGCGTTTTTGTTGTTGTTTTTTTTGTTGTTGTTTTTTAAGCCTCTTATTCTTTAATAGTTTTTATGTATCTCATAATCTGTATTGAAAATTTGAATTTTATTACACATGGACTATCAAATTATGATGCGTTGCCCTAGAATTGAATAAACTTTCTAATTACACAATACGGAATCATTTCATTTGATTGAAGACTGATCTTTGCGTCTTTTCTCTGAAATAATTATTTCCTTGTTTAAAACATATTTGACCACATATTTCTGTCATTTAACTGTTCACTTTACAGCTATATGATATAGCGGTTTATGAGCGTTTTTCCGCGTACAGCCTCCTAGGGTGTACTAATAAGTTAGTTTTTCCTTAGTTATCACACAAGCACGACCCATGTCTCTGATGTAAGCGACAATTTACCATAATTTGTCTTTAAAAAATATTAAGGGACTATTAATGGTTTATATCAACAAAAGAACATGCATGATATTGAGACTACGGTGTTGCAACGTTCTAGTTAATGACCCGTCATAAACAGTTGGTCGCTGCGTAGTAATTGGAAAATTGTTATCAAAAATAATAAAGAATATTTGCCACCTAATTAAAGCATTTACTTATAAATTTTCATTTATGCTTTTTGTTAAAAATTATTGATAAAGTTATTATGTAGAAGGGTTTTCATACCAGAACTATTTATTACAGACGTACGTATGCCTATACCTGATTACCGCGGCAGTATGACGTCACGGAGTAGTGATTTTGAAAAAATAACAAACAAAAATCAAGAATTTTTCAGAGAATTATTATCTGATATGAAATTAAAGAATGAAAATATTTTCATATTGTAAATGTCTGTGATGAGCGATGAGTCAGCTTAGAAAAAATCAAGGTACTATTTTTTGACCTGATTACCGCCGCAGTAAGATTTGACGGACGGTATTAACATTAGGTCGGCATAGCCTCCCCAAAAATTACTAACAGATGGATAATTTTTCATAAAAACAATTGAACGACCATTTTGAAACCAAAGGTCTGTTAAAATCTTATGCTAGTTCACTTCATATATTTTTCGTATTGTTTACTACGGACAGAAAAACAACACTTTTTACAAGGATAAACAGGACAGAATGGCGGCAAAGCCATCTGATTTGACGAACAGATAACACGCCGTTAATCTCAGTTTATACAAATTTATTTTAGTTCAATTTAAATGGAAGCTATAAGCTAATTGAAACACTCTCGAATCTGTTCCTGGAACCAACCAGACTAAGAAATGAATGTAAAGTTTCTTGCTCAAGGAAACAACGGCGTTACTCTTCAGTTACCTGTCCAGTTTCATTATGTCCCACTATTTGTAAATGAAAATAAGTTATACTTTCTAACATTTACCTTCAAAATCAAGGATGAATGGCGACAACTTGTTTAATGAAGACATTCATTTCAATTAGATGTCGAATGAACATATATTTTAAATATCAAAGTATTATTTTGATTATTTAACAAATAATTTCAAAACCACATAGATATGCTATGTGAGCACATCTGCTGTATCAATATTAAAGTCTGTCATCTGTGGTTTCATGTAACAGAACTATGACGACTGAAGGACATTTGTATATTATTTTCTTCCCTAGTGACACGGTGCCCGCTGAGTGATTTTGGGCTTGAAGCTGCCGTTTGGCGCGTTATTGAACAAGAGGGAATAGAGACGCTCAGTACAAGTGTATAAATGATGAGTAAAATAAAAAAACACCAGCAAATAATCAATTGCTCCTGTCATTAGATTATATTACAATTACATCTACATTCAGTCACATCAGGTCTTACAGCAGCTTAATTTAGAGTTTCGTTAAATCTATGCATTGTAGTTGTATTCATATTCATTCCCCATTGATTTTGTTTATTTAGTAAAGAATTTCAAACCAACATAACACCGGCTTGAGCGGTACTCAATTTTCAACACTTAAAAGTGCCGGAAACAATGATTCCGAATGGTCGTAAAAATATAATAGAACTGAAGTGAAGTACGGGGCATTTTTTACAGCTGCCACACGACACTTGACACCTGCTCTTGTGAAGTATAAAAATCTGGAAAAATAAAATATGAATGTTTTATGACCAAAAGCAAGTCTGAAAAAAAAAATAATCAGCGATGACTTTCGTGTATATACAACCGTTGTAGCTGCGTTCTCTTTCATTTTCCTTTTTACGAATTAATTGTTGAGTTAACCGGTAATTTATAATATTGTTTGCTGATATCGGCTGTATAGCGTCTA